TTATTTTTGTACCCACAGGCACACAAACACACACCACACACACGTTAATCATGACAGTTATTCTTTAGCTTAAATGGCATACTTAAGGTATATTGCGTTAGATATTTATAAATCACACACACACATATATATATGTTATTATATTATATCGATATATATATATTTATATATACATTTGATATATATTTGCGTTTTTATATGTAATTTGTTGCATGCTGTAGATTGTATAGCGCTTATTCACATGTCGATATCATATATGTACATATATATATATATATATATATATATATATATATATATATATACACATATATAAATATATAATATATATAATATATTTATATATAATATATACATAGTGAAGAATTCTTTTCTAATTATATTCTATAATAATATATACATTCTATATATATTATATTCATGTAGCGCACATCGGACTGGCAGTGCAGTGAGTGAGTGCCTATATAAAGAGTTAGCGAGGCCTGCTAGACGAAGTTTTGGAACAGTTCTCAGTTTATCGTTTTAGTTGCTAATAATTGTAGGATCCTTATAAAATTTTTTGTAAAACATTTGGTTTCAAAACTTGAATATATTTTTATTTTGTCTTGTAAAATCTAACAGTTGGCTTCATATAAAGTGACAAACACTTTTTTATTCTTGGAAAAAAAGCAACTTTCTGAACACATTCGGACATACAAACAAACTTTTTAACCTCTACCACAAAAAAACGCAAGCACACACATACACACACACATATAGACACACACACACACAAACACACTCACATAATGACTCCAATCTACAAAACATTCTCCGATGCTCTCCTGATGCAAGACTTCCCGAGAATTCAGTCCATCCTCACAGAACGGCACACCTTCCTCGATCTCAACCGATACTGCAGAGACGGTCAGACACCCTTACATCACTGCAGTTCCAGCGGAAATCTCAAATTAGTACGCCTACTTGTGGAGCACGGGGCAAATCCACGAAGAAAGAACAAAGAGGGGTGGACGCCCCTGCACCTGTCTGTCTTTAGGGGGCATAGAAAAATTACAGCTTACTTGTTGAAGGTTTGTATGTTCGAATGTTTCCTGTGTTTTTGCGTGTTTGTGTGTGTGTGTGTGTCTGTTTAAAATTAAATCTGTGTGTGTATGTATGTTTATGTGTGTGCGGGTTTGTGGGTAAATTTGTTTTGCATATTATTTAAGAACTTATCAAAATTTTTGTATAAATTAAGACTGTTCTATTCCAACATTTAATTTTGATTCAGTAACGTTTTCCAAGCTGTTGCTTTCCGCATGTTAAATCTAATTTTATTTTTGATTTTTAAAAATGTTTATATTTTATAAAATCAATTTGCAATGACATCTAAAAACATTTGTAAATGAAAACTTTTGAAACTGACTTTTTACGAACTGACAACGAACTCAATAGTTGTCCCATTAGAATGAAAACGGAAAAAGTAAAAGTATGCGTTGATAAAAAGTTGTTTAAATTGCTGTCTATCCCTTTTTACACAGCGTTTTTAACCAGTAGGCCTACTCATTTTTAGATCATCGGCAACGTTTGAAATATTCAATCTCATCATAATCATGTCAGCGTATTTCAAATTGTCGAAAAATCTATAAATAATTAATTAAATCAGTCAATAAATTAATAATTTGTGAAAAATATTTGTTGAAGATTTTGATAGGGAAGCGTGAAAAAGTTCATCACTCGATCACCCAAGACGTCAAACCGTCAATTTTCGAGGTCACGTGTAAAGAAGAGAAGATAGATTTTGAAGAGGATGATAAAAAATGTCTTCTACAACTACAATAAAAGCTGTTTAGAAAAAATTACTAAAGTATTATAATTTGTTTTTGTACACGTACACACACGCACACACACAAACTGACTCACACACTCACACACTAATAATTAACGGTAAAAATGCGCGTACATAAAGGTAAGAGCATTTAATATAGCAAAATTCATGAACGTTTATACTCAATGACCTCAACCGACCAACTGTATAATTATTAATACCGCGAAATTATTATTCCTTAATGCTAGTTGTAATGTTTTATTTTCATATAACATTGCGCACTTCATTATCGACATAATTCATGCAGTATCAGCGCATTGTAAAGAGCCGAATTGTGCATATTCATAATATGTTGCATAATAAGGATGAAATGTTATTCAGTGAGAGCTCTCAACTTTTCATTCATACATGACATGTTGTTGTGTCCACTGGTGACAAATGAAATCTCGATCATTGTCAATTTTGTGCTTCATTAACATTACCTTCGTCGTCATCTTTATCATTTCATCGTCATCACATTATCACCACCAATCACCTCAAAGATTATTTTTATTTAAGTTATTTGTAATGAATGGGTAATGTTTGTAATTACTTACAATTACTTATTTTCCACTAATTGTAAATAAAACACATGCGTATCTGCTAATCAGTTTATATCAGTTACATTTATCGCAAAATATTTTAGTATGTTTCTAAATAATTACGTAACTACTTTTTGTAATTTTGTTGATGTTTCAATTGAAAATAAAAATGTTTAACTCATACTTTTGCAAACCGTTCATGAAAATTCATTACAGCTTGTATTCATGACAACGTATCGAAAAGATACATGAATTGATATGGGTAATAAAGGCCTTACGTCTTGCAGTGTTATTCCGCGGTTGCCAGGTTCAAATGCAAACAGATCTCAAACGTTCACACGCTCAACTAATCAACATCAACATATCACAAAAAGCAAAGGATGCATTAATTTGTACATATATTTATGCACAAGTTACGAGTTCGTCGAATGTTTGTCTGCCTCCACCAATCACAATCGTCAGATGTCTTTAGAACCCGCTTTAGAACGGTGACGTCATCTGTAAACGATCCATAACTTAAACTTCCGTGATTCAAAAGATGACGTTGTTGGTGATAACAACAACATTAAAATTGCTAATGTCATCGCTGTAACAATTATGATGATCGTCAGCAACCACCTGGAATTAGTTGCATTGTAATCCCAATCTGACAAGAGTGCTTTTTTGATTAATTAATTTATTCGTAAATCCCATTTAATTGGACTTCCGGCCAAAATGACTTCCGGCCACAATTTGCTTTGCACGAACATTTCAATGAAGTGAGCACAGGAAGACGTTCATTGAAGTTTTTTATATGAAAAAAATTATTTTCACCATTCAATAACAAATAAATAAATTCGAATATGAATATTATATTATATATATATATATACATGTGTGTAATAATTTAATTTTAATGTAATAATTGCATTTAAGAAACAATTCATAAAAAAATTGAAAATTAAAATACGTACAAAAATTTAAGGAAAAACTTTTAAAGTGTTCAATAATAATAACAAAGTTAACCATTCAATTAAATATAATTGATATATGTATTTAATTAATTAATTAAATAACTAATTAAACTACAATTATTAACTATAATATTCATTATTGTTATGTAAAGTATGAAGTATAGTCACACTGAAGACTAAAAAATAAGTCGATAAATAAATAAAAAAATAGAGCAAAAAATCACCGCATCATCATCATCTCATATCATTATCATCACCTTATCACTATCATCGTTATCGTTATTATCATCATCATTATTGTTTTTACCATCTAGAACTGTTAATCATCATAATTAGTTTCATTACCATTATCGTCGTCATCATCATCTTCTTCTTCTTCGCTATCAGTGTAATCATAATCACTTTCATAACTAACACTATTACCATCAACGTCATCATCATCGCATTTACACATGTAGTGGGATCACAATTTTATTTGTTCTAAAAAAAATCACAAAAGTCCATTGATTATAAATGTTCACTCATTTTAATTTCATCAACGGTTGGCAAACAAAATATAATTATAAATGAATAACATCAAATTTTTGTGTTGTGTTAATTTATACACACACGCACACATATATAAATATATATGTGTGTGTGTGTGTGTCTGTATGTGTGTTTTTTACAAATCGATAATCCATAGTTGAAAAAATTGTATACATGCAAATGTACATTCAATTGTACATTCAATGTCAAATGTTTCATATAAATCATTATTTAATCAATTTCCTTTTTGGTTCAATCCTTCCATAATTTACACACACACACACACGTACACAAACGCACGCTCACAATTTCTTACTTTAAATGATATGAAAGCAAGCAAGTGTCGCCTCCAACTAATTATACAGAGAAATCATCGCCAGCTGTTTGTTGAAAATTAACTAATTATCAAATTCTAACGAATGCTTCTCGAAATGTGTATACACGCGCGCACAGACACCACACTTACACGGACACACACAAATATATGTACGTGTATGTAGTATAAACATACACATGTACGTGAGTGCGATTTTGTGTGGGTGATATACGATTTGACTGGGCGTGAAAAATAAATGAAAACTGCAATGTCGTCGTCGGAATTATTTCAAAAAGTTTGCCCACTATAAATTTTATTTATTCATTTTCATCTTGACGCACAATACCAATTAACCAATAAATTAACCAATTAATTAATCAATTAATTAACTCTTCTAATTAATGAATAATAAAAAGTAATTAAGATATGTGCAAATGTTTTCTAAAGTATACGGCGCTATAATTTGTATATATATCATCGTTAAAAAATTTCATTTAAATTAATTTACATAAGTTGCAGAAAAATTTCATCACACACACATGCACACACACTGTCAAATACACACGCGCGCGCGCACATTCACACACATACATACACACTCATATAGAATTGTGTGCATACATACAAATATATATACATATATAGTTGTGAATGTCCAATAAATGAATTATTGTCTAATTAAGAATGAAATTCATACACACATCAAGGAAAATTGAATAAAACGCCATTACATTTCATAATTTGTGGAATCAGTAACCAAAAATAATATTATTATTATTATTATTAGTAGTAGTAGTAATAGTAATGTTATTAATATACAATAGTATTAGAAGCAGTAGTAATAGTATAAGCTGTAAGTAGTAGTGGTAGTAGTTTCTGTTGTAGTAGTAGTAGTGGTAGTAGTAGTTGTTGTGGTAGTAGTAGTAGTAATAGTAGTAGTAGAAGTAGTTGTGGTGTTAGTAATAGTAGTAGTAATTAAATTTACCATTTTAATTATTTATTAATTTCTGAGATAGCAACTACTAGAAATGTTAATAGTAAAAATACTCTTATCCAAAAGTTCAACTACTACAATAGTATATAACATGAAATTCAATATATTATATAACATAATAACGCTATATAGATATATATGTGTGTGTGGTGTGTGTGTCCATTAAATAAACACACAATATCCACACTAAATTATGAAGTTTCCACACATAATAGATACATTTTTGTAAAATAAAATAATAAATAATAAAATCGTTCTGTAAATTCATTTATTTATTTATTAACTAATTTATTAATCAAAATTTCAATTATTTTTGTCGTTTTTCGGTCGTGAAGATTCTATCGCAAATGCTATACAAGCTTTATGGATTATTCTAATAATAATAATAACAACAACAACAAAAATAATAATAATAATAATAAAATTAACAACAATAATAATAACAATTACAATTATTATTATTAAATTAATTAAATTTCAACAACAAAAATAAGCCAACAAAAATACTGGATTATACTGACGCTCTTAAATTACTATCATTATAACAAAAATTGTAGTTTATAGCAAAACTAGAATAAGTAATGCTACAAATACTTACTGTATAATTTTTTTTGGTAACAGTAACCCACCGGTATTCGTGTATAACAGTGGATTAACGAGATAACATTACAATTTTCAATGTCACTCAATTACGTATGATAATTAACTAATTAATCAATTAATTAATCAATCAATCAATCAATTAATGGAATTATTAAAAAATCGGTGTGTGAGTTCTGTTTATTGTGATGATATAATTGAAGATGGAATCAATCAATCAATCAATCAATCAATCAATCAATCAATCAATCAATCAATCAATCAATCAATCAATCAATCAATCGATCGATCACACAAATCAATCAAGTAATCAATTAAACCATCAACCAAACAACCAGCCAAAAAATCAATCAAGTCCAGAATGACCCTGTTAAATTGATGATGATGATAAACCAACAGCCAGCATACAAGTAAACCTCTCACTCTCTCTCCTTTTCTCACTCTCTCTCCTTTGATATCATAACATCAACTTCAGACAAACAATCAATCAACCAACCAACCAACCAACCAATCAACCAATCAATCAATCAATCAATCAATCAATCAATCAATCAATCAATCAATCAATCAATCAATCAATCAATCAATCAATCAATCAATCAATCAATCAATCAATTACTTAATCACTCAATCAACTAATCAATTAACCAATCAATCAACTAATCAATCAATAAATAAATCAATCAATCAATCAACAAATCATTCAATCACTCCTGTCCGAATCCTTCAGTTTCCTCAATGGCATAGTTTAATTTCTCGACAAGTTGCTCGTAACTTTTGTACGGGGGAAGGTCCAGTCGATTGAAGCAGGTGTGTGATCTTGGCAACCAGGAATCCTTGCCAACCTTCTCAATGCAGAACTGCTGTGGACCGTTACTTCCTGTGTGTCGGATGGATAGAGAGAATAAGAATGTTGTGAATGTGTGTCTGTGTGTGTGTGGGGGGGGGGGGGGGGGATAGAAAAAAGATGAACGTTATGCGTGATAGCTAATAATAACTTACTAACCATTACTTAAAAACAATTATTCAACGAACAAACCATTCAATAAAATGGCTAACCGATCAATTAATCAATAAAACAACCAGCCAAACAGTCAACCAACCGACCAATCAACCAACCGGCAACCAACCAACCAACCGACCAATCAATGAACCAGCCAACCGACCCATGAGCTCTGCAAATCCTCCTACAGGTAGCCTGCAGGTTCCAGTCACAAACTGTAATAGTCTCATTCTCTTCTCGTTGTCCAGCTCTCTCACAAACTAGAGTGGAGGTGTTGTTTATAATAATAACTATAAACATAATAAATATAATAATTAATAACAACAACGACAATAAAAGTAGTAGTAATAAAATAATAACAAGTAACATATTCTCACCTTCCAGAACCACTGAACTTGTCTGGAGGATTTATTGTAGTGCCTGTATATGCTGTGCAGTTCCCAATCGTTTACATCTATCTCTTGCATGCCACACAACATCAGCTGTCAGATGGTGTGGTGTGGTGACGATGATGTTGGTGATGATGGTGATTAGAGATCATGATAATGTGATGATGATGAAGGTGACCATTTAAGCCAAAAAAAGTGTCTAGCTATGAACAAACAAACACGCACACGCACATACACAGAGAAACTTTCTCTCTCTTTCTCTCTCTCTCTCTCCCTCCTTCTAACCTCGAGTTCTCTCTCGTCAAAGTACTGCAACCAGGTAAGTGGAACGATTTCATTGAATCCATCGAGGAAAGCCTTCATCTGTTCCACCACGCCACGCGAGAACAGCCATTTTGTCATGGCCCTGTTTCGTTGTTTGTATATATTGGTTGTATCTTGTACATTTGTATGTACTTATATTTTTTTGTGTGTACACTTGTATGTACAACTAGCAGAGACACCTTTGCATTGGCTTGTTCAAATCGGCAGTACGCTAAAAAAAGGAGCAGATTGCGCTATAGAAAGTTGAAATGTAATAAAGAGATGGTGCATGTGGACAGGGAGGTCTGTGCTTATTGATCAGATGATATTCAATAATATAATAATCAGCAAATCAAATACGTACACGCGCCTGGCATATAATGTTGTTTTTAAATAATTGAAAAAATAAAAAAGTTTATCTAATTATGAACATGATTCATGTGAAATCAAGACGAGATGTCATCATGTCATAAGACATGATCGATCACGTGACTCACTCGATGTATTCCTTCTTGTTAGCATCGGTCACTTTGATTTTGGAGCCACCTGGAACCAGCTCGTGCTCCTCAATCTTGCCTAAAATCTCGTAGTCAGAAACAAAGTAGAGTTCTATGTCGCATTCATCGATGTCGTTATCTCTGTTGTTGTTGATGTTGTTTGTTATTACTGTCAATTTAGTTTCTAATGTTCTTTAAAAACTAATACAAATTTTAGTTATTACAGTTCATATAACTTGATAATGTTGGGTTTTTTGATAACATCGATCACTCGTGTTTTTGTTTCATTAAGCTAGTTAATGTTGATGCATCAGATTATGACATTGCAATTTATAAACTTCCTTCATTCCTTCAAACTCGCTGCCTCCAAGCGAACCCTTCACAACGAAAACAACATAACCCACTCCAATGACAAAGCAATCAAGAGAACATTCACCTCCAGTCTTCCAACTTAACAACCTCACTTGCACTAACCTGACCCAGACGAGAGAGTTGAAGAATTCAGGATCTACCGTCTCAATGTCGTTGATTGTCAGACTTTTGTTGAGCATTCTCTTGTAGAAGGGCATCGTGAATCCACTGTCTATAAATTTGCCATGGTACAGAGCCTGCGTCGTTGTTGTTAAATAAATCAATGTTGCCATTGTTGTGGTGGATATTTATTGTTTGTTAGATGTTTATTGTGATGTCAAATTTTTCTTGTTAGCCACAATTCTACATTCAGCTATAAATTTGATTTAACTCATTCCAATTTGTGAAAAGTTAACTCATTTTAACGTATTAGCTCACTAAAGAAGCATAAGCTTATCTAAAAATAAGTTAAATTAATTAAATTAAATTTAAACAGTGACACAATTTAGCTGTACAGTTTTTTTAGCGATTTAAGCAAACAAACTATAAATAACAGTACATCAGCCAATCAACCAACCAACCAACCAGCCAACCAACCAACCAACCAACCAACCAACCAACCAACCAACCAACCATAGCAATGAATCGTCCGATGAACTTGAAGTACATGAGATGGTCGGGGTTGATGTATGAAGCAGGATTGATCTGGAGACCATAGTTGTTGTTGTTGGCGTACTGGAACAAGCAGTACATAGGGTTGAGGACATCGTGTGACACTTGGAAGAACCACTCCCTTGGTGAAGAGGAAGGAAAAGTGGTTAACTATAGAAAATCAAACAAACAAGTACACATGTACAACAATAAAGAATGGATATATCAATCAATCAATGACATAGAATTCTACATCGAACGATCCTCAATGAACTTGATGAAAAGATACGTTTGGAGATCTGTCTTAATGTTTGTGACGGACTCAGATAAAAAAAAGACAAGTTGGAAAAAAGTTATAAAGACAAGGACAAAAGTGAGAAAAAGTAGATTTATTGGAAGAGTAATTATTATACTAAATGATGATAATGAAGAAACGAGATCTTAACTTGAATGTTCTGGTTTTTGTATAACATAAATTAAATTAAAAAATAAACGAAGAAAAACAAACAATGGTATAAGAAAACACGTGAGATACAGAATGTCACATGTCCCATGGTGTATGAAGAAAGAGAAAGAGAGAGAGAGAAAGAAAGAGAGAGAGAGAGAGAGAGAGAGAGAGAGAGAGAAACAGACATTAGGAATATCACTCAACAATGAATTCCACTGAAGCAGCAGGAAAACGACAACAAATACCTGGCAATGCCCCCATAGTCCAAGCCCTCCTCACCCTTGATTACAATGAACAACCGGCGTCTCAAGTCCATTGGCTGAAGTCTCATAATCTGATAACGGTTATAATGATGATCCTCGTCATCATTGTGCAGTGATGATAAATGATAATGATGGTGTTTTACTACTGAATAATGTTGCATTGCAAATAATGTTACAACAAACGATAAACACACAGGACAATCGTATAAAAATCACATCGACTCATCTTAATGCGGCAACCACACAGGTAGATGAATGGCAAGATTAAAACTCGCACATACACACACCAGCCTACATGCACAAACACATGCGAAAATGTCACAAACAGAGTATGCATGAAGCACATTTAAATAAAGAAATACAACCACACACAGATAAAACATTTATACAAAAACACAGACAATACCATGCAAAAACACGCGCACACACATACGCGCACACGCAAGTAAACAAAACCAAAAAAACGGAAGCAGACCTGCTGGAAAGAGTCCTCAAACAAGTTCTCCCTCGTTACATTTATCTTCACGTGACCTTGCGGATTGTTGCTCTGCAAATTATTTTAAGATATATATCATTTCATATGATTCAATATTATAAACTAGCATTATTGTAATAATTACCATTTCGCATGATAAGATACTATATGCTAACATTATTGTAATAAATATTTTACCAGTATTTACAATTCATAGATGCTTAACAATAGAACATTGCAATAGTTTGTAGCATTACAGACTGAAATGACTACTACTGACTTGACAGAGGATCCTGAACTGGCTAAGCTTCCACCGGAAACTTCGTTCGTATTGTAAGGGCACTCCGAACCGACCCCTCGGTCTGAATTGACGAGATGTCATCGTCGTCATCATCGTCGTCGTCATGAAACATCATCATCAATAATATCATCATCATCATCGCCGTTACTAAGAAACATCATCATCATCATTATCATCATCATAATTATTAAAAGACGTGATCGTCATCACCATCAAGAAAAAAGTGATGACGATCTACAGCAAGGTACCAAATTTATCTCTATTATGGCTATTTTTGTTGCAACAATAGCAATTACAATAATCATTTCAACAAACAACACTTTGCAGTATTACAACAAAATTAAAACATTGTAACCAACAATCCGACTCTAAACATAATATCGGTAGCATCAACAATAACGCGAAAGGAAAGCAAGCCTCACAGTCAGCAAACACCAACAACAATGAAAACCAACCGACAACAATGTAAACCAACCATCAACAATGTAAACCAACCAACAACAATGCGAACCGACCAGCCAACCGATCAACGACAATTTAAACTGACCCTTTACTAAGGGCCGATGGGCCGCGGGGATCTTGGAAGGTTGTCGACTTGCTATTGTGGTCGACAAAATATCGAACGCCCTCATTCGTGTATCGTATCTCCCAGCCTTCGGGTAGAGGATCTTCTTCAAAAGTCCTGTTGGGAAATATCATCATATCATCATATCACCATATCACCACATACATCGCACCGTATCACAATTTTTATCATGACGTCTCATTATCATAAATATCGTAACTATCTTTATCACGTTATAACCATTACTGTTATTATTGTTATCACATCATAACATCATAATCATGACATCGTCATCATCCTTATCATGTTGTTAATACTACATGACATTATAGCTTTGTCATAATCATCATCATCATTATTATTATTATAACTAATTCATGTGACATGATCATTTTGACATGATCATTGTGAGATCATCACTGTGACATCATCACTGACATCATCACTGACATCATCATTGTGACATCATCAGCGGTATCATGGCAAGAACCAACCTTGGATCCTCCCATTGGGTTGTCTTCGTCCGATGATCAATGAAATAAGCTCGGTTATTTGGATCAACTCTTTTCTCTGTGGTGATTATGACGGTGACAATGATGATGATGATTTTGAATGAGTGAGTGAATGAACGAATGAATGAACGGACGGATGGACGGATGAATGAAAGAATGAATGACTAAAAAACTCACCCCATCCCTCGGGCAGAGGGCCCAGTGGATCATCACAAGGAGTTTGGGGGTGCGTTGTGGGGAAGAGGAAGCGATCGGCCAGTTGGTTCATGGGTCTGTTCTGCCTCCATATCTGATACTGTTGCAAGTGATTCATCATGTCCTCACTTGGCTTCTGCCAAGTCGTCGTTCTCGTGTTGTGGTCCACGTAGTATGGCCGGCCGTGTTCGTCCAAGCGCATTTCCCAACTGTTCGTTTGTACGCGCGTTCATGTGTTTGCATGTTTATGAGTTTGTTTATCCATCCATCCATCCATCCATCCATCCATCCATCCATCCATCCATCCATCCATCCATCCATCCATCCGTTCGTCCGTCCATCCATCCATCCATCCATCCATCCATCCATCCATCCATCCATCCATTCATCCATAACTAACCCAGGAGGTAGTGGAGTAGGTCTGTCCCAAGATGTCGTCTTGGTGTTGTGATCCACATAATATGGCCGACCGGAGGGGTCCAGACGCATCTCCACTCTGTTTCAGGGATGTGCGCAATATCGTTTGTTTCGTCGTGACGATTGAACGTTGTTGTTGTTCATAAAATATGAAAAGATTAATTTTGTACGAGTATTGGCAGATATGTGAGAATAATGTTGATGGCGCTATTAAACTAAATCGCAAAAAATAATATCGTTGAAGATGATGTTAAATAGTGATAACAAAAATGGAGTTGACGATGGTACGTCAGAGAGATTAATGATGACAATGACTTACTTGATCAACAACAAAATTGATGACAATGATTCACGTGATAATAATGAAAAGATGACAAGCTTGATAACAATAATAGAGTTATGACGAAGATGATAAAGATGATGCTCATGATTGTAAGGATGAAAAACACAAAACTCTCAAATTGTAAAGGTGAAGATGATGTTGAAGAAGATTATGATGATAATGTTGATTATGTTGTTGATGTTGAAGATGATGATGATGATAATAATAATGACCAACCCTCTGGGAAGCGGATCCAAATTACCAGATACGATTGGTGTGGAAAAGTTGAACGCTGGAAAGAATGGAAGTGAGAATGTGATGAGAAAGTGATGATGATGGTGGTGGCACAAAAATAATGAAAACAAGATATTTTTAATTGAAAACAAAAAACAAAGACAGAATAATAAAAAAACACAAAAAAAGAACAAAAGACACACAAACAAAGACATTAAACAAAACAAAATGAATCAAGACTGCAGAAACAAAAGAACTTTTGCCCAGTAAACACAAAACACTCAGGACGTCACCATGACATTTATACAGCAAACCCTCAATGCAACATTAACGAAAACAAAAAGCATCACCATCATCAACAACAACAACAACAACAACAACAACAACAACAACAACGAAACATTTAAGCAGCAACAAACAAGCACATACAAAACGCAGAGGACGTTGAAGGCAACAATGTAGTTGTTGATGTTGTTGCAACTGCTGGAGTCGTTTTTGTGGCCGTTGCTGTGATTGATGGTGCATTTTGTTGCGGTCGAGTATATCTGGTAGATGATGTTCTTGGGTGGCCGTTAGAGAGGGATGAGAGTGATGTTGAACTGCCCGAGACTGTAGATGATTAACATAACTTATCATTAGCAAATGATTTATTAATTCAAATCATCTCTACATCTTTATCCTGTTGTTCCTCAAGTGTATCCATCCTTAATTCATTCAATAATTAATCATTCATGCACATGTGCTCATTTCTTTTTCATTCATTCAACCATTAATTCACTGTTCGGTCCATTCAAATACACACAACTTATCAGCAAACAACCAGAAGTATAAATATATATCATCACTTATCCATCTACTTGTTCATTCACTCGTCTATCAAGTAATTCATCTACTTATCTATTCACTCATCTATCCATCAATTCATCCGTTTATTCATTCACTCATCTATTCGCCGAAATACATCCATCTATTGATACATTCATCTATCTAGACATCCAATCAAACCATCCATCCATTCGTCTATCAATGTCATACACTGATTCATCGATGAATAATCAAATCCTACACGCAGCACCCAATAAATTGCAGACAAACCTAGCTGCAATATCTACAACAAAGGCAACAACTACCAAAGCTACAACGAAAGCATCTACAGCAACAGCAACACAAAGACAACGACAACAAATACAACAGCCGCATCACCATTGTTGTTGTGAGCCCCTGAACCATTTGCCGCCTTCTCGACAGGTGTGGCAGTGCGTGGTGGCGGAGGTCGTGGTGGCGGCATGTGTCTGTTGTTGTTGCTGCTCGCGATGTTGTTGCTACTGTTACTACCTGTGTTGTTGTTGATGGTGCTGTCTGCTATGCCGTTGATATCTGTAGTGATGAAGATGATGCAATTGATAAATACGATGATGGTGAAAATGATAAAGATGGTAGTATTACAAATGTTATAGGTGCAAGTCAGTTAATCTCGACTTGTGGCCTGCCAGCAGAGAGCCAAGAAGAAGTCAAATATAATTTGTAAAAAGTTGCAAAAACTACGTTCATGTTAGCAAATGCTCTGGGCAACTGAAAGCATTTCCAAACATCTTTGCTGAATCTTTTGAGACTTCAAGCTGATCTTTTATGAGTTATCCCAATAAGTATTATTTTAATTGCAATGGTGATGATGTGGTGATGACGATGTGATGTTACGGTGGCTATGATTTTTGAATTTGATGGTCTGAAAAATTTTTTTTACCAGCATATAAGCGTGTTTTTGAGACTTATATATACACACACACACACACACACACACACATACACACACACACACATATATATATATATATATATATATATATATATATATATATTGATATATAATGATATATATAATATATATATATATATATATATATATATATATATTGATATATAATGATATATATATATGTGTACATGTATGTGTGTGTGTATGTGTGTGTGTGCGCACGCACGCGCATGTAGATAAATAGAGAATAAGTTTGTCTCAGACTATTATCATTGATTTTCACTTTGAGCTGTCAAACATGGAATAAAATTTCGTTAATGCAGTTGCTCATTGATACAGTTACAAGACTAGTTAATGAGCTAACAGAAAGAAATAGTAATAAGTAACGAGTGCTAACTGGTTCGCTCTCTATATCTGTCCATATTCAAAATGGTGCAGGTCAGATGTAACGTGACTTGACCTACTTTCTTGACCTTGCCCTTCATATCATTTGTCAGGGTCCACTTCACTGGCAGTGCATCCACTGTTCATGAGTTGTTGGTGTAGGTGTAGTGGTTGTGTGTGATGATGTTGTTGTTTGTTGGTGTTATTGTTAAGTTATTTGTTATTGGTATAGTTCGACAAACACCATCATCAGCCCAAATATCATTATCACACAACCATCATCATCATCATCATTCCCATGAACATCATTGTCAACTTAAACATCATTATCAGCACAATCATCATCGCCATCATCCCCGCCACAAACATTTTCCATTATGTTCCTTCAGTAGATTGTAGAGTTCTTCCCTGGTTTTGCCAAGAACTTCGTTGGAAAGGATGGAATTATGAATACAGAGTTTGATGTCTATGTAGCTGTATGGGGTTATTAATCTGGAGGTAGTGGTAATGATGATGATGACGGTGGGGTGGTGATAAAGTTGTGGTGGTAATGATCTTTAAATTTGAAAGTGTGAAAAATAAGTTTTTTGTGTGTGTATCTTGTCTATATATAAATATATGTATATATATATAAATATATAAATATGTGTGTGTATGTATGTGTGCGTGCGTGTGTGTGTGTATATGTGTGTGCCTGTGTAGGCAGGTAAAAAATGAGTTCCTCTCAAACAGACTTAATTTTAACCTTAATATCCTTAAAAATTTACATTCTAAACAACTAGGCTTGGTTTTACGTTTGATGCCGCTAGTATTTTTAATATGCAACTAACTGTGTGGTGGTGTGAATGAACATAGATAGACACTGCTAATGCAAATGAAAATTACACTAAGTTCAAGTGCTTTCAAATTTTTTAAACATTTCTTCAAATTGTGAAAAGAAATTCATTTCACAGCTAAATGTTATTTCATCAAAAAATGTTGAATGTATAAATACCATTATTAACAATAGGTCATAACAGGTCACAAAAATTATAATAATGATGACGATGACGAAGATGATGCTAATAATAATAATAACAATAATAATTATAATAATAATTATAATAATAATAATCATAATAATAAAACGGCCAATAATAATAATAACAACAATGATTAATAAGGATTGATGATAAGGATGATGACAGCTGACATTTTTTATGATAATTTAACTTTAGGATGCCACTACCAAATCATATATTTTACATTATCATAAAATAGGTTAGGTTGGTTGACAGTAGTGCAGCATTCTTCGGGAGATATAATCATAGATTAAAATAACCACTTATAAATATAGTGTGAGACTATACAACAATACATACATACCTACTGACACACAAATCTACAGATACATACAAACATGCATGCACAGAGATTTGAATTATTAGAAACGACATTAATATCAGTTTATCAGTAGAAACTCCTATTATTAACAGGAAATGAGTGAAACATGAAATTGCCAAATGGAAATTTATTGTTTTAGGTGAAACAAATTAAAAAAATAATTTTAATTAATTATTTAATAATATCAATCAATCAGTGTTGATGTGGAAAAATTTTATAAATAAAAAATAAAAAATTAAATTAAATTAATTAAATAAAATTATCAAATGCATTTGGAAACAATCTAACATGGTGAAATTTTCGTCAAAATTAGGATTTGATGATTTTCGGATGACTTCGGTTTTTTTTGGTGGTTGGCCATCGATGCTTATCTCGAGGTAGGTGTCAGGTTTGGACTGGAACACTCCACCATAATATGTTACATTGGCTGACTTCACTGAAACCAAAATAATAATAACGTTACCACATTTATTCATCACACAAGTCATTTTTTAAAAATTTGAAATGAAAAATAACTTTAACTACATATCAAGACCAATGGCATCTGGCAAATAAAATAGTGTCAAACTACAAAATTTCAAAAAAATTCAATAAACAACTCAAACCAAAAATACTAAAAGACTAAAATACTAATGTCCTCTTTAATTAATAAGAATCATTATTGTTTAGTTACAAATTACAATGCATGTATAGTATTTTATATATAACATTAACCAACCAGCTATTAAAAGTTGAGAATACTGGGGGCTAGATTTTCTAGATGTACTTTCTCCCTCTGCCATTTTTAATACTAAATTATCTTATTCCAATTATATGTGACTAACTTTTTTATTTGTTCTTTAAATATTTATGAAAAATTATTATCGTCTACTATTTAATTAAAGATTAAAATTGAATAGTTTGTATGTAAATTAAAGTTTAATTATTAAACTCTAAAAAAGTAGTCTCTAATAGTCTAATATCTAATCCTAATGAATCATAGCCTGTGATTGTTAGTTTATTTATCTCAGTTAGATATAAGATATTTAGATTTAGAATTGGGATGAAAAAAACTTCAGTAGTTAGATGTAGGACTATTTACCATCTGATCTACCTACCCTACCTACAAAACAAATGATCATTAATCATTGTCTCCAGTTTCAAGTTGATTTAATTTTAATCCAATATTTTAAATAATTCTGATGATGAAAATAATTTATAGTATAAAATAATTATTATTCTAACAATTTAATTAATATTAAATAAATTTATTAAAAAAATTATTTAAATGTCTTTTTCAATTGGTTTGGTAGTTTTTCAAGTATCAAGTCAATGGTAATGTAATTGTAACTCGACATTGTGATTCCGTGAAAAAAACGAATTTGTTCCGGGACAAGATGATGTTTAAAATTTTCAATCCGGATAATTAGTGAAATATTTCAACAAAATTAAGACATTAATTAAATTAAATTTTATACTGTCACTGTTATCGTTTATCAAAATGTTAATAAAAACAAAATAAATATTCATCCAAAGTCAAACGCTGAATTTAAATGGCTGTTCTAGCGCTTACTTCGAATAATATTTTCATTGAAAAAAAAAAATTTTTTGTGTTTTTAAAAATTTGGAAAACTAACAATTACATTTTAATAACAAAAAATTGTATATTAAGCTAATATTAAATTAAACTAAATTTTTCTTTACAAGCGATATTAAAAAAGTTTAAAAGTAAATTTGAGTTATTTAATTTGAGTTCATTTAACTTGCTGGCGGGTTTTCTTTCATGATTAAAAAAAGGAATAGAAGACGTTCTCGGAGCTTTGGTTCAGCAACAGGAAACAGCAACAATGGATAACGAAATAGGTGATTACAGTAACGACGATAACGACATGGAAGTTGCGATGGTTCTCGGAAAAGGAGTCGTTGAAGCGGATTTGTGTTTTGACCACTCCAGCTCTACTGAGTCGCCTCCACCGATTCTGGCCTGGATATCTTCCAGTGATTTTCAGTCACTGGATGATGCTGCAGAAATCACATCGACTGGCAACACTTCAGATTCCATCAATAATTCCGACAAATCCGAGTTGGCCGCTGAAGCTGAGGCCGCCGCCATCGAAACAGATACAGAGAAAGAAACGATAATAGCCGAACCTACGCCCAAAACATTGCGCACTCTTGCAGGCCAAGGCGATTTGTACAAAATAAAAGACATCTTGTCACAAAGCTCACCAGATAGCTCCTATTTCACTGAATTAAAATCGGGTGTTGCTTTATTACCAGCAGCCAGATTTAATTGGGTTCAAGTTGTTAGTTTTTTGCTTGAAAATGGAAGTCCAATAAATACAGTTGGCGAATATGGCACAACCGCATTGCATCAGGCATGCTGCAAAGGTCATATAGATGTGGTGCAGTTGCTCTTAAATTACAATCCAGATCTCGATATTCAATGTTTCGATGGCAGCACGGCACTACACTACGCCGTTTACGGCGGTAATGTGGATTGTGTAAAGGCCCTGTTGAGAGCTGGAGCTGACTTGACAATTAAAAATAAGTACAAGATGACTCCAGGTGATATGGCATTTGAATTGGACAATGAGGAGATTCTAGAGGCTCTTCAAGGCCATCTCTTAGACATTTTTCTATGATTTTTTATTTTGCTTTGTTACATTAGTAGACATTTTTGTGTTTTTTTCTTTTTGCCGCAGTTGAATTTTTGTGATGAAACAGTTTTAAAAATTAAGCTCTATATCAGATATTCAGCGACCTGTTTCCATGGTGATAAATGAATATAAACAATTTTATTTGCGTTGTGAGTTTGGTAAAAGTTAAGATGGCGAAATCAGATTTAGTGGCCGATTGGGATGTTGAATTGTCCGACAAAATGCATAAGATCCAATTCGAACATGGATCTCTTTCGGGAAAAAGAGTTATTTGGGTCGACGATGAAGTGAATGTTATCTTTGTTTTTAAATTTAAATTATCTTTTAATTATGATTTATTAAATTAATTAATTAATTTCAATTGAAAATAACAAATTTAGTGTGAGGGTGTCTATAAAGATAAAAAATCTGCAATTATATTCTGTCAATACTCAATAGGACGAACAATTTTCGTAAATGAAATAAACAATAAATTAAGCTGTCATGTTTCAAATTAGTCATTAGTGATAAGATAATACTTTTAATTTAATATAATTTTATTCATATTGGTTTGTTGTACTTTGTATGTATTTATTATTACGTACTCTTTTTTCTATGAATGTGCCATATCTTCGCATCATCCATTCAACCATGTTGGTTTGTCAAGGCCGCATAATGCTATCTAATAAAAAATAAATTCTTTTAATTTAACGTCAACGCCGTTGTCTGTCGTTATTTTAATAACAATAGTGAAATTGGGCCCGGTTATTTTGTCCAACGGAACGATAATTACATCATATTTCTTAAATTTTTTGCAAATACTACAAAATCAAAGCGAATGTTTGTAACTATCGTTCGCAAAAATTAATAATTAAGTATACAGTACATGGAAGCAATTTGTCTGATGACTTTCGCGAATATCTCTATGAGTATTAATTCTTTTGTGGCAGTTTTATTAAGGTGCATGTACTGGTCCAAGTCCACGAAGAAATTGGTTTTTGCTGTAGGGGAGAGTGGGGATGCTTGAGACACTTTCCGTCCAAACGTAAACAAAATGTAATGCCCTTCATCATTAAACACTTTTTTAGCATTTCGGTTAGAGCTGGGTCAACTGAATAAGATTTTATAACCTCATGCAACATTGTGAGTCATTCTAGACGACAGTTTCAAAAGTTTTACAGGTACCTAAATGTCTCAACCATCCCTGCTACTGTACTGGTTGAGACAGCAGGAGTCATGCTTGAGACACCATTTAACTCATTGAAATTTCAAAAGTTAATATCCCTTGCTTTTGTTTTATGGCTTGCAGAAGTTATTAGCAAGAAAACATTATTTTATGACATATTATTTAGAAAATATTATGGGATAAATTGTTATTAAATTTCACCAAAATCAAATAAAATTAATTTGAAAAAAATAAAGTTTCGACAAAATATTTATTTCAAATTGCACTTTTCACAAACAAAATTTTGTTCTGTCTTTGAAATACCAGCACAAGCAGTATGTGCCCATTCTACATTTTCCCTGGCATTTAATCCAGCTTTCACCATTTGAAGAAGAAGACCATGAAGAGCAACAATAAAGACACAGAGCATCATCATCATCACCATTATTTTTGTTGCCAGAATTGCTTGAAAATTTCAATCGCCTGCGACTTTTCTTTTCACATTTTACTTTTTTTTCTGTTTTTTGTCTTCTTTTTTCTTGTCTTTGAGAAATTTCATTCTTAATTGGAATATCTGTTAAAATCCTCGTTTTACCTAGCCTGGGGTGTTTACCTTTCAGTTTCCTATGTGGAGCAACTGGAAATGGCCTGATGTCTTCAGGTTTTAATATTGTAGCAATCTCATCAAGAACATTTTTGCAAGTTTCAATAGTGTTATTCAATTGGGGATTTGATGATTCACTTGGTTTGTGGGCACTATCCTGCTGTGAAAAAACTTGATCTGTAGACTCTAAATTATTCAAACTGTTAGGATTCACAGCTTCACAATCCGTCAATGTTTCATCTGGTGCACCATTGAATCTATCAGTTACTTTGGATGGTAGAAATTCTTCTTCAGCAAAAATATCTGAATTATGTGGCCAAATGCCTGTAACTTTGAATCCGGAAGTGATGTTTTCAATAGTCATTGCACTTTTGTATGCTTTTGCCACCAGTCCCGGTATATCATAAATGTCTGGTCGATGAGCAGTATTATTAATCATAAAGTCTTTTAATGCAGTGTTGTAATATCTTTTAAATGGACCGTAAACAGTACGATCAAGAAGTTGTAGTTTGTGGCTACAATGAGGAGGGAAACTGAGCATAACTATTCCGTTGTTCTTGGCATAATCGATCGCTTCTATAGACAAGTGTGATTCATGCTTATCCAAGAGAAGGAGCACAGGTGTCTGAATGGAACACCTTACCTTGAAAAACAATTATTGATTTGAATTTACCTTAAAATATGTAATTTGAATAACAAATCGTTATTTCTAAACAAATTTATAATTAAAAACTCACATGATGAACAAAATGTTTCAGATACATTAAGAAGCTTTCTGAAGTCATCCATCCACTAGGATGACTAGTTCCTATGCAACCAGCAGGTCCAAAATTTATAAAATGACTTTTGAAATGAACCCTCGGAAATATGAACATCGGAGGTATTGCTTGACCAATGGCATTAATAGCACAACAAACTGTAACCAGTTTGCCTCGATCCTCACTACCCGTAATCGCTCCAACTTGCTTTTGTCCTTTTGGTGATAAAACTTTTATCGCACCTTGAACTGTTGTGCAACCAGTTTCATCGATGTTATAAATATTATTTGGTAGAAAATTATGACGAGCCTTTACGTCTTCTAGATTTAAAAAAAGCAGCAACATTTGTTTTATTAAAACAAGACGCTCTTCCCATTGACATTGTTTCTGGTTTTCGAATTGAAATTTGCGTGTTTCGTTTCAAGAAACCATCAAACCAATCCTTCCCGGCTATCTGTCCTGAATGCCAATTATCTGGAGTATTATTCTTATTTTTAATAGCCATTTGATATGCCAGTTTTCTCATTTCCATTGCCGTCAGACCATAATACATCTTACATGATGTAATTAAATAATTACAAAAAATCAATTCTTCTTCTAATGTGAAAACTCTACGATTTCCCCAAAAACCAATCATTATTTGCAAATCTCTTAACATATCGGGATAATGTAGTTTTGTCTATCTCAAACTGTTTGGCCACTTTTCTTAACCCTTCTTCATTTTTTACCATTAGAACAGCTTTGCATACAATTTCCAAACTAAACTTCCCTCTTTCTGTTTTTCGAATATGAGTTCCAAAATAAATATAACAAATTAAATAATGCTAATAAAAATAAATAAAAAAAAAACATAAATAATTTATGTTTTATTCAATTAATTTATCAGATAAATTAATACAAACCAACCTAAATTTATATTTACTGATTATATAACTAAAAGGTAAAGAGTTATAAAGAACACATAATAATTAATTATTCAGGGTTGATTGAGATGTCTCATTCAACCCTTTAAATGATTGTCTCAACCATCCCCAACTGAGGTTTAGGTTATAAAAGTTCTATTAACTTTTTTATTGTCATTGTTTAAGTGACAATATTATCAATCAATCAATCAATCAATTAGCTTATAAAGCGCTATTTCCGCGATGTTCAACAGCGCTCCTCAATGAATTTTGAAAACAGATGGGTCTTGAGATCCGCTCTGAACTTCGCAAGTGATGGAGAAATAGTTAGAGAAGTAGGTAGAGAGTTCCAGAGAAAAAGACCAGAAAAAGCAAAAGCAGATTTGGCAAAAGAGTGTTTAACACGAGTTAAGAAAAAGCGAGAAAAAGAAGACGATCGTAATTAGGTTATATAATACGAGAAGAATCGCTAAATAAACAATAAAATTAATTGATCCGCTTTTAGATAAACATAAATGACATGATATTCGACAAAGATAAACTAAAAGAGTACCCTTAAAGCGCATAATTTTCTTATTATTGACCTGTACCATCCAACCCTTTGTCTCAACCATCCCCACTCTCCCCTATTTGTTTTACCAAGTAAGGAATGTATTTATTTCCTCCTTCCTTGAAGTTAACAGATTTTTTGTCACGTTTCGTATGTTCAAAACCGAGTATATATTACCGTACCATTATGTGTGTGTACCGTACATATAGATGTTAGTTTGTAGTAGTGTATCGATTTTTAATTACTCAACAGTCTACTTGATAACGTGAATGAATATTTGAATAATAATAAATTTAAAACCTTGCAAAGCAGTTCTATGTTAGTCACATGTGGGCCTTACGTTAATACTATAAGCACACAATTTAATCTGCATTCTTGTTAAGGATAAGAATCCATAAAACAAATACAGTACATGGGTCTGCGCTTTTAAATAATGTACTTGACTAAGTACACACAATTACGGTAGTGAATTGAGTCTGACGTAAAACAAAACGAAAAGTTATGCATCTTTTCTTGTTTATTCATGTTGCGTATGTCCTTTCCAACCTTTGTGGTTTAGTATGTGGTAGAATATGTGTGGTGTGGACTGATTGGATGTGCGTGTTTATTTTGAAAATTTTTAGCGTGCAATGAATTTGGATTTAATAGATGGAACTGCCTAAATTTATTTATTTGATTGATTATAAATTTTCCGTTCGTTCTTTGAATGTTTTTATGAATCTATCTGCGTCGGCACAAGTTTGCTTGTGCTTATCTCTCTAGGTTAAGGAGATTATAAGTACCGTGCGTGATGGTACACGAAACAATTATGAAGAATATAAATTTATCTCAATAATTCTACTCTTATGTTTGGCCTATGTGTACATGTACATGTACACGTCCGTATATGCTTCTTTGTCTCGTTGTGTTCTCCTGCTTCTATATTATTTGTAAAAATGAATTATTCGTGTCTAATATTTGGAAATCCTAAAACAACACTCCGACACGACGTTTCCCACATAAAAAAATTGAAAATCAACCATTCTGATGGATTATTATATTAAGTGATGTAATTACAACCAACCCTGCTCTGCAATGTCAACACACGCCTGTAAAAGTCAAATGCACAGACTATCATATTGGCTCATCAAATCACATTCATCCACAAAATACACACATGAAAAATTTTCAAAGCATTATTTTGCACAAACTCACTTATGCGTACACAGGAAGTGATGCGCAAGGACTTTGTATTCGATTTGGTTGGTTCGGAGACATTCAACCTGATGGGAAACAGGATGAAGATAAGCATCTCGTGTGAAGGGTTCGATTACATGTACACCCTGACAGTTAACAACGTCAACTTGGAAAAGTTCACAAAACAGCAGAGCCTGCTACTTCAGACGTGGAACTTCGAAGATCGAGGCAACAAGCACCGGGTTGTCTTAGGTTGCTTCCGCTGTTTTTTACTTAATAACCACATTTTTCTGTTGGTTCATTTTGTTTCTACGTCGTAATCACGTGTCGTTTTCAATTTGGTTTGTTGCCTGTAATTGTATAGTTTCTTTTCGTGCTGTTTGTGCATTATAGTTAGGCTGTTTTGTTTACATTAGAAATGATAATTTGTCTGGTTCCGGTTGTGTACGAGAAACATTTTATTTTTGCCTCTAGAAGTAGCTATTGAATGTGTTTATTGATTTTATTTAAATTTTATTTAAACTCATGTTTATGGGGTATATTGTGTGTTAAATTATTGATAATATTGATAACAATATTTTCGTTACGGCTATTGTTTTAATTATAAAATTACCTCATTCATTATAAATTGTCAATTTACACAAACTAAGACGAAGACAATGTAATGTTTGTCAATCGTTGCGATAATCCATCTTATGTGTTTTTGTCATTGTTATCTCTATAATCTCCATCATCACAGTCTTCATCATTTCTGATATCAACATCATCATCTTCTTCATCATCATCTTCATCTTGCCTACTGACATTATTGTCACCATTGTTCTCATTATCAGAAAAAGATTCACTCGATGTTTGGGCGGACGGCAAAAAAGTGGAAACTCAGGTTAGCCATTGAAAAAACATCACAAATAAATAAAATAACATGTTAGGATTGCAGAGATGACTTAAACTTTTTTTTCTAACTTTAATACTGTTCATTTCATGCATTTAAAATATAAAATACAAAAATATAAAAATTTCGTTTCAGATAAAATTATTTCATAACGATAAGATATTCTAAAATTCAATTGAAATGACCAAATTTGATTCAAGATTGAATTCGTGAACGATGGAACAGTAACACACTTCACTCTGGAACCAGACAAGTCTGCCTGGATTATGGCTGGCCACTCGGGAAAGCGAAAAGTTGGAATGGTTTACAAATTAGTGATCGATGGATGCGAAATCAAAACTGAAGATTCATAATACAAATTTTATTAGCAACATTTTCATTAAGATAAAGACATTGGTGAACATTTTTTAAAAATTTTTGTTTATAACTTTTGAGATTCTTGCCCTCATTCGGTGATCCGTCAAATCTCATGGTTTATCAACCGTAGAACTTTCATGCGTTTTATTTGCACTACTTATTAAAGTTTATTAGTTACAAATTTTTATTAAAATTTATTCAATAAAAATTTTTGACATTTCGCACTTAATTATTTTTTATTATAAGAACTCTAAACATTCAATAACTTTATTGGAATTAAAATACAAATCACACGATAAAATAATTAAAACTTGACAAATTTTCAGCATTATCTTGAGTTTAAAAACAATCAATGAATCGATGTACACAAACACTTTCAAGAAATATTCTCAAACAGGATTTCAGTGGTCATCCCATGCGTAAGAGATCCAGGTTGTTCCGTCTGCCCATCTTCAACTTGTCCAATCTTTTTCCCATTCTGAGCAGGTCATGGATTCTCTTGTCCTTTACTTTTTCATGCTGGTAGTTCAACAAATCAGACGAGAATTCGGGCTCGTTTTTGAAGTTTTGGCTGTAGTAGTTGCGGCTGAGGTCGTAGGGATTAGCGCTGCTTTCGACGTCTTCTTCATAACCCAACAGTTCATTGTTTGAGTTGCTGAGTGCTTGCCTCGTACTGGCAGAGAAGCTGGAGTGCCATGTTGCCAGGGTTAGCAGGACTGTTGTCGTTAAAATAAAATAATTTGATCAACAAAATTAATTTACCATAAATATGTTAGCCTATCATATTATGGCAATCAGAATAAATTTTATTTCATACACACGTCAATTAAGCATTAATATTATCGAATAATTTGTTGAATAATCAACATTCTGTTCTAGACGTTAAGCGGAAATTGAGCAATAATGATTGCGTGCGTGCTGCTTCATTGCTAGTATGGTGGTATTTGTACTCTACACTCTACAGGTATGTATTTTGTAAATTTTAGTTTTATGATTGCGCGAAATTGTCTGGAAAATTAGTGGATGTTCAAAGAAAAATAAAACTGACCAATTAAGATCTGGCTGTAACACACAACTCCGTGCATATTAATTAATTAACTAATTAATTAACCAATCAATTACCAATATTCTATTATGTTACTATCTAATTAGGATTAACTAGCGCAATCAAATACTTCGAACAACAAAAATATTAACTTAAACACTTAGAAATAAAAAATATTTTGAAAGAAAAACTTGAATTTTATTTCAAATTCTCTAGATGATGGCGCACAAATCATTGCTTTTATATGACAAAATGCAGAAAGGAACGTTGGTGTATATACGTGCTCCATGAGTGCATCTGTGTGCATGTGTTTGTGTGTGAGTGCGTGTGTGTGTGTGGGTTGTGTGTTTGGCAAGAGTTAATAAATTTTTTACACTCACCCATCATCGAATATGATTTTATAAAAAGCCATAAAAGCTTATTAAAATGTGTTGTACATACACTTGTCGATAACATAGTATAGAGGGATGGATGGATGGGTGGAAATTGTTTTTGAATGAATGAAAAATACTTGCTAATAGATGGATAGATGGAATAATATATAAATGAATAAATAGATGGTTGGTCTAAATTTTAACGATTGATACGAACACACGCACACGAGAAAACTCTTACACACAGATACACTCACATACACATAAACACACGCAGAAATATGCACGCACACGTACACTCGTACTTAATTTTTATTTATTATTTATCAAAATTTGTTGTATCGTGGTGCTCCTCGCACCTGGATAATCCTAATGCATGCGGACATTAAAGTTTGTATTTGTATGTGTGTGTGTTTACACGTGTGCGTTTGTGTGTATGTGCATTATGGTGTTTGTATGTGTGTGTATCTTTAGTTATGTCCATTCAATGACGAGAATTTGTGCCTATATAGATATGTGAAAAGGATTTTGTAATATGTGCGTGTGCATGTGTGTGCCTGTGCAATTATAAATATTTTATGGTGATAAAGGTGATAAAGATCCTTTTCACATATCTATATAGGCACAAATCTGCATGATGCATGAATCTGATAAATTTGCATGATGTTGCATCTGCATGTCTATGCAAATGCAACAGATGATGATTATGACGATGATAATAGCGTGGTAATAGGGAAGGATTAAAGGTTTAGTTATCGGAAAATGGAATTAGTATGAGGTGATAATGGTGAAAAATATTTATGATGATAACACGATAACAAAGATTATGAAGATGAACTTATGATGAAGATTACGACGAAGTTGGTGCTGTTATGGAAGATACTGATGATGATGAGTAAGAGGAATAAAGATGAAAATAATGATGACGGCGATTACGAAGATGATGATGTTTGTGATGATAAAAAAGATAATGATGATGATGAAGACGAAGATGGTGATGATGACCAGATGAAAATGGATGATAATAAATCTGATGATAGAATTGATAACGTTGATGAGGACGACGACGATGAGGATGGTTAAGATGCGATTTATTTTTAAATTATTCATCATCCTAACAAAACCACAACAACCAAAATCATAAGACAAAAATGATCTAGCGCTTATTTTTCGTCTATTCATTCTTTGCGCCGTTCGTATTAAATTTAAAACAGAAGCAGAAGCGCAAATAAACAAATTAATTCTGCATGGCTTCAATCAATAAGTGAGAATTAAATAAATGATTTGCATAATTAGCCTCATCTTCATCGTTATCGTTCTAATACACCATCATCGTCGTCGTCTTGCTCACCGACGTTATTTTTATTCTTTCTCACTGGTTGCCACCAATTGTTGAATAATTTTCAAAGTACCATCTGTAGAACATTAACTCATTAGTTATAAATAATTCAATTTATTTTTTAAGAACATTATACAAGATATTATTAATTGTATTTATGTCTAAACGTAATTAATTTAATTAATTAATTCGGGCAGTAATTAATGACGTGTTTGTCGTTTACCGTCATCTTCTTCATTTGTATCTTATCATCACCAACATTATCGTCATCATCATCTTTATGATCCCATTTAATCACTATCGTCATCACTTACAATTCGTCACTGCCATCATCATCTGTTGCGTCCAATCATCATAATCATAATGAATCATCATCATCACGATCATCATCCACCATCATCACAATCATCACGAACCACCATCATCACAATCATCACGAACCACCATCATCATCATCATCATCATCACGATCATCATCATCCACCATCATCACAATCATCACGAACCACCATCATCACAATCATCACGAACCACCATCATCATCATCATCATCATCACGATCATCATCATCCACCATCATCACAATCATCACGAACCACCATCATCACAAATCCTCATCTTCATTGTCGTCATCGCAATTTTTTCAATAATTGTTGTCTGCGAATGTTGGAATAATGCTTGCGCGGTGATGTACCACTTGGAACGTAGCGTCGCGGACAATGGCGAATATTTTAAATTGAATTTTGAATCGTTATTAAACGTCTTAGCTCGTGCTTATCGGTATCCGGTTCGGTAATAATCGGTAACGATTGTTGCATCTCTATGCCTTCTCTGATTTACGTGGCTAGCGCCGGTTATATTATTTTAAACAAAACAAGCCTTTAATTGAGTTTTAAGATTATAAATTTTAAAATTTTCTACCATATTTTTAATTGTTCAAAATCGTTTCTAAAGTTAATTATAGAATCGTAGTAGTAGTAATAGTAGTAGTTATAGTAGTGGTAGTAGTTGTAGTGGTAGTAGTTGTAGCAGTAGTAACTTTGCAAGCGCCAACAAATTTCATAACACAATCATTATCAGGATAATTCCCAGTCTAGAGATTTATATCTCTTCTTTTCTTGCTATTTCGTTTTATAAATTTTACAGCCAAATTTTTTTTATCGTCTCGTTCATCGCTATCATTGCATCAATCTTCCTCTTCTGTTTCATCATCCTCTTCCTCTTCTGCTTCATCGTCATATTCTTTTTCTGCTTTATCATCATTATCATTATCCCAATGACTTTATTCCTCATCAGCTTTCCCACAATCATCATCCGACTCGTCATTATTTTTATCATCATCAACATCGCCACATTCATTGCATTATTAAACTTTCCCAATCCACCACCAACATCATCAGCACCACCATCAACGTCATCACCACTATAAACTCCATCACCATTTTCATCGTCGTCATCTTCTTCATCAGGACAGACGAACAAATGCCGAGTATGGGTTGAAGTTGATGTTTGTTGTTCCAGCGGTTGGCATGTAGTAGGCAGATGGCTGGATGGGCTTCATCATGTCCAAGCTCGCATGCTGATGGCCACCGACTTAACGATCGTGATTATGTTAATAATTCAAATTTAATATCACATGCATTTCAAAGTAATAGTTGTAATTGTCAATATTGTCCATATTTATGGGTTAACATTCATTTAAATTCTCTTCTAAAACGCCCGAGTTGCATGCGAACATTTTGCATGTTTCATTTGATAGCATTCAAGTTATTGCATTTCTGTTTTAACTTGTTCTCCAAAGCGTCACCAGTGCAAACAATGCACGTACGTACGCGCGCACAAGCACCATGTCCCGTTATACACATCCAATTCTTTCTTGTGCCATTTTTCACAGCCTGCATTCCATCTTGGCATTCCTATTGTCTCAACTCAATCGCTTACTAGTAAGTAACGAACAACACACACGCACACCCGCACACACAGCACAAACACTCACGCACACACAAAGACGCTCACATACAAAAGTTGAAAACACGAACTCACCAATAACGGGTCCAGTTGGCGGGAGGGCACTGTATAACATCTGCGTGGAAACTGTTCAAAAGAGGAATTTCATAAAAACGTTGAATGTGTCAACAAAAAACTGAAAAGAATGGAATTTTTTTAAAGATGCTAAATTAATTTTTTAACTGATAACTGAGTTGAAGTTTTCCACACAGTGCAACGATTTTTATAGGTTTTATATAAAAACATTTGTCTCTGATGATAGTAAGATCAATGAATGTTGAAACTTTTATTTTACTTTGAAATTGCATTTACAAAAATAAGCTAATCGCAATTATTGCACAAAAATACGAAAGAAAGAAAAAAGGAAAGAACACTGACAAACAGTCTGGGGAGGAGCATGATGGAACGCCATAACAGCAGGAACCTGGCTCGGCACCTCTGGCATCTCTCTCATCAATTCATCTTTCTCCTTGTTCCTCTCTGCGCAAAACTCGCGAATGGAAGTTAAAAACTTTTCAAGGAGAAGTGTGAAGTCTCCGTAGAACTGTGTGTAAATAACGTTCATGAATGAATGCATGTATGTGCAATCGCCTATGTCGGATGCGTGTTTTTTATATATGTCGTATGTTTTGGTTAGGTTATGCATATGTGTTTAAGTTTCATTTACGTTTGTTTGTGTGTGTGTGTGTGTGTGTGTGTGTGTGTGTGTGTGTGTGTGTGTGTGGTTGCTTATGAATTTGTATAATGTACGTGTACATAGAAATGTGGTTACTGCGTGCTCCTACACATTTCAAGCAGGTGACTCCTCACGTATTCTCATTTTATGTTTTTGAGCTTTGTCATTAACTTTATTAACATTCCCTGATGAATGTGGTGAAGTGGTGGCAGATTGAATAATGCGACATAAACCGTTTGTTAGGTGACTCGCAGAGGATGACAGTGATGAAGTTGACGACTACTAAACTGGCGATGATAACAAACATGCTGATAACGAATTACGATGAGTAAACTGTTGATTACCAAATGAATGATGGTCAAGACAAGAAACAAAAACAAACAAACAAACTTTATTGCCTTCATCTGACGTTGCACTGAGTTCGATGAAGATGTCGTAAGCAGATGCCAGCTCTTTCAACTTGGCATCCCTCTGAGATGAGGTGGAACTTGTTTGCTTCTTGAACTCTTCCAACTCCCAATTTGATGTCTGTCGTTTTATTTTGTTTGTTCACGATGCCAGTGGTGCAAATTACTTTTAAAATAATGTTTTAATGCTGTTTGTTATAGGCCCAATAATATTTTAACCGATACACTTTCAATAGTTTTTCAATTCGTTCATAAAAAAATTTAACTTGTATTTGTTTGATGAGCTTATCTTGAGTAGCAATATTTTTAGCTGAAAGTTCTCTTAACGGTCCATATACTCGGTCCAACTCGCTCTTGGATACGGACTCCTCATACACAGCACCATCTCTTTTGTATGCCAGCATGAATTTGTTGGCTGGTTGTTTGTTTGCGGAAAATTCATTAATTATATTGTAATTTTTATTAAACATTTAAAAATTTTTAACAATTCATTTTTTGTTATTAAAACTCACCAAAATCGATATTTGTTGATTTAAATTTGTCTTCAATTTTTGAGCGTTCGTCTTTCAATTGATTCACTTGCACCATCAACTGCTGCAAATCCTGAACAAATTTTTTGTTTGCCAAATTTGCAAACGCTGGATTTGGAGGTGGAAGACTTCTTTCCATGTCCGACTGCAACATTTAAACATCAATTTTTTTAGATCAAAACATTTATGAAATTATTTCGGATTGATATAGAATATCAACAACATCATTAATATGCATTGAAGTTGGTTATTTAACAGGACTAACGTCACTTTCGCTGAGTAGGAGGATGGCACTTCTGTACGTGGCAAACCTCTTCCTGACCACACTGTCAGCTTGTAGCGCTTCATTATAAGCTGTTCGGTATTTTCGGATCTCGTCTCGCATCGGCCTGTTGAGAGCATCGGATGATGATCGAGCCCAACTATGTCGGTATCTTGCTCGCAATTGTCGGTCTATCGATTCTTCTTCGTTTAACAACTTTTCACTCTAAAAGTTTTAAATTGACCCATTTATTTTTTTTATATTTATCATATTTTAAATTATGAGTTGAAGATCAAAACACAAACAAATAATCACAAATTATCATTTTAAAGAATAAAATTAACCATAACTTAACGAAACCAAATGGATAAAATATTATTTCCACGCGACCTCGTCGAGAATGAGCTTGCACTTCTGCAGCATGGTGGGCAGGTCGTTGACGATCCTCTCCAGGTGCTGGTAGCCTCCCATCGCCCGAACCTTCGACGACTTCTCCGCCAGCGATTTCGGAAGTTTCGCCCCAGATAGATCTTCAATGGAGGCAGGAAGGTTCAGTGTGACAAGAACGCTGCGGGGTGATGATTATCGGGATGATGATTATGATGATGATGGTGATTGGATGATGATGATGATGAAGATGATAAATAGATTGATTCGCAATGATAACAACAACAATGATAATTATGTAAATGAAATTTGAAAAGAACAACTTATTTAATGCTTCAATTCATTTGATTCACCATCATCACAACATATGTACTGTGATAACCATAATTTAAGCTATCAATCAAGATAAAGGAGTTGGTAATAATAAACGCGCAACAATCATAAATGAATGACATCAGAAATCTCACGGTACGAACTTATTTAATTTGTTGGAAGCTTCCCTCTGCTTCATGATCTCCGTCTGCACTAACGACATCCTCCTCTCCTCACATTTCTGAACTGCCTGGTGCACGGACAGTGGCAGCAATCGTTCCAACAAATCTGTTCATGATGATGTTGTTGTCGTTGTTGTTGTTGTTGTGGCTTATGTTGATGTTGTTGTTGATGTTTCTTTTTATGCTAACCCTATCAGCCAATTGACCAATCGCCGACCGACCAAACAATTATCCAGCCAATTAATCAATTACTCGATCAATCAGTCAATCAATCAATCAACTGACCTACAGAATCAGATGAAAATTTAACGTTTTCAACGGGAGTTGGTTTAGCGAGGACTGCCTTCTCGACATCAGGCAGTTTCGTCCCATCTGGAATGATCGCGTGGAATATGAACGAATTGTCCTTCTCACCTTTAGCTACGTCATTCTCAATTAATTTTTGTAGTGCTGCATATGGAAAGGGTTTCAGAAGAACAGACGCTTTGTTCATTAGATCTCTGGCTTGCTATATCAGTAAATAAAAGTTTAAAAAAATGTCATTTGAACATTTAGTTAATTTTCAACTACTTGCTCAATCATCTAATTAATCAATTGTTTAATCAATTAGTCAATCAACTAATTTATATGCACATTGTTCAGTCAACCATATCATACGTAAATCTTATTAATAATTCTGTTATAATTATAATAGTATCTGATTATATATATCATCATCAATAATGTTTCTATCATTAACACCACAGAGGACACAAATTGATCTCTTCAGTATACAATTGTTATAAATTTATATAACAGCATCCTCTCACTTACTCTCAATCTGGCCAATCCTTCAGGAAAGGATTTCTTCTCGTGGTAGGCCAAACCGTCGTAATAGAAGGCCAGTGCCTGGAAGACTATCTGCTTGACTGAGGAAACTCCAGCAAAATCCTGAATAAGTGTGCGTGTGTGTGTGCCCGTTTGTGTGTGTGTGTGCCTGCTGTCTGTGGTGTGAAGTGAATGAGCATGTGTTTAAAAAAAAGATTATGATAGTATAGTGTCACTAACTTACTAATAATGATAATGATGTTACTGACGATGATGATGACCATGATAGTAATGTTTTTTTGTTCGTGATAATAATTATGCTTTTGCTAATAATAATAATATAATTAAAATGATGAATTATATAGCGCTAGATACTTTTGGAAAAATGGATTTAAGGGACTCGCTCTGCATCTGTTTGCTCGTCTCTTCGTAAAGTAGTGAACACTGTTGGCTAAGCTTTGAGAGCAGGCTTGCTTTCATGCTATCTGTATGCGTGTTTATGCGAGTATATATGTTTGTATTTGTATATGTATATATGTTTGTATGAATTTTGTATATATGTTTTTGTATGTGTTAGTGTTTATGTTTGTATGTAATTTTATGTTTAAAAGATGTAACTAACAAAAGTCAACAAAAAATTTGTAATGAAGTGGTACCAGAAGCACAAAAGCAAAAAAGACGGCAATGAATTTTTAATAAAACAGAAAAATGTTCAGCGAATGTTCAGCATAAAAAACATGAGCTGTCAACAAAACAAAAACGCAAAAAATGAAGCACCTTGAATGGCTTTTTTGATAAAAATATCTTGAGCTTGTGCCAGGGTCAGACTTGCGAGGGCACTCAAAGTTTCAAGTTGAAGGTCGTTTGTGGACTCCGTGGTCGTAAAAACGGATGGTACGATGGTTTGGAGGTAAGTGAAAATACCGCTTGCTTGCTGTCAGAGTTCCATTTGACGTGAATGAAAAGATGAAGATTTAATCAACTATTAATATTTGTTTGTGCATTTATTTGTGTTATTGTACAAGTTTAAATTTTTTTCATTGGTGGATAAATGTGTTTAGTTTTTTGATAAGCTACCTGATAAAGTTTGGCAGCAGTTTTCAATCCTTCATCGGTATCCAGCTTCTGCTGACAGGCGACACATGTGGCCATAGAAGCCACGTTGAACAGAACGCATACTTTTTCGTACGTGCCTGACGCCAACACTTTTGAATGAATTAAATAAGTTAGGAATTCAAATTGGATATCACGATTGAAACTAATAGGGTTTTTGAAAGTTATTAATTTGATTGGTCAAAAAGTTATTTATACATGTGAATAAATAAAATTGTTGCAAAATGAGTGATGACGTATGTAATTAGTTACTTAAAGCTGTGGCCGTCTTTGACTTCAAGTAGGGAAAAGCATCCTGCCACTTGAACTTTATACGGATCTTTTAAAAAATCATGAACAACATCAACTTAAGGTCAGAATATTTATTTTTCCTAATTAATGATAATTATGAATTCAAAATAAATTCATAACGTAGAAACAATTTTAGGCGATTTTGAGTTTAAAATGAAATACCACACAAATCAGTAGTACTTGGTTCTCGGCTAGAGGCAACTTAAGCTCCAACGAAACTATTTGATCAGCGTACCTGAATATTCCATTCAATATTGTGTCATTATTGTTCTACACATTACGATTAATTAAATTATGTTGCAAACATTTACGTTACCTAACATCAAAATTATTATGAAATGATAACAATAAAGCCTACGAAGCACTAACTTATAAAACGACTTCAAAGTTTTTTCATTTTTTTCATTGATCCTATCGATAAACTCCTGCCTAAGTCTCTGCAATTCATTTAACGCTTGCTGGTAATCCGAGGAGTTGCCATAGACCTTCACGTCGTCAATGTACTTCGTGATGGGTCTGGTTAGGTCCACGTAGGTGCCTTTCTTCAGTGGAATGGTGAAGTATTCCGACGACGACATGATCTACGGTTAACCTGAATGATAAATAACGAATGATCTAATTTGCAAGTTGACTGCAAATGTATTGCTGCATTAATTATTAAGATCGGGTCTGTTATATTCTACGAGAGAGATATTTATTTTTAAATGGTCTTGCCTCGAAATTGTTGACTGAAAAATGTAGATGACAGCGCTGGTACTGTTTGCATGCAATAAGTACAATAACAGTCACAATAGTAATAATATTAGTAGTAGTAATAATAATAATAATAATAGCAATAATGATAATTATATATATAATAATAAGAATTGATAGCAATAACAAAATTGTTAAAAGATAAATAAATAGAAATATTATATTTGTGAGAAATTTAAAATATTAAAAAAATTGAAAATAGTGAATATGGTAGCAATGATATTAACAATAATAACAAGCAAGCTGTCACGGTTCGTTAATTTCGTTAGGTACAAGACTTGGCAAATGTATTGCACATATATTGACGTTACACATGTACAAACACACACGTACGCACTAACTACTATCAAACACCATTAAGAACTGTGTTTTTTAGTACAAGAAATTTAGGATTAAACCATTAGCTGAATCTAGAGTTGTTATGGCTAAATTACTCGTCAATATTCTAACATAAGTGAACCACCCTAAATTATATTTACATTTATTCACATGAATTTATAATTCTACTCAAAGGAGTTCCTACTTTGGCATGTAAGATGTAAGAAGGTAAGGTAGATGAATGTATTGTATAGGTCGTGCAGCATTATTATTTTGCTGATGCTGAGTAATTGCTGGGCTGTTTGTTTCTCAGCTGTTTTATATTAAGAGGATTTGTAAGAGTTGCTTGAGCTCAAGCCAAAATATGGTGTTTGATTTATTTCTAAAGTTTAAATAGATATCAAACATTCACTCGTTTTGTGGAAGGTGCTACTTTTAACTAGCAAGTGTGTTGAGACATGAATGTATTTTATTTATTTCATGAATTCATTTGTTCTCTGCATTTGCCATTGCTACTATGCATATGCATACACTTTGATGTATTGTATCGTTATATAGACCGTCTAATAATAATTGATACAAGTTTGGTGTATATTATTAATATATAATATTATGCATTGCAATTTCTATTAATAATTTTTTGTTATCATTTATAACAATATATGGTTATATAAATAAGTGATATTTTGGAGAATGCTGGTATTTAAATATGTATGAACTTCACGTTCGGAGACACTCATTAATTTTTTGTACAGAGACCAAGATTTGAGAAACAACCCGTGTGATGAATGTTAAATAAGGAAACAGTTATGGCTTTTAATGAAAAACTGAGAGATCAAGCATAAGTCTATAGACGCAATTAAGTAATTTACTTTTTAAGTAATTTTATTTAATTAAGTAATTTACTTTAATTTACAAGCCTGCCTCGGCTTGTATCTCGCATCTGTCTTGTTAAGAAATATTGTACTTAAAAAATTTTAAAACTCCTCAGTTAATGTAAATATTATCAGTTAATTTTCTTTAAACGGTTGAGCACCACGTATCTTAATTATTATTGGTAGAAGTCATGAATGTTCATTTTCAGTTGTCGATGTTGAATGTATACAAAACAGTCTGTTAAAGCGCTACGTAATTAATACTGATCACTGCAAATACAGGTGTTCAATAGGTAAATAGACCGCGACAATAAAAAGAATTAAAAATGTAAAATGATCGAGCAGTGAGATGAAGTCGTTGCATTAAAATGATGATGTGGTGATATGAGGAAATACATTACAAAAATGGATGGTAGTTTAATATTTCTTCATTCATTACTTTATTCATTCGTTTAGTTGAATTTATTGAAATTATTTCTATTTATTAAAATTAAGCGCTTTGTGTGATATGAAACGAATCAACTTCATATGTGGATTTATAATTAAGAAACGTTAACATTACATACCTTGTTAATGCAACTATATATTCTGTGTAATCATTGTTGCTGTATAGTAAAGTATATAATTTCATAACATATAAAAATTGTTCATTCCATTATTGATTATGTTACTACAAATTACATGATGAATGGTGATAAGTGGAGGTAAACTTTGCGTTACCAACAAACTATATATAAAATAAAAACGTATGCATACAAACACGTACAAACAAGCTCACACAAACACAACAAATTACAGCCAGCGCAATAAACTGGACCACAGTAGTTATATCATGGGCGCTATCTACAATCACAACCATGCTCTTGATATTAATGTCCTATCTCATTTCTGTCAAATGCTGCCGAAAGAACATTTCGCCTGTTAGGAAGAACCAAGAGAAGATCAAAAGTTTGTTCAATTTCACTAAAAAATTGTTGTTGAACACTTGGCATCGACAACATGTTGATGATTGTATGAATTTGTATGAATACGATTCTGATTCGTATCATGGGTGATGCGATAGAGGCTCATGTGGCAACCACGTTCGAACGCACTGCGTGATTGCCATAGTGGATTTCTGCATGAAACGGAGTTAGCGCATACGTGCTGATCGATCAGCTTGCAAATTTTATGACACTGATACATCGTTTTGTTTTTTGTTTTTATAAAAAGAAAATTGTAATTAAATATTGAACACTAAAAGTAATAATGTTTAGCATGTAACAAATCAAAAAAATGTCAGAAATGTTATGATAAAAACAAAAGCTAACTTACATTTGCAACGCAATGTAACGCAATTTAACATGTTAATTTTAAAATATTCAAAATGATTTTGTGACAGACCACACTGAATGTCTGGACTTGATCGAATGGAATTCAAACAAGCCGATCCAGACATCATCGCCCCTACCTCAACCCCGACACAGCCGGTCATACTCACGTGGGCTGGATGCCAACAACAACAATGCAGGTTCACATGTCAACAGTTTGTGTTTGTTAACGAATCGTAATGCATACATTATAAATTATAAATATTTACGACGGTTAAGTTAACGTGTAGACGAAAGAAGTGCTCATCTATATAAAACGTCTCCGGCAACAATCCTCTTGTGAATGATCATCGTAATTTTTTAAATAATTATTAATTTTTTAGGGAACGCGACGAACGTTGGTGCAAAATCAACTCAAGTTAGTTATATTTTAATTTTACGACGTTTAAACATGAATGATTTCCAAACAAATCACAGTAAAAATATTAAATAATTTAAAATTTCATCACAAAAGCCATCTCTTCTTGGAAACATTCCGAGAAACATGATAACACCGTCTGCAGTCTTGCAGCAAAACCAGAGAGAAATCAGACGGCCAACGAATGAGTCTCACAAAACTTCAGTATTAGAAAGTGCCTCATCAATAAATACCGTGCAACGTAATTCCTCTCCCGAACGCAATATATTCCGAAATGTACGATCCTTCCCGATGAACGAAACTAAAAATCATGTCGAAAATGGTAAAAATAATAACTTGATCAAATTTAAAGCAAAATCAAGCTCATCGGTGGTGAATCCTGAAAACAAAAGGGAAACGACCGGATTTATTGGAGCTTTAAAAGAATCGCCCACCGAGAAAAAGCGACAGAGTATCGAAAAATTGCGAAGAAGTAAAGTGGCTGCCAGCAAAAGCGAAGAAGAAAGTGAGATCAACGACGGAAATACGACGTCGTCTTCAATCAACTATCTAGGAAAAGCCGTTCAACAAATTTCATCTACAAATCACGATATAAATATATTTAATGGACATCTTTCAGGAAATCAGCGTGCAACAGATAAGACGCTACAAAATCAGCTTCCTAATTCAACGAAAAATTCTGAAAAACCTCTGCTTAACGATTCCACTAATAATTCCAGACTTCCGCCTCTCCCTGTGCGATCAAACAGTTCATCCCGTACTAACGTAAACAGGGAAAACAGAAATTCCAGCGCAGTTGCTCCGAGACGCAACACCACACACTCCTCTACGCCCGTTCTCATGCAAATCAACAATAGTCCGGCTGTCAAAATGGATCGAAGCCATGAAGGCAACAGCGCAAAATGTTCTAAATCGCCAAATAAAATCACTCTAATTGATCTGAAGTCTTTGTCGTGTGAAGCCTTTCCGCTTAACACCCAACAAAAACGACAAAGTAAAAATTATAATGGCATTATCAGCGGCAACGCTAAACAGTCGTGAATGAGCAATGACGCAGTGTCTGTCCTCTACCGACGATGTAAAATTTTATTTTTCAAATATTTATCGTTTGCGAATTCTATTTTTAGACAGCTGTGCGTGTTATTTACTTAGTAGTACCAAGCATGTTTTGTTCTAGCGCATGTAATTTACATATCGATATACATACGCACCGGTGATCTGTAATATTAATACTTAACAATATCAATTGGTCTACGAGATTTTGCGTCGTCTTGTTTTAGTGTTTTATTGCTTATTTAAAATTGTGATTGCATGTAACAACAAATATAAGATAAACACAATTGCATTTGGAAAACTAGTTGGTAAATAAACAACGGTAAAATAATAGGTAGCGGTAAATTGATTAAATTGTTTTATCTTTAGTCATCTCTGTGCTTTCTTCCAGAAATTCTGACGACTGCTTAATTTCTATCCGAGTTGATTTAGTTCTTACATACTTTTCAACTGTTTAAAAAGAAAATATTTTATTTATAAAATTATAGTACACCAAAGTAGCAAGGTAAGTTGTAATAATTTTTGTGGTCATTTATATTTGAAATTAAAAATAGAAACAGCCATTTTCACTATTAAAACGCCTGTTGACGCCGCCGTCTGATTGAACGCCGGCTGTCGTGCGGCACTTAGGCGGTATTTAGAAGCCAAAAACAAACTTATGAAGTGGTTCACAAATCGGTAAGATAGCCAAGCAGTTCCCAAAGCTGTAAATCCAATAAGCACCGTAACGGCACCTTTGTGGACTGAATCGTACAACAGCCTTTTGTTGAATGCCATGCCAGATGACGTGACGTGATGATTATATCGGGAGCTATTTAAAATTCAAATTTAAGAATATACAAAAATGATTTAACTTATAATTATTAAATAATTACTGAGTTGTTTAGTGGTCTCACTTTGACTCAAGCGTGAAATTATTGCAAGTTTTTAAGAAATTTCTCATAAAAAAATGAGCATAGGAGTAACAGTAAAGTAAATATAAATAATGCCAAGGTCATTGTTAATTAAAAGTGGAGAATTATAACAAATATATTTCGAGTAACTTAAAGAGAAGCGACGCAAAGTGATAGATTCAAAAAACAAACATTATTTTAAAATTTGTCAACTCTAAGTTTTTAAAAATATATTATGAGATAACTTTTTCGTGTTTCAGACCGTCTTTTCTTACTCTTCCTTGTGCTGCTAAATTTTATTCTAGACATGGTTGACATTTAGTTGTAGTTGAGTTCAAAAAACATAATTAACGAATAAGAGTGAAAAATGTCAAACTTTATAAGTTTTTGCATGAACATATTTTTCGCAAATTCAGCTTCCGCATATTGAACATTTTTTTGTTTAATTGTCTATGCTCTTGTAACAACCTAGAATCAGTTGAACTCGTAAGTTTTCTTCGCTTTTTTGCGGTTAAAACTTAAAAAAGTCGTTCAACATACAAATTTCACTTAACCGCAATGTCCCAAAATAATTTGTGCCGTACATTTGCAATTTTTCGCGAATTACTGCCCAACTTTAATCCAGTAAGTCACACGAGCAACCCCACGACTTCCAGGCATGTTTTTCAACAGCAGGGAATAAAATTAAGGTTGTCATCGGGGGTGGGCACCGCCATCACGAATTGCGTCATCAGGAGGCCGTTCTTGCACTGTTCCAACTGCGTTAAATCTTTCACTTCCACCGTCAACAATAGAGTTTTGGCATTTTTGCATGCCAGACATTTCCATTCAATCGCTGCTCAGAGAATTCGTCGAGCAGGACAGGTGATCATCTTCCATAAAAATTTAGGTTACGATTGTAATGCCCTGAAGAGGATCTGTAAGAATTTAGTGACGCTCATTTCAAAGCAAACTATCAACACTTCATCACTCTCCCTGCTCATGGGGGCCGTCCTGTTCAGCTGGAACAATGATCAGATTTCTGATTCTGAACTTCATCAGTTAGTTAATTATTTAATTTTTACTTTATTTATTTTTAAAAATAGAAGCTTAAAGGTTTTTTCTAGTTTAATCAATTTTTAATTGTATGCTGCATGTTGTCAGTGTAGTTTTATTTTATTAGTTCTTAAAAGAATTTATTTTATTAGATTATAAAATTTTGGAAGTTATAGATTTGTAGAAAAAATAGATTTTGTTTAGTTTAGTTTGCAAATATTGTTAACAATAAGATGTTAATATGAAAATTTTCACTTAATTGCTGATGTCTTCTCAGAGTGACACATGAGTTTGACTTAATTCGACAACTGAAAGACAATGCCAAAAAAGAATGGGAACCTGTTGTCAGCAAAAGTGAGGTTCGAATTTGGAGGACTCCAATGCCAAACAGTGATCTGTATCAGTACAAAGGTATTTTGTTTGTATCATTTTCAGTACATTACTTGGGGAAATATTATTTTGAATTTAACTGCCTGTTTGTTTATGTTTAATTATTAATCTACTTTTTAGGTTTTGAACTGCAAGATTGTAAAATACTTCATTGATGTTTCATGAGATGTTTAAATTTGCTGCCTATAAATATATATGTATTTTTAATTTATTTAACTAATGCTTAATTTCAGTTAATGGTTCATACAAAGATGTGTCAGCTCGAGCCTTCTACAACACTCAGGTAAGATTATAATTTTTGCCATCACTATCTTTATTTATTATTCAGATGGTATTCAGTATTACCATCAACATCCTCATCACCATATCATCAAATTTCATCATTAGCAACATTACACCAACACCATCATCATCGTGATAATCTTTTCATGTGATCCAGATTGATCTGGAGTTTCGTAAGCAGTGGGACAGACATGTGATTAGTTTGAAGATCATTGACAAGGATGATGACTCGGGATCCGAGATTGTTCACTGGATCACTCACTTTCCTGTTTGTTCTTTGCTTTTAACTTATTTCATTCTGCACTCATTTTTATCCAGTTTAAATTTTTGGGTGTAATATTTAATTGGTTATTTTATTTTTAAAAAATATATTTCCATCGAATTTTCTGCTTGTCAGTTTATGTTTAAAGTGTTTATTTAGTGGTGCATGTATTACTCAGTTGTTAACAACATAATATTGTATCCCATTACCAATTTAAAACAAATGAAAAATTTTAGTACCCTCTGTCCAGTAGAGAATATGTTTATGTACGGAGGCACGAGGTATATTTCTTCTTTGTGGAAAATTCATTTTTTTAACTTTCATTTAAATATCTATTAGCATTCAGAATTTTGTTTATTTTCAATTGAAAATAATGATTAGTTTTCAAAAATGAGATTGCTATAAATAATAATGAAGTCAATGTAAAATCTCATTCTGGAATAAAAACGAATATATGATGCTGCAGGTGGATGATAAGAACAAGTTGATGGTGATTGTCAGTCGAAGCATCAGTGGACATCCCTGCGTACCCGACAACACCAACCACGTGCGAGTCACCGAGTATACATCTAAGATGGTCATCAGACCACACACTAGCTTTGATGAGGTCAGTTCGTACTCTTCTTTTCATTTATTTATTACCTTCAATGTTATCTTTGGGTTTCATTGTTGTGTCTTTGAATTATTTCGTATATATCATTTTTACCTCTACAGTTATTACATTTTTTTATATAAATTAATAGACTGCATAAATGTTACATATCTGTAGAATGGGTTTGATTACGTGCTGACATACTTTGACGATCCCAAGTCTTCCATACCAAAAGTGGCTCAGTGTTGGATGGCCAACTCCGGTAACTCGCTCATTTCGTTCCATCTTTTTCATTTCTATAAATTACAATTGTACTGAGTGTAAATTTTTCTAAATCTTCTTACTTATTTGTGCTTATTTTCATTTTTCATGTCCCTTCTTTGAAATTTGGAACACAGGCATTCCTGACTTTGTGGACAAGTTGCATGATGCGGCACTCCTGCTACAGTATGATGAGAGAAGGAAGAACTCCTGTGAGAATGTCAACTACGATGCAACAGGCACCCTGGAGCTTGCTAAATGCAGTAACGATATAAATAACAATAACAAAAACAATACCGCTGATAATAAGATTAATAGTGATAATAAAAATAATTGCAATAATATCATTGAAGAATCAACATTACTAGATGATACTCAATTGCCGATGTGATGATTCTCTACTGTTAATTAATTTCCGTTGTTTGTGCATATTAAAAGTTTATTTTGTTTATTCTTGTAAAATGTTTGTTGCTATATTCCAATGGAGAAAAATTAATTCAAGTTGATACAATGAACTGATGTACTAACTAACCTGCTATAATTGATGCTTCATTAAGAGATCTGTCTCATCATTAATTCTATCAGTCTTTTCTTGAGGTAATATGTCAATATTTGTACGTCTGTCTCTTACTAAATATTTTAACAATTATTAAAAAAATAGGCTTAAAGTAAATCACATTATATTTTTTATTATATGTTACGTTTATAATAATTAATTATTATAATTATAAATGTTTAGTTACATTATAAGTTAATACTACTTTGATTTCACTTTCTGTTTAATATTGTTATCTGGATGGATATGTCTTCAAAGTGTCAATGAATTATCTTTTATCTATTCTTTATATGTGTATATATATATATATATATATATATATATATATATATATATATATAATATTTAATTTAATAAGGAAGATCATTTTTTCAAGTGTGTCGACTAACTTGATTTTTATGAATATCAATTTTTTTAAAACATTTTTTGAAAAGACTACACTTTTTATTTTTATTTTGCCAAATTTGTAAAGTAAATTTTTTAGTTTACAAATATACCCATGAAACTTTTTATTAATTTCTTTTTTGTTTATTTTATTGTGTAATCTGTTTGAGTTTAAAAGGTTTTTTTAAATTCACTAATTGTTAAATTAAAACACGCTCAAATCTGTAAGATTAGAGAAAAGGATTGATAAGAAGTGTTTGCACCAGCTACGAGTTTTAATTTGTGTTTGAGAAATAATTTTAACTAAATAAATTTTTATAGTAACTCATAGAACATCAAATGTTCCTGTTACATGTGTAGTTATAAAAACTCGGTTAATTCAGCTGTACGCCTTAATATGGCACAGACTCGACATAAACGAATCCAATGTGTAACTAGCTTTCGAAGCTTTTCATGTCATTATGGTGTTGAAGTTTACGGTTGGGGTTTTTTCAAACCTTGATTTAAACGGGACCGAATGCATTGCGCCACCGGTGACTTACGACGAAGCGAATGACATCGTATAGTTTAGGACTTCATTTGATGGTCCATATGACTTATTGATATATTTCGATGACCATAACGCAGACAGGAATGAAGTCTTATTTTACACATTTTATCAAGTTTTGTCCAAGGTCGTAAATCTTGTAAGCGCTGGTTCTAGGCGGTCGTAATGTTTTGTGGTATTAACCGGGGTCTATAAAAACATCTCCCATTGCAACCGACGTAGAATGAATTTTTTTTTAAATTTTAATGTTATAAAGTGTGGTTGAACAATGTTGTATTTTATTAATTTTTAGTCAAAGAAAAATATGGTTGAATTATTAATTTATTATCAAACAAAAGTTCAATAAAAACGTGGTAGCTGTAACATTCACAGCTGGTCCGTAACATAAACGATGTTATGTGTCAATGTCAAACACCTGAACGTGAATACCGCAGGCCTTGGAAAGTTATGCAAAATATACATCCACAACACTTCAACCATTTTTAAAAATTTTAAATTGCTGGATTTCGAGATTAGGCAAGAATTTTGTTTTAAAGTTCTCACTTACATATATTATATCTGAATTAACATATAAGGTCACATAAATTTCTGATGTATAAATGGTAAAAATATATATTTGTATGTGTGTTTGTACTTAAGCATCTGCGTCGACGTTGGTATTGTTATAATATTTAATTGTGATTGTAAGCTAAACTTTTTTAGTTTTATTAAATTTTGCTTAGTCTGTTCTTATTTTAACTTTTATTTATAAACAATGTTAGATAGAGATATATTGATTTAATATGTACTAAACTATATATAATTTATTATAAATGTACGACAAACAAATGGTCACATGTTAAAATATATCCTGGTCACATGTCCGATAATGTTCCATTACTATTTACAGTTTTTTTTCATATCTAAAAGTAAATTCTAAAATGGCTGGTGAGAGGACGCCGATCTTGGGTTACTTGCTCTTTAATTTTCTTCCCAAATAATTTTGATTTTATATTAATCATTTATAAATTTGAGTTTTTAAATTATTTTTTCATTGTCTTGCTGTTGCAGAATTAGTTGTTAACTGCTAATAGCTATTTTATATATTTAATTTTGGAGTTAACTCAAAAAACAAAGAAAAAGTTGAGACAAAAACAAAGAAGAAATGGAACAATGAAATTATCATTTATATTTATATTATTTCCTATTCTCTTATTTTATTTTATACATATTGTGCGATAGCAATGATAGAATTTTTAGTTTGAGATTTTAATTAAATTAAAATTTAATTTAAATGATTAAATAGATTTGGTTTGAGAATTTTTTTTAAGTTAATTTCTTATATTTACTTTACTTTACTTACTTTGTTTCAAAAAGTAATTTTAGTTGAAATTCAATATTTTTTCAAGCCTCGTCGTCATCGTCCTATCTGGGCTCCAGTTTACCATATGAAGTATTGGTGGATGAATGTGATGCAGATGAGCTTCCACCCCTGCAATTCATAAATGAATCAGGAGTTGGGTTTGCAATAAAATGCAAAGTGTGCCAGAAAATTTTGGACCTTGATAGTCGAACAGACTTTTATGTGATCCAATGTGATGCCTGCCAAGAAGCCACGGTGTGTGCTAAGGATTTGTTGGATTCCATATTATTGATATATATATTTTTTATACAATCTTGTTTGGACATGAAATTTTTAAAAATCTTTAGTGTTGCATTGTTCTTAGGGTTGCATCATTTAATAATTTATATTACTTTTGTTAAAGGTCCCAACTATTACAATGTTTATAGAATGTTAATTAATTAATTAAGTCTGGGCATAAAGTATTGCACAACTAACTTATATATGCATTGTATAACTATTTTCAACCAGCCAGTGAAACCAGCTCCATTTGGGAAAAAGTATGTGAGGTGTAAGTGCAAGTGCCTGCTCATATGTAAGGCTGGCTCAAAGAGAGTCGCCTGTCCAAGAAGCAACTGGTCTGTTTGGTTTTCCGTCTTCTGGCAATTATATTTTAATAAGCATCTTTCAAACAAAATTTATTACAATTCTTTCTGATAGTTACTTTTAAATTAATTAAAAATTATTTTATTAAAATAATAAATTTGATATTTCTCCAGCAAATTAATCATGTTGCTGAGTAGTTCAGGTGATCATCAAACGAGGCCACTGCAAAATGTTGTGAGGGTAACGTGCAGTTACTGCAGCCAACAGTTCCTTGTTTGTTCCATTTCATCTTTTATACAATTTTCTAACTTTAAATTATGTTGGGTTTGCACATACAGAATTATGATATGATACACATGATATATAATGTATATATATATATATATATATCAATACGTTTTGTGGTGTATGCATGCTAATCTGTTTAAATCTCTTTCATCCTCACTGTAGTTTTCATTCGTCGACAAACGTTTAGCAAGATGTCCACACTGCAAAAAAATGTAGGTCCTTCTTCTTTCAATTTAACTTTTTCACGAGGTTTAGTTATTATTGTTGGCTTCCAGTTCAATCATAGCCACCCACATGCACATTAGCATTTTATTTTGAAACTGCAATCTGTAAATATGTGAAACTTGTGTACATTCATACATTTGCAAACTTACACACACACACACACACATGGAAACATAGATACATGAATACATAGGGGTATACATACATGTACACACATTGATACACACACCAACACAGTTCCAGCGTTGGTGACCGCCACAACCGAAAGAACATTATAGGCTTCCTCATTGCCAGTCTCCTGTTCCTTGCAGCTGGCTGTTTCTTATTGGTTAGTCTCTCTCTTTTTCTTCTCTCTCTCTCTCTCTCGCTGTCTCTTTCTTTCTCATTTTTTCTTTTTCGCTATTTCCCTCTTTCTTTTCATTTCTCTCTTTCATTTCTCCTTTATTATTATTTTTTGGTGTTAATTTATTTAGTTTTTCAGTATAGTATATTTTTACACTGCTTGAATAACTATCTTGTTTTTTGTTGGTTCAGAATTGCACTAATGATAAATAACTAAATATTATTATTAGATATTATTAGATATATGCGCATTATATATATATATATATATATATATATATATATATATATATATATATATATATGCATAATTTGTTAAAAATTTTTATAAAGGGTTTCACATTGAACCTCCTACCCCAAAACAAGGGCTTGATTGCTGCCTACGTTGGTGAGTTTCATTGTGCAGTTGATGCATACTTTATATTTAATCTATTTAACCAAACTTTTGCATGCTTGTTAACATTTTTTCATATCACTTACCTTCATTCAAATTATTAGCTATATGTACTTTTGCTATAAGACTCTATATATTCAGCGTTAATTTGTTTGTTTTTTCTATAAATAAGTTTAAAATCAGTGATAAAAACAGTTGAATCAGAAACTTATCAAAGCTGAAAATGCTGTGATACTTCTTAAAAATTACAATTATCTATATTTATATTTACTATCAATCAATCAATCAATCAATCAATCAATCAATCAATCAATCAATCAATTTTCGTTTAGCGTCCACAGACCCAGTTTCCCGAGGTAGGACGTTATATTTACTGTAATAATATGCAATATTATTTTCAGTGCTGTTCTTGGTTGGGGCATTGCTGCTGTTACGGGTGTATTTCTACTGGAGGATTAAAGTGAGCCAGATTGACTCAACTACAACATCTAACAATATACGTAGTCCATCCATTGGGGAGGTCATTGCTTGATTGATTGGTTGATCGATTAATTGGTTGGTTGATTGATTGATTGATCTATTGATTGATTGATTGACTGACTGACTGACTGACTGACTGACTAGTTTATTGATTGATCGAATGATTGATAGACTGATTGATAGATAGATTTACAAGTTATTAACAAATATTATTTTTCACTATTCTTATTTATTGCTATTCAATTATTTATTTTTGATTATTTTCCTCCATAAATATTAACAATTTTAGATTGAGATGATTTATTATTTCCTCATGTAATATATTTAATTTTTTTTAATTTTCAATAACGAATGATGATGATTATTTAAAAATGCAGTTTTAATTTTTTTTTGGGGGATTGAAGTTTGCCTCAAGCAACTGTATTATGTATTACGTTAACCTGTACAGTGAATTCATTATCAATAATATTTAGAATGTTTAATCTAAATTTTTGTTTGATCTTTCTTGGCGTTGTGTTGTGTCGATTCCATGACTCATGCAATTATCTTCGCCTCGATTAATTGATTAATTAAGTGATTAACCATCCATCTATGCATTTATAGTTTCAATATTTTGCATGAAAATAAACCCTTCATATTGTATACTTTCATTCATTCATTTATCCATAAATGCATTCGTCTATTCATACATTCGTCTCCATTCATTTATTCGTTCATCTGATCTTATAGATAGATATGTGGTGTTATCCATTTTACATTTTCAATTTAGTTATCTAATTTATCTTTCTCTTTGTTTGTTATCTAGTTTTCATCTGTCTGTTCAGCCGCTGATCTATTTCTACAGTATTTAAATTTTCAAAATTTGGAGGCCGTAAATATAATTATGTGTGATAGTGTTAAAAAAAGGTTAAAGGTTACTCTCTCTTTTGCGTTAGCTTCAGAGGTTTCAACGACAAACACACGCAGCGTATATGAATACGCGTGTAAACCACGCATCATACACATTGCATATGATAGGCGGGGATCTCTTTGTATTCGAACCCAGTCATTGCAATAGAAAGACCAGGCGCCTTTAACCATTGAGCCATCACGCCATTGAGCCATCACGCCGCCCAGTGTGTATGTGTAATTATATATATGCATAAGGATATATATATATAATATATATAGAGAGAGAGAGAGGGAGCGAGAGAGGGAGAGAGAGATTATCAATAATACCTATAATTTAATAATTAATGCTTTTGCTATGTTTGTCCGATGTTCTTCCTATATTTTACAAAATTTCATGTAAATATTGATCATGTATGATTGTGATCATATATTTATTTAAAAGCTCGCCAATATTGCTTACTCGTTTAAACGTTTACTACATTTCAGTTTAAATTGATAAAGTAATGAATTTTCATTTATCTAAGTGAGCCGTTGTTATAAGTTAAAGAAAGCTACGACTTCAACATAGTCTGTAACTTATTCTGTATCCTTCAGACTAGTTAAGACACTTGCACATTCATACAATTGGTTACAGACGAAAGATACAAAATAAGTTATAGGTTGTAGGTTACCTCGCGGACGACATTTCTTCCTTGGTGGGAATTCAATTCCTCCTAAAAATCAATCAGTTGTTAACTTTCACATTCTTCTAAACAACATTTGATTGAGACTTATACTACAGCGATATTTGTGATAATTGTCTTATCATCGATCGTCATTTTTGTTACTCATAACGTTAAAAACCTTAAATACACACACAAAAACGTACATACAAATAAATAATGTTCCCAATTTATTACAAATATATTTAGCCCGTACAAAATTTTGTTAGTGCTACTTATTTTCTGAGTATATTATGTTTCATTTGCGTTTTTTTGAATGATAATGTTTATAATTATGTCTGTTTTATACAGTAGAATATGTTTGTGTTTGTACAAAATGTTATTATAATCAATGTTTGTGTTTGTATATACCAATGTTCATGTTTATAACGAACCAATGTTCATGTTGTTACAAACCAGTTTATATTTGTGCAAACCGATGCTTGCGTTTAACCGAACCAATTGAAACCGTTTGATCTATTGAGTGATTTTCTTTTCAAAAAAGAGTTTTCTTCTAGAAAACAGACATTAAAATGATTGACAGATGACAATTTGTTGTTTTTTTTAGCATGAATATTTTCTTTTCTTTTTGATTTCAATACAATTCTTTTCATTTATTATATTATTGGCATAACAATGTTGAATCGTTTTTGTCTAAGTTTCGAATTATAAACGAATTAATAAAAGTATGTATATAAATATAAATAAATATATATATATGTGTGTGTGTGTGTGTAAGTGTGTATGGTGTGTGTTTGTGTGTGCGTGTTTGTCAAAAGGTTAAAAAAAGGCACGATAAGTTATTATTGGCACACGATCAACAAAGTTGCTATTCAGTTTTGCGATGTCATGCAGTTTAACGTGTCCCAAAGAAACTTGAAGAGAAATCCGTACTGCAGCTAAAATTTTCAATATGAATGAATTAATTATATACATTGTGAATTCTGAATTGTTTAAAGTTGTTGCAGTAGCTATTTGGCATACCGACAGTGATGGTGTTAAAAAAATTTAATTGTGTTAAATTGAATTGTGAAATGTAAAGTATTTATGAAGAAAGAACTAACGTGTGAATTTATAAACGAGAATCGTTTTATCTTCAACATTCTGACTAGATGAAATATGTCAACCTTATCATCCGCCAGCAGCTTCTGCCAAATGATGTAGCAGGCGACAAACGTTCCACAATTTGTTGCCGCATCCAGGCAGTGGACGATAATTGGAGACTTATCTTTAACTTCTTTGGTTTTTTCTAAATTGAGAATCATTTTCAATAGTCCAATTCTAGAGGATGGGAACTGGTTTTTGTTGTTCCATGACTTGAACGTGTACACTCTGATTATTTTGGCTTCCTCGTGTGGATAGGCTGTGCATTTTATTTGCACAAACTGTTTTGTATAATGTTCAAAAGTTTCGATTTCAAGTGTTTTTACTATGTACCTATCTTCAATCATAAGCTCCTCGTATTTCGACGGAGAAACATATTCTACGACAGTTTCGTCCAACAACTCAACTGGGTTCATGTCAATTACGCTCGTTGAATCGGCCTCATAAACCATCTGCCAGAAATCAAGTAACGTGTTTGGCATCGGCGTTTGAGTAATTATAAAATGATTCTTATCTCGATATGAATCTATGAATATGGCGTTGATGTAATCCTGATCCATAGATCCAGTTGACGCACCTTTGTAAATAAAACATTTTTAATAATTAATTTGCAAATTAAATTCCCTTTTTAACTAACCGATATTATCTGCATGCTTGTGAAGTCTAACTCGATCGTTGTCTTTTGGAATTAAATTGACGGTAGGATAACGATTTTTATCCTTATTGATCGAATTCATAGCAATTGAGCATTTTTGATCGTCGTTGGCGGTAGGTAGAAAATTTTCAAGTAGGTTGAACTGATCCTTCAGATAGGACTGACCTGATTTTTGATGAACTTTTTTCAACTCGTTGTAGACGGCGTGAGTGTTGTGCAGGTTAAGAAACATTTCCCTGTGGGGGACCATGAATGCTTCATATAGAAGGTCGTAGATTAGTTGGTAGTGCTTCAAAGTTTTCACCATCCACGGTCTACATTTTCGCATTCTGTTGCAGCATTGATATACATTAACTCCGTGGCTTCTTTTGCCTCCGAGACAATTTTCCATTGCTAGAAAGACTGCTGATCTGCTGATTCCAGTACTGCAATGTACCAACCACGGTAATCTTTGACCGTTTTTGTCGTTTTTAACTTTTTGCCAAAACTCAAGAAGTTTTAGAATGCTGTACTCGTTTGATTTCCAACTAGTGAAGTGGAATTGGGTAACTCTTTGGCTCTCTTGGTTGAGACTTTCGGAATCGTTGATTAAGATAAAAGTCCTGATAATAAAGTTTGCGTATTTTTCCATCCTAATTTTTTTAACGATCACTTCTCCGTACTTCCTCATGAGGTCATCTTCAGGCCAATAGCGTTCACATTTTACGACGTCGTTTTCAGCCAACTGGGATAAAAATATTATACACGACACTTCTTCGGTATAAACTACTGACCAAAAGTCGCAAATTGTCTGCGGATTGAATGGACCTTGCGATGCTATGTAGCTCTTGGCTCCGTGTCTTGAAGATATGTAATTAGCGTTGGTATAATCACTCACGTTTTCTTTATCTTGCAATATCACTCGTGAGTGGTCGTAGGCTAAAATGTGATCAAATCGATTTTTAGATTTATTTTCTGGTCTTTTAGCAGTGTCACAAGATGAAATATTGTCTGGCGGTAATTTATTAAATTCATCTTCTATTGAAATTAGACTTGCGTCTTGCTTGTCGTTGGCGTTTTGTTTCGAATTATAACAATGGCTGTAAATAGGAAACCTAACACTTTCTAAAGATTTAATATCCGTCCATTTTTTTATTTCTTTTGGATTTTCAAAATGTTTATAACCATAAACTTGGTTGGAAAATACTTCACTGTTCTTATGCTTTCGTTCCCGTCTACGCTTCCAGTAAAAACAGTAGAATGCCAGCAATAATAAGAACAGTAGAAATAAAACAAGCAAAATGGGAATGACAATTGCAGCAACTTTGGCAGATTCGTTGCCTCCTCCGCCATTTTCAGTAACGACGCTTACGTTTGCTGTTGTAACAGTTATTGGTTTGTTAATAGATGTAGACTCAGATACTACTTTTGTATGATAGTCAATACCATTTGAAGTTAGTGGCAAAATAATAGCAGGATTTTCAGTCTTAATTGGTTGAATTGTTTGAGAATATGACATCTTAGTTACGCCGTCCAAAGAACTACTGACCACATAATAAAAAACATAATACTGGTTGTTGATTAAAGCTTTGTTAAAAAACGCTCCATACAGCCCATTGTCTCCAACTGTAAAATTTCTTCTTTTCGTGACTTCATCTTTTCCTAACATTGCAGTTGTGTAGCCACCTATGTTCAGTTTTTTTGTTGGATCTTCAGCGTCCAAGCTGTTAACTAACTTAGAAATTATGAGATCATCTGTCGATAAAACACTAACAATAATATAATACGCCGAAACAGGACCGGTGTTCATAACGACGGGATCAATTCTTAAAGTGACTGTTGTGTTAGTAACACTGCTAACCACAGGCAGCGGAGGTGTGGGAGGCTGAGCCACTTCCGTCCAAAATTCTTTTCCTACCGTTGGTCCATACTTAACTCGATTCCGAGCAGATATTTGAAATTTGTACTTTTGAGCTGGTTTCAAATCACATATTAAGCACTGTTCAAGCTTTGAATTGTTTGATCTAATGTCATCAGAGTTGTCGTCAGTTACAACACTGGATAAAATCTGTAAAAAACGTTAAATTTAGATACAAAATTATCAGCATAAATTTAATTTAAAAAATGAAGCTATTGAACAGAATTCGGTAATCACCATATATTCTTGAAAAATTCCATTCATTACTGCTGGACGGTTCCATTGTAAGGATATGCAAGTTTCATTCCTGTTAACTTTCTGTAAATTGGTGGGTGGACCCGGCTCACCATCTGACGTGCTGAAGTAAAAAATTTGTGACATGTTTGACCATCCATCGTTCACGTTCAGTTCAGTTTTAGCTTGGATCTTCGAATGAAATACATGTCACTCAAATTATCAACTTATCGTCAATTTTTAAATAAATGAAATATGCTGTGCAAAGTCGTTTTAAAATTATATTACAAAAATTTAAATAACAAAATGCACTTGATAAAAATTAACCTCAAAAGCGTAAGTTGTCGCTGACCTAAGATTCGGTATGATGGAGGTGGTTTCATTTCCATCAGTTGTGAGACTCAAGATGATCTTCTCCTCATTTTGCACCCAAAAAAATATTTTGTAATAAAAAATTGTTGCATAAGTTATTGGCGGTAACTTCCATGAAATTTCTAAAGACGTGTCTGTGCTACTCTTCAGGGTCAAATCAGTTGGACCAGCTGGTACTAATGAATGGAGTTGGGGTTGTATAAAAAAAAATTATTCACGCCATTATCCGTGTTCATTTAATTTATAATTACTTTGTTGCCCAATAAATGTACATTATGAAAAAATTGTTGAAACCTTCTAAATGTAATGAAAGCCAAATTCAATTTAAAATAATGCACATCAGCATGCCATATTTAAGCTTGTTTTGAAATCAACGTATTTACTCAATTAATACTTTTTCAACTATAACAAAATAATAAGAAGAGAAAGAAAAAAAAGAGAAAGCTGTAAAAAAAACAAAACCGAATGTCTAAATAAAGTTTTTAATCTGAAAAGATATTTGTTTATAACAACAAAAGCACTTGGAATGGGCTTCGCTGTGGTTATCACTTTTGTCGAAGTTGTAACGAGTTTTGTTGTTGTTGAAGTAGTTGTGGTTGTTGTAGTTGTTGTGGCTGTGCTGAGTAACGTAGTGCTTGTATTATTATAAGTGGTTGTTGTTGTCGATGTAGTTGTGGTGGTTGTGGATGTCGTTGTACTAGTTGTGGTTTTAGTGGTTGTTATCGTCATCGTTGTTGTTGTACTGGCCACTGTTATCGGCGCTTTTTATCAGACAACGATTTAAAAAAGCAGGCTATGCAAAACACATATAAGTATTAAGCATGAATTAAATTTTTCACAAATAACTTCAAATCAGAGTTATTTGATTGAATGACTATTAAATTTATGTACAATAAGTTTCTGAATTTAAAAAAAATGCAAAAACAAGCTTAAAATAAAAAGCAAATAATTTTAAACTACTCATTTGTTAATCTTAGTCTAGCAAACAGATTTAGGACAACAGCTATCACAACATTAAAAACTATAACTGATAAGGTAAACATCGGGCAATGATAAAATCAAAATTCAACATTAATAAGTAAAAAAAGATAGATACCCAAAAAAAAAATTTTTTAAATATCACTACTTATGCAGAAAAGAGCGGGTTTTATTGACTGACTTGCCGGTCCGGCTTGACCGATTACCGACTTTCCAAGATCATTCCAATAAGTTTGAACTCGAAATTCGTAGTTGGACCATGCGTTCGGTACGTAGTAAACAAACGTGATGAGGGAATCACTTAGAAGACCATCTCCCTTCTGAGGCATCCAATCACTTGTGCTGTTGCTCTCGGTATAGTTGATTCGAATGTATAATCTTCAAACAAAAAATAAATAATTGTAGTAAGAAGTTTAGTAAATTTTGAGAATTTCTTACAAGTTTTTGTTTAACTCTCGCTTGAAAATAACAAAAAATTGAGTATATAAATATAATCGAAATCACGAAACTAAAAAACCAGTTCACACGTTCCACACAAACCTAATACTAACTCAACGTGTATTACAATACCCATTATATACATCACAATACGCATCATATACTCGAAATACGTACTCATATTTTGTAATTGTGAGATCAGAGTTGCCCAAGTCAACCTTAGGATTCCAGGGCAGCCAGTAAACGATCAAGCGTGTGCAGGATATGTTGGCGACGAGAGGGGGCGTGGAAAGTTTTGGGAGCCCTAGCAGATGGATGTTTTTTAAATGTAACCCCACAACGCGATGTAATGGACTGTGTAATAATCTTGATGTCAGTGTTATGGAACTAACTACGATGTTCGAGTTTTATTTTGAAAGAATAAATATTTTTAAATATAATTTTGTTTAAACACATCAGTGCTTTTAGTACAAAACATTTCCATATTGAATTATCCTAACACAAGCAAGTACATCACTAGACAAACAAATCATTATAAAGCGCATCTCGATAACGAAATCACGTGACTAACTTATTTGACATCCGGTTCCTCCCCAATCCGGATTGCAGATGCAAAATCCGTTGATGGGATTGCAAGTGTCTCCGTCTCTACAATGGCACTGCAGTTTGCAGTTCACACCAAATGTCGTGCTGTTGCAAGCTGTGTTAGTGTATGCGTGCACATGTTTGCAAGCGCGTGTTTCTAAAAATGTTAAACGTGCGTTTCTAAGTACTGATGCGTCTCTGCTTGTGTGTGAATGTGCTTGCTCTCTATAAACGATGTTTGCCTTTATAGGGCTGTGTCGTTGAGATGATTGTCATGGTAACCGCATGCTTGTTAGTTGATATTTTTATGTACAGATGCATTGAGCACAAATAAAATAGGAGAGCATTTGTCGATGGTGACAAAGTTTATGAGGTCATGTAAATCGAAATGAAAGGTAAGAAATATTTTAGTCGTAATTGCCAACATATTCATTAGCCGTAAATAAACCTCACCTCCATTCAAAACCATGAAAACTTACCATCCAATCAATCAAACACGACCGACGACCGACTAACGAGTTTGACATTCGGGGGCGAGGTGCCAGCCCCTGTCGCACTGGTAGTCCTCACAGAGACCACCCACTCCAGAGCACTTGTCAACGTTGACGCAGTGACATTGGTTGCTACAGGCTGGTCCGAAATAACCTGGCATGCAGGTTGGCGGAGTTACCGCTTGACCTTTAACTTGGATCGATTAAATATTCAATAATTTCATATAAAAAAATTTTAAATTGTTGTATAATTTAAACTGTGATGTCATTTTTGTTTTATATATTAATAATACAATCTAATCATATTTAAAACAAAAATAAATAAATATTGAAATCAATCTAAAAATTAACACACACAAACATTAATAATCATTTAAATACTTTAGAGTAAAACAAAACAAAGCAACACAGGTAATGGATTTTTTCGAACTAACGTGACCAACATTGAACCTACCTCCCTCTCTTGCAACCGGCCATCCGCCCATCAAACTGCAGAGCACCAGCAACAATGAAAACGGCATTTGTATTTACTATTAATTGCTACTTTACGTGCGATTGTTTTATTTTTATAATAAAATTCTAAAATATTTCACATTCCAATAAAATCAGAAAATTCAAAACCCGGCATAATATTCATTTCTCATCCACGAAAATAGTCCATATTGACGGCGATGATATCTTTTCAAGGAATTTCAGGTTAGATTATTTAAAATAAAAACTAAAAAAGAACAACATTTAACCTCTTGAAAAAAAGTTTAACCATTCTATCTAGGAAAAACATCAACAAATATTCCCATTAATACAATCTCCTGTATTTGCTCATCTTTAATTGCATTCCCACATGGCTCTGGATATTTGAGACAAGTTATATATATATATATATATATATATATATATATATATATATATATATATATATATATATACACACACATACATGCTTACATATTCGTTGATATAATAAATGTTCAATGTTGATTACAACAAGACCGAACATGTCACATTAAATCGAACATCCTAACAAAAACGAGAAAAATCCAATAGACATTCTTTTTGTACACGCGAAGATATACAACAGCGTACAGACAAACATACAAAAACATGAGCATTTAATGACATACACATAAGCATACATACAACAACCTACCTACGTAGACAACATACATACAATACAAACAATAACATACACATAAACATACGTAGTATTTTCTCTATGTATGTTTATCTACAATACAAACAAACTTTTATATCAGCATACATAAAGACGGACATAGAGATGACTTTTTCAGTCTGATAATGATATTTTGACATAAAATTGTATAAAATTTTATATTTAATATATTATATGTGCGATAACCAGCCAAACACGCACAGACACAAACACACTCACACGCAAAATTAGCTAACTTTCGCATTGCTATCCGACAAATAAATTGTACATTTATGTATCATAATGTATACAAAATATTGAAAAGGAAAAAAAGATGAAATCATGACTCTTTGTCCACGGTCATACCAACCAGGATTACAAATAACAATTAGAAAATATTATCACACAGATCAGAGGGGCAATGAAGGAAGACATCAAACATAATTTCGTCAATATATTTTTTTGTATAAACTCTTTTTTTAATAAAATTAGTACATACAGACGGTAAATTTAAATAGCTTATTAATAAATTTTGATTAACTATTCAAAATAGCTCGTTAAAAAAATCCTGACACGAGTACACGAAAGTTTATTAGCTGTCAAACATCAAAGATCCAATGGAAGCAAATTTCTTCCAAGGCCATTTTTAAGCAGTATGCATAAACATGTATAGTTATACATGTGTAGAACTAGAAATGAATACACATTTATAATAATTTTTAATTTTGTTTCCACTGTAAGACCTACCCAACCACAGACAAACTTTTGTATCTTCGATAAAAACAAATATTGAGAACGCTATTTCAATTATATACCTTTTATTTAGACCCACATGTGTGAGTGTGTGTTTTTGTGTGTGTATGTGTGTGTGTGTGTGTGTGTGTATGTGTGTGTGTGTGTGTATGTGTGTGTGTGTGTGTGTGTGTGTGTGTGTGTGTGTGTGTGTGTGTGTGTGTGTGTAAAATAATTTATTTAGCATGCTAATGAAGCCCTGTTGTTGTCATGGAGTTTCTATGGAAACATAGATAGGAGAGGGAGATGGGTGCGATGTCTTCTGCAATTATTGAGCGCTTCATAAATATATAAGGGCATAAATAATTATTTTTCACAATACCGATATTGTTATTATCATTATTATATTATATTATTTTTATTATTGTTCCAAAATTAATCATCAGGATTCGTGATCAATGACGTATGACAATATAATAAAAATGTGTAATATATATATATATATATATATATATATATATATATATATATAATTAATATTTATATTGAATAAATTATGCTAATGTGGTAGGCAGGTAATCTTCTATTTTACCTGCTGATTAAACGGCATTGTTGAATCTTGCTTGAGTGCTTCTGTTAGCGTTAGTGCTATTCTTATTCTTTTTCTTGGTGATCATTGTTATTATTATTATTGTTGTTATTATTATTATTTGTTAACTTTAATTGTACTTTTGCTATTATTTATATTATTATTATTTTGTTATTATTATTATTAACACGCCTTATTCTTTCTTTAAATTATACAGATAATATTTATTTGATTAATGGATTAGATCACGTATTTCAAAACCTTACTTCACATGGTGTTTCATGAGCGTGTATAACAAATACATTGTTACCTTTACAAATAAAATTTATTATTTATTAAATATTCTTGATTAGTCAATAGATTGTTGGATTTTTTGATTTTAATTTAGTAAATTTCTTCATTTTATTTACCACAAAAATAGTTATTTAATTTATTGATTAATTAATTAATTATTTTCCGTTTCAATTTTTTCAAAAATTAAAATCAAAAAATGGAGATAATAAAAAGGTTATTGCAAGTGCCTTCATCAGCGATGGTTCTTTTTGGCATTGCTTTGTTATTTGGTGCAGGTGAGTTTTCAAATTATAAAAATAATTATTTTATTATTATTATTGTTCAGTTTAATATTTATATTATCATGAGATGTGATTTGTGATATTGTCTTTTTTTCAAATAACTCGTCTAAAATAATATAAATAATAATTAAAGTTAACCATTGATAATAAAATTAACAAATTGTAAAAATGATAATAACAATAATGTAATAATATAATTTTTTAATAATGCACAATTATAACCATCTGATTGGTCAGTTGAGAGCAGGGAGCTTGGAGACGATACCTTCTTGACCTTTGCCCCTGAATATGTGGCCCTGGTTGGCCTGGGTATCCTCTTTTTCGTTCTCTTCCTCATCGTCATCACCATCCTCTGCATGACTGGAACCAGGGTAGGTGCCAAAGGGTGGATTTTTTTGGGTTGTTGTTTTTGTTATGTGTAAAACTGTTTGGTGTGTTTTTTGGTAGGGACGTTTCAAGGACCATGTAGATAACACATTTTTAGCGTGTGATTGTAAAAACAAAAAATCGAACTGTAGTTTTTTCTTTCTTCCTTGTGCCTTATCCTTTCAGGACATTGGAGACCATCGACCTCCAAAAACCGGATCTTTAACACTTTGTAAGATATTCAACTTGTCACTCTCCTGTTTATTGATTTGGTTTGTGTTTGTCGATGGTTTTTTTGGTAAAAGTTGTGGATAGTAGGTTGCCATTACTTGCTGTCAGCGAACGGTAGTATGTAAGTTAAATTTCAACACGATGTTCGTTGTGTTTGATGATGAAGAAGAGGATGGTGGTGGTGTTGAGGTGCGATATAAAATTCAGTGGCAGATCCTGAAAATGGTGGTGGGGGAGGAATTTTAAAATTCTAAAAATGATGAAAACTTTTTAAGTCAGATCTTTTATATTTTTTCTTTTATGGTCTTGTCGGGGACGCATCCCGTACGCCATTGAATCCGCCACTGGCGTCACTGGTGTCAGTGACGTAATTATATGACGGTGTGTGGGTGGATAAAATACTTCATAATTAAGATAACAGTTGTGTTCATTCTGATGTAATGCCAGATGATGATGAATGAATAACAATAATAATGATGACATAATACCACTTGTTTATGGTATGATTTTCGATTTTTATCTTAATAAAATTGAGGAAAATGACATAAAGAAAAGGATTAGTGAAAAAGGAATAAGAAATGAAATGACATCTTAAAAAAATCATGAAATTTATGATTTGACGGATGATAAAAATAAATAAAAAGAATTTAAATTAACATTTTTAAACATTTCTTTTTGACAGAAATTCAGCTTTCGATGACATAAAGAGAAGGAAACGACTTCAAAATAATTGAACATTTATTTATCGCTTTTACTTTTTAAATCTTATTTTACAATACTTTTGTTATTTATTTCTTATTTTGGCTTGAAAATTATTTTTTGCTTGAAAATTTTTTTTATACACAAACTAGCACTATGAAAATTTATTGCTGCCAAAATAGAGCAGTCACATCCCAGCCAACATAGAGTTCAGAATTTTGAAAGTTATACTAGCAGAAATAAAACCGCGGTTTACATTTGTAAAATAATCCAACCTTCACACGCACTCTGTTCACTAAATTTTAATTTAGTTGTAACTTTACATCTTTTAAACTTTCAAAAGACTTGTTTTATGGATCTTATGAAATAGGAATCCACAACGCAAAAATTTACGTTAACAACAACTGCGGCCACAGTACAAATGCAAATGAATTAGAAATGGAAAATATCTTTAGTAATATTTACTGATTCAAAAGATTTAATCCTGCCGAACCGAAAAGAATTGGGTGGAGCAGAGATGGAGAAGAAAATGGAGAAAAAATGTATGTCGAAAAAAATAATTCACTTGCGTTTTAATTTTATTATATATGCGTTTAACAAAAATTTTTATATCGCTGGAACTTTTATGTTTGTTAAAATAAACCAGATTATTAAACCGAATGCATCGATGCTTCTAACGTGTTACAAACGATGGCGGGAAAGATGAAAGAATCTTTTATGGCACGATACGGGAAGGTACCTGACATTCTTCTGAATTATTCTTCACCCTGGAAATCTCAGAACTACTGATCTCAACGTTGGATAAGGTATTACGAACCCAACTGGCTGCTCAGCAGCGGCCCATGAGACGATTTGTTATTATTTATAAAGTTATAACAAAAATTATTTATTAAGTCATTAAAAAATCAAACTCTTGCAGAAGTAAAATCTGGTACAAGAAAAATGACAATATAATAAAAAAAGATAATAAACAGAATAATTTGTGTAATGAAAATATGAAGCAATAAAATATTGAGTTATTGAGCAATTTGTTGAACAAAAAAATCAAGTAAACAAAATACTAAAAAATAGGGATTGTAAAAAAAAAATAATAATTTTATCATCAATAAGACTAATAGTAATGGTTACAGTATTGTAGTAGTAGTTGTTTGTGTGTGACGTGTGAGCGAGTGTGTGTGTTTGTGTGTGTGGTGTATTACCAATGTATATAAAGAAAACTGAAATCTCGATGGCATTCATTTCAAGGTAGAAAAATCAAAAACTTTGGTTGCTCTCTTGAATTTGTTTTTGAATCAAGTAATTATTTAAAAAATTATTATAAGAAAAAAATGTTCATTTAAAGTTCTGAATAATAAATATTTGTAAATATATTTGCATCTGTTTATTTTTTCAAATTTTTATAAGTGCATCTTAGTGCAACATAATTATTTTTTTAATTTTGAAAACATTATTTTACAATAATTTACATTCAGTTTCACGTCTTTCAAAAAACTTTTGAATTAAAAAAATTATTCATTCAAATTGACGATAAATCATTTAATGTAATAGATAACAAGTTACTAACACAACTATCAAAAAGAATTTGACCTTTATATAGAAAAAAATTAGAAAAGAATTTTAAATGAATAACACAGGAAAAACTACTGAAGATACAACTCTTCAAACAAGTACTGAAAAACAAGGCGTGACTCTTCAAGTCCTAGAAATATTTCGCAATTTCTGCGGATGTTTCAATAAAAAACCGACACTTTTCGGTAACCAGGTGGAGCCGAGTCAGCCGATCAGCATGCCGAAAGCCGTCATCACATCTCGGACCGACCAACCTGTGGTCAAACATCTGACGGAAGGCGAAATTTATAATTTTGAAAAGATATGGAAACATGTTCAAAAAAATTTACCTGAAATCGGAAAGAATATGTTCAAAGAGTGGGTTACTTTTTTTATGATATAGCAAATGAAAAATTCTATTCATTCATGTTCTATTTATTTCAAAAAAGAACTAATTCTTTTAACATAATTTTTCGCTTACGGGGATTTTTTGCAATTATAAACTCGTTTTTTAACGAGCCTCAAACACATCGGCTTTTACCGCTAGCTATCTAGAAAAACATAGAATAATGTTACAAATTAAGAACATTTTCAACGTCAGTTAGCCAAACAAATTATTATTAACTATTCAGGCGCGAGATTACCGTCACCGTCCGTAGCGGAATACAAACCCGCAGAACCAATCAAATCAAACGTGCATTCATTGATGCCTCTGTATGTGTGTGTGTGAAAGCATGCATGTGTGTGCAATGCACGCATTCATGAATGTGAAATTGCAAAGCAACATCATCGCGTGACCTGAGTTGAGATAAATGTGTACAAGCCATCATTCACCATACATTCAGTATGAGTTACCGTTCAACATTAAAACATTACGAAATAATTTTTCCGTTTTTTGTTTCGTGCGTATGTACGTTGCTTATTGCGTGCATCAGTCTGTTGATGAATTAAAAACTAATTTTTTGTGAATGAATATAATTGTTACCTCGCATTCTGATACATGTTAATGGGTGCGTATTCGTATGCTCAAATGTGTATAATTATAAACTTGCATATACAAAGACCTGCATACACAAACGTAGAGACAAATATTGAAACTTGTATACACAGACATACAAACATTAGCATACACAAGCATTTGAGCGCGCATGTAAGAAATCACGTACATTAATAATGATGGGTGAATGTTTACAAAGATGCAACTACAAAGACGACGCCATTTTATTGTTCTTTTTTGTGCTCAGGTGTTCCCTGGAAATCTTAATTACCATTGATATGTCCTCGATGATGACGAACATGGCGACTGTAGGATGATGATGACGACCTTGATGATGACGATGATGACGATAAAATAATAATGGTCGTTTAAACAAGTTCATCATATTCTTTCAAATATTATTTAATTTAAAATTGGTTTCGCGGAATTTTAAGCATTGGAATTATTTTTTTAATCATTTTGCGTGCTTTGCATGTATGAAATGCATGTTCTTGTTAAATGCATAATTTCTGTTACAAAGCGTAAAAATTGCAAAATAGTTATTTCTAATTTCATCATTTTCGCTCACAGATTATTTACTAAAAACCCGGCTCTGAGCGAAAAGTTTGACAAATTTCGAGGTATGAAGGGGGAAGCGCTGTTAGAAAGTGTTGCCCTGGACGTGCATGGGATGGTGGTGATGAATACGATGGATGAGATGGTCAGTCACATGGACGAGGGGTCAAAGTTCATTGAGGAAATCTTAGAGGAAGTTGGAATGTCCCATGCCAGATTTGGATCGCAGATAAAAATTGACGACTTTTGGGTAGACCTAATTTTTTATCGTTCACTAAACGAAGACTATTTTACGTTAAGTGTTTTAACAACTCTTAAATTCAGTTTTTAAAGTTTAAGATATTATTGAAAAAGAATGTCGAATCATTTTTGCTCGAAAGCCGAAAAACCTCAAAAATTTATTCTATCAAACGATTTAACACGACATTCAAACTAAGTAAACAAATAATATTTGCATTTTAAATGTTAGGAATTAGAGGATCCTTTAGTGAACGCCATCGTCAAGGTCACACCAGGCATTAATCAGAATGCATTGAAACTGACCAGGAAGGTGATCAGGTTCATCATAACAGGAATCACGAAGGGATTCAAGGATGAATGGATTAAGAACGGAGAGATCTTGGAAAGTACGATTGTCAAGAATCTTCAATTAGTCTGATTTTTAAAATGGATAACTGAATGTAACAATATTGAGTTTGAAATAAAATTAAACTTAGAAATAGACAACAAAGATCCGTCTACATTCTCCTCATTCTACTCTGGTTCACACAAGAAGCCGGATCTGAGCGAAATCATCGAGAAGGACATGGAAGAGAAGATACAGACTAATGAAATGTTGCACCACCATCATCACGGCCACCACCACCACCACCACCACGGTGATCATCATCGTCATCGTCACCACGAAAACGAATTAGTGATGGACAGTGTCTCCGGGGTCTGGTCGGTGGCTTCCTATTCCAGTAACAGGAAGAGTAGTCCATCTGGTCACTTGTCAACAGCTACAAGAAAGTCCGAGGCTAGAAACAGTACTGTCAGTCACTTGAGTGGGAGGAGTCTGGCGGTTACGTCACCCAATCAATATCATCCCTAATCGATAGCGTGATGCCGCTTTTATTTCCTTCATATTAATTACTATGTACATGAACGTTTGATTTTCGATTTTGATCATCATTTGTACGCAAAGTTGAAATAAATATTCGCTTATATTTTGAGTAAAATTTGCTGTAATTAAAAACAAACCATAATAATTTGATCAGATGAGTGAATGAATGATTTAATTGAACGACGAAACGAAATTAATATGAAAATAAAACCAAAATAAATGTAACTTTCTCATAAGCAGGTATGACGGCGAATAACAAGTTTGTATTTGGTGCAAGAATCAACAAATTCGATGGTATATAAACCACATGATGTGCCATCAGACTAAATAAACAATGAGATAATTTGTATTTGAATACCTAATTGAATGCAAAACAACTAATTTTACAAGATAGATACTCCGTAGATCTAAAATATTTTATCACAACAAAAAGAAAACAATGACAGGATCGGTATTGAAAATTGTCAAAAAAAAAACGATTATGATAATCCGATGAGTTTTTTGACTTCAGCGCATGTTTTGGCGGCGTTTTGGGCGGCAATTTCATTTCCTTTACTGAGTACAGATACAACGTGCTGAGGTTCATTTCTCAGGTGAACGATACGCGCACGAATCGGCTTCAACATTTCAATGATTGCCTCAGCCGCTCGTTCTTTGTATTCTACAGTGGTCAGATGAGCGCACTCGGAACAAATTTGATCTGGCGTTGAACCTTCAACAGCCGCATGAATATCGATTATATTTGAAATACCCGGCCTACCCTGACTATCGTACCCGATCATCCCGCCAGTTCCCAAATCTGTTACGGCTTTTCTGAGTTTTTCTCTGATCTCATCAGGAGAGTCAAACAACTCGATCCTTCCTCTTGAATCTTTCTCAGATTTGCTCATCTTGCGGATTGGATCACGTAAGCTTTTTATTCTAATGTGTTGGCCTAAGGTTATCAAAAAATGTTATTTATTATTTGTAACTAAATTTAGTGAAGATTATTTTAAAATTGATGGCTAAATTTATACTTGTAATTTGTTTAGGAATAGGGAATACAGGACTATAGATCTTGTTGAACTGCCTAGCAAGATGTCTGGCAAACTCCATGTGTTTAATTTGATCATCTCCAACTGGTACATCTGTCGCCCTGAAAAATTATTTTCAAATGTTCTCAGTTTTCAATTGCATTCAACTTTTTTCACTAATAGAAATAAATTTATAATATAATTAATATATGTATGCTGAACTAAATAGTCAATAAAAATGATGTTCAACTTGTAAATGAGAACATCAGCTGCCTGAAGTACAGGGTACGAGTACAAACCAAGAGAAACATCTTCCTTTGAAGGGGACTTCTCCTGATAAATATATTGAATTATACAAATGTTAATTTTTTAAATTGTTTCATAAGATACTTTATAAACAAATATTACTTAGATACACATAAATTTATATAAAAAAATGAACTCACATACAAAAAATGTAAAATAATTTAGATTTGTCATATGTCCTAAAACAAAACAAATGGAATGACAATTAACCTTCCACTGAGGCAAGTGATCTAGTTTATTTAATGTAGCGAGACAACCTAATATCCAAGCCAACTCCGTGTGATGTGGCACCTTCAATTTGGAACAAAAATCTTAAAAAAAAGAAACAAAACATGACAACAACAACACTGTCACTCACAGAGGACTGCTGGAACAGGACAGTCTGTGGTTTGTCAAGACCACATGCCAGGAGAGAGCAAGCTAAGTTAATTATATTCTGCCTGTAAGTTTCACATATTTTAGATCTTTTTAATTTTTGTAATTGATTTATGCAAGTTTCACTTTCTTATGTATGCTGCTATTAATATCAATAAAATAGTTAAAAAGTTGAAAAGTTTACTTTAAATTTAGAAGGTATTTTTCCAAGAAATACATGGACAATAAAAAAGTATAGGCATAAACACACTAATTCATACAAGCTAATAGTATAATATTAATATAATGGGTATTATTTTAATCATAATAATAGTGACATGTTATGAAATTTATTTTTATTTATATTTATTCAAATTATGAGACAAAAAAATTAATTTTACTTTGACTTAACCTAAGAATTGTTGGATTTTGTGGAACAGTAATTGAATGAAGATCGACGATTGAAAAAAATATTTTATCATAACTTTCAGAATTCTGAAGTTTAACACTCTGCTGAATGGCCCCAAGATAATTTCCAATGTGAGGAAAACCAGTGGGTTGTATGCCTGTCATCAGTGTCGGTCGGAATACTCGCTTCCTACTCTAATGGAAAATTTGTTAATAAGTATTATATAATTATAAACTGCAATAAAAATAAAAACATCATAAAAAATATAATGAAAGAGTAATTAATTTAAAAATCAGCTACAGAATACATATTTTTATTTATTTTACTATGAAAATTAGTGTGGCGCAAAAAGAACAATCCGCATTTAAGAAAAACAATTAAAATTTAAAAATAAAAAAAGTCTTTATGAAAAAAATTAAAAAAAAACCCAGGCAACCTCACACATCTCGTCATTTCTGCCAATTTGAAATGTTCTTCTTATGTTGTAAAAACTTCTGCACGATTTTTTCAATAAAATTTGATTTGTGTAACTTTTACCAAAAACACCAGCCATACTAAAGTAAATTTTTTGAGAAAACTGGAGGCGTTAATTAATAACTTAAAAATTAATTTAAAAAAAGTTGTAAACATAGAGTTTTTAACTTTGAAACACTATGATTGAGCCAAAGGGTTTGAGCTAAAGAATCTACGTTTGAATTACACCATACTAAAATTGAATACTAGTTTGTAAGCGTTTGATTCATTTTATTTTATTTTTTGGCTCAAGCCAATCACCACGAAATCACCATTTACGTGCTCTTTAGAGGTTGTCAGTAATTACAATGAATGATTTTGCCCATGTTGTTCTAGCTCCCAATAAACTAATAAAGTTTACAAAAAAAATATAGTTAGTCACTACCAGACAAAATTTAAAATTACTTGCGTAATATTACATAAATAATTACACGATGAAACAATCTGGTATCGTACTTTGTGTTGAGGACTGAATAAAATCTGAAACAACGATCCATCTATCCGCTTCATCTTATTCAAAAAAAAAATTAAAGGACAAATTTTAAGCGCATATATTAAAATTTCTAAATTTGTAATTTGGTAAAATTTTGACGAAAATTTAACTTTTTATGTTGAAATTTAACTTTTAACCGTTTTTCATTTTAAATATCTGACTGATAATGATAATATATTATAACCATGGATATGATCATATAACCGTGATTATAACATCAAATCTACGTTATTGCTTCCAGTCTGTTAATTTGGAAAAGCACAATTATGCTATTATGTAAAATTTGAAATAAAATTACCGTAGATTGTAGGAAATTTTGCAGAAATAAAATGGTTTCGAATTTCGTAAATGGTGTGGATAATATTCCACATTCTGGCTATCCAGCAGAAGAAAAATGCAGCATTCATTGCACCTACACAAGTAGATATTGTTTAATTTAATAATGATATTTGTTTAATAAATAAATCAATAAATGTTATTTTATATCGTTTGTATCCAATTAATAAATTATCTTGATTTGAAAAAATCCATAGACTAAATTAAATACTGATAAGTTGCAATAAATATTGATATATAAAATGATTTTGACTTGACCATGGATAGAAATTGCCTCTTAAATTTATTCATAATTCAATTGAATTTTTAACAGACTGTTTGATGAAAAGATTGGCCAAAAATACAACATGTTATCACAAGGTACCAACTGTTTTTCATGAACCTTACATAATCAGAGGATATCGAAGAACAGGGATGGCATGGTTTTACTACCTCATGAGTATTTTTCAACTGCACAATGAAACCATGAATATCTGGTCACACATTTTAGGAATAATACTCATTTTAAAAAGCTGGTATAACCTCAGTTACGAATTTGATTTTATAAATGATTCTTATTCTTGGCCACTATTGGTTGGCCTAATTTCTTCCTTTCTGCTATTTTTTTTCAGTTCGTTTGCTCATTGTTTTCAGTCTAAGTCAGAATTAATCCATCATATTGTTTTCATGTTTGACTATGTTGGTGTTGGTTTGTATTCCTTAAGCAGTGCTGTGATGTTCTTAGAATTTACAAGTACAAATCAATATTTTTATTTGATGATTCCAATATTTAATTACCTCTCCACATTCCTAGCCACAATGGTCTGCATTGGGTGTTGTATGTCCAAATCCATTTATCAAAAACCTTATCCATTTGCTAGAAAACTCTGGCAAATTCTACCAATTGCAGGGATTTATATATTGATAATTGCACCAGTTGTTAATCGTCTTGTCATTTGCTATCTCAATAGGAAATGTTTACAGTCATTATCTACTCACATCGAGCACATTTTGTGGTTCCTTGCGAGTGGTTTTTTCTTTTCTAGCAACATTCCAGAATGCTGGTCCCATCTTGGAGCTTGTGATCATTTTTTTGCAAGTCATCAAATGTTCCACCTCTCCATCATGTGCTCCATTCTCAAACAGTTTGAATCTGTCACCATGGACTTTAAAGCTTTCGAACAGGAAATAAGACTTCGTCCAGAGCCAACATTTTTTTCTGCTTTTGGCTCAACAATTATTGTCTGGAGCTTTGAGTTGATCTGCGTTTTATATTTTTATCTGAAAACTAAGCAAAGATTAGGATTGAATAGTAGTCAAACAAAATATAGCAGATAAATCAACATTTTTACACACAATTTTTATTTGCATTCCAACTCAAAATATTTCATATATGATGTGGTTGAATATTTTTGCGATTTCATTTTTTGTAATTGATCTAATGATATTTTATTTTTACATTTTCTAGTTTTCAGTAACTTCTTTTACATGTTATACAAATATACAAATGGGAATTCAAAATGTTTTATACATTTTTGAGTTATAAATTGTTATTATTTACTACTAAACTTTTATAAATTAAAATTATATAATTTAATGAGAAAATTATTTTGTTTGAAAGTTCTCAAGCTCCTGGTTTTAAGTGTTCCATCTCACTATGGTAGACAGTATCGAATATCAATCTTTCACCTTCCGTTCTTGTTCTGATCCTCTCACCAACCACCAAATACCTGATGACAGCAGCTGCTGCAGCCAGTCTACATCCTGCCTGAAATGCCTTCCAGGGCTTGAAAGCTGTTTTCAATGATTCAATAAGAAATTCATTAACACATTAACAAGGTTGATAACTGTTATCAAGAAATTTTCACTGAATTCAGTTTTTCACTCAATTTCACTCAGTTAAAAAATATTAAACAAGATATACCCACTAGCAAGTTGAAGTTATTATGTAGATAAAAGTTGTTAATCCAAGAGGAGCCAAAAAATGATTTTAAATTTTTGTTGTTAGGTGCATGAATACATTATTTTTCAAGTGACAACAAATAAAATCTAGATGATTTAAATAATTTTTGAGCTATATGAATTTGAAAAGCAACAGACTTCTGCTGCCATAGACGACACCAGCGACAAACCCTCCCATAGCAGCATTGGTGATCAGCTTGTCCTTGCCTCGATACTCATCAAGCAGGGATGTGATTGCTCCAAACACACCAGCTGACACACCTACATGGCAATTTCATATTTTATTCAATTAACTATCATGTAATCTTTGAATTACTGTTGACACCTATTTAACGCATCTGTTAGTTACTAATTGTTTTATTTGAAAAGTCTGAAGAAGTTGAAAAATAAACAAAAATCGGGGATAAATAATATTAAAATTTTTTAAAATAATCATGTTAGTTAATTTAGAAATGAATTAATTGTAACAGAAAAGTCAATATAACAACATAATATAATATTATAATTGAATGGTTTTTAACCTTATAAAATAAACATGAGTAAGAATTACAGAGCTAAGCTATTTTGAATTATAAATTTATGGCAATAAGTCCATTAAGCAATAAAACTTTAATTGGTGTTCTGCAATATAACTTACCAAAAGGTATTGCATAATTTCCCAAACATTTCCCCGTAAGCACAAGGAATGAATTGGTCTGAACTTGAGTGTGAAGAGGAAGGATGGAGAACAGTATGCCTGGTTGAGAATAAAATACAACGAAATCCAATTTATATATTATACATAATATAATTACAATATAATTTAATATATAATTTAATCTCATACAATTTATTAATCTATCATTTGAATATGATTACAACTAAATAATAATTAAATCGAAAATATATTTTGTCTTAAAAAGATCAAATTAGTTAGTAGAAACCTAGGTAAATTAAAATAAATTTAATTTTTTGCTAATATAATGATTATTTTTTTTTTATTTATTTTATCAAGTTGATCTTGTTTTATTTAAAAGTGATAATCACAATATTGACATTTACTCAATCTAGCAGGAATGAATTTTTATAAATGAATGACAATAATTATTTATTAGAAACTTAATGTAAACAAGTTTAAAAAGTTTGTTGATCCAATGTTGAGTGTTGTTGTACTGCAGTTGTATGTGATGTGGGAAAATTTCCCAAAATATTTCAAATGGCTTGATGAAATGAACGTACCTCCAAAAAACCCCTTCTTAGCCAGACGAACAGTATTGTCGGCGGGACTTTCGTTGTACTTTACCAAACGTTCATCTTTCGGTGGTTCGTCCTTCACCATTTTCATTTTTTAAAATTATAAATGACGAGCTGGCCAGTTTAGCGTGATGTTGATTATTGCAGGAGCAATGAATATTGTTTATGGTGTGTTAATAGTTATTTGTGTAAAAATCTACACAAATATAATCAAACACAATGTTTAATTTAAATACAAAATTTTGTTTGATTGTCGTTTAATTATTTTTTTAAAATATAAACTTAACGATAAAGCTAAGATTTCACCTTGAATTGTACCGCATGATACGAGCACGAGTGCGATAGTCATCAACATGGATCCGTCCTGGAAATTATTGGAGTATAAGATAAATAAATGGTTGAACTGATGTTCCAAAAAGGCTTTATGAAGGTTTGAAAATGACGGAAAGAATTACCGAGACATAACTTAGAGATCGTATCAAAGCAGAAGTCGGAAGCCGACAAGATCATTCGTTATTACTATTACTAACCATTCGTTTTTGGAAAGAGCAGTGACAAAAATAAAAACCAATTTGATTGATGGGAATGATATTGGAAACAGAACTGTAAAGAATCTCAGGTCTGCTGATGATATTGAACTACTGACAGATGTTGAAAACAAGTGGAAAGAATTTATACGTGATTGAGTTGCGCACGAGGTTGGCAAGGATGAGGATTGTATATCAACTTGAACGAATGAAAAGTGTAGAATTATAAATAGAAATGGAAAAACAAGGACAAGTCGACCGCTTGTGCAAACATCTGCTCTGCGAGAAATGTTTGCATGGTTTGTTTAAATTTTGTTCGTATTTTTTTAATTTTCGGTCCAGAATAATTTATATTCAATGCTTTTCTCTTGAATTGTTATTGATAGTTTTCAAGGACACTTAAAATAGCTAGCATTTGTAGATTTGTGCAACCCTTTTTATACACACGTTTAATATGAAAATGAAAGTTTTCAAACAACCACTCAATCAACCAATCAATCGATCAACCGTTGAAATAATTTGGAAAAGTCATATCAAAACAAAAATAAAAACAGCAGAAGCCTGCACTAATATAAAAATGAAACTAGAAGAGAAAAGTTTAAAAAAAAAATCAAACATAGAAATCGATAAATTGGTCGATGCCATCGGCTTTAACAGACTTCTAAAAGATTAACAAGAAAGATTTATTGATTGGTTGGTTGGTTGATTGATTGGTTGGTTGATTGATTGACCAAAACCTCAAAATATATCACTACCTATACCTAGATTCATTTCATTAATTCACTACCACAGTTTGTATCTAATGTGCACAATAATCACGGTCTGGTACATACAGAAGTTCACAAGTATTGAACGTTTTGTAATGACAGTTTATTACAATGTTTTTCATTTTCATTAAATTGTTTAACTAATTGAGCAAGATGAACATTTTTTAGGCAAATAATTTTATTAATATAGGTTATTAATTAATTAATTAACCAGTTATTGCTATCAATAAATTTAGAGATTAGCTATTCGAGGAATTTAATCAAACAAATAAAACAATAAATAAAACAATGGTGAAAATGATAATTCGAGAATTAAGAATAAAAATAGATTATAAAAAAAAATTATTCATGAAATACGTTAAAAGTTAATGGTCTTTTCAAGCAGAATTTTTTCACAACCACGTAAGCCACAACACAGGACGCCATTGAGAGTACCAAACCACCCACAAAAGACCCCGCGTCGAAGGCCCTCGTACATCTAACCCCTATGATTTAAAATATTAGTGCTTGTTGAATTTTTTTTTGTTATTTAATTAACAAATCTTTTTTAGCTTAAACATTTGTTTACATTTAAAGAAATACGTAACAGTTAACTTACCTGTGGAAGTCGCTTCACTAAATTTTATGATACACAACAACATCATCGTTAACTTTAACAGTGATCTCATATTTGTAATCAAAAGCGTTGAATTTAACATTATTCTGGGTTTATAATTTAATAAAACTTTTAAACATTCGCTGAAGAATTATCCTATCACCAAACATTAACAAAATTAATTATTGTTAAGCTGTCCTTTAATTAATACAACAATACGCTGCTCTATTCACACTCAAGGCATTCATATTCATTATTCATACATGAAAGCAAACAAAATTGACAGGCTATAAAGATATAATACTTGTAAGAACACGTAGGCTAACATAAAAACGCGCATACACAAAAAACACACACATACACGCACACATACATAAACACAATAATGTACACTTAGAGAAACACATTTGATACTTGTATATGGATACTCACCTTACTCGCCTCACAGCTACCACTTGAAACGCTCAAGAGCATGTATGGATAATTTGATTTGATAATTTGTTGTACAACTTCTAATTCACCTAATATTCAAATTTTTCAAATGGTGGACTTTATGAATAGGCACTGTAATTTCCTGCCAATGATGCTTCCCGATTCTTATTTTCAACTCTTCAGCCAAGTTCATTAATCTCAGAATTATTTTTCTTTCATTTCTTTTTTCTCTTATTTAGGATTTTTATATTTATTTATTTTTTAAATATTATTATTTTTTTATTTCTTTTAACATTATTACTTTTGAATGCTTTTGACGACTCCTGCACCACATTAAAGGTAATAATTCATCGTAGACAATTCATCTTTTATTGAAATAAAATTTGACGTTCTAATCTGAAACATTCCATTAAAATGTATTTCATCATCACATTTTGCGTGCCTCAATTTAAATCACCTGATCCTCAACTGAATGAATTTCATTTTAATAGTATAGAGGTAATTAACCTAGTTGTTTCATGTTGCCGTTAAGTTAAATTAAAAAAAAAATAATTCCGTTACAAAAGTTATCCATTTTTTTGTTGATGTAATATTTCACATAGTATTAATATCTTCACATAATAAAAAAGCTGAAAACAGGAAAAGAATCAAAAATTGAATTAATTAAAATCATCTATGAACAATTAAATTATATTAAAAGTACAAAACCACAGTATCGAATTGAAAAGAGACGTTCGGCGACGTCACATGTTTACGAGTATTTGAAATATTTTTAGAATAAAGATGTTTGTTCAAAATAAATGCCCATTTAATCTTTTGAACTTTATTTGTATTCAATAATTGTTTTGCTAGTTCTAAGTCGAAAAGATATAAACTTTTAAAATGCCCAATTATTGCGACGAGTCGATGATGAAGGATCGCATTCAGCCATGCGACGTCAGCAGGGATTGGATGAAAAATGCCAAACAGTCAATGGAAGAAAAGTTGAACATGGAGAGAGTTAAAAATAGGCAGTTTAGAGAAAGACACCGACTGAAAGACATAGTAGACAAAGAGTATAAAATTTTGAAAAATAAATTTCCAAAAGGTTTTGAACGTATACTTGAGCTTATGATAACTGAAGCCATGCTTAAAAAACCGACCAGAATATCTACATTTTTTTCTGTTTTTCTCGAATCTCTGCTGTTGTGTAGAATCAGGCAAGAGTTTGGCCAGATTGATGGTCAGACTTATGTTCCATTACATTTTTAATGCATATTACATTAATCAATTGTTGTAAAAAATTTAAATAGTCCACTGAAAAATTCACTTTCCATATTAATACGCTGTGTATTAATTTGAACATGTTTTCTCGTTTTTATGCCGGCGTTCACCAAAAGTGGTTAAATAAACTTTTTTTTAACTTTTTTATTGCTTTTATTTTTCTGCGATACGAAATACTTTCGATCAATTAATCGATGGCGTGATGGCGTAATGGTTGAAGGCGCTTGGTCCTGCTGTTGCAATGACTGGCTTGGAATGCTACTAAAAGACTCCCGCCCATCATATTCAATACTTCTGATGCGTAGTTTTCACGCGTATTCATATAACGCTGTGTGCTCTTGCAGAGGATGAAGGATGAACTATAACCTTTTTTAATCATTTAATTTATTTAAGTTATTATTTTTTTATTACATTTCAAAACAGCAACTATTTAACACTGCAATAAACACAGCAAATAAATGTGTAAAATATTTCATCATTTTAATGTTAGAACACTTTTTTAAAGGAGCAGAGGGACCAGATCTGGTTGGACTGAAAAAGAAGAAGTTACATGATCAGATGGGTGACGAACATTATGAAGAATGCTCAGACGATGTAAAATTAAATTTTGCAAAATTTTGATATTTATTGGAAAAATTTTTATTTTTCATTATTTCCAATTAAAATTGAACAATTTTATGAAAATTTTTCAATGTAATCCTAAAATGAATCGACTTGAAATATAAATACTTCCAAGGAATTCAATATTGCGATCAATCAGATGACTGGACAATCAAAATCTCAACCAACTGACATTTCAAAAGATCATTCTTTTCCCGAATCAAAAGATTTAACAAAAAAAAAGCCCACACAAATGCAAACGCAACAAAGCAAGACTTCAACCCCCGCAAAAAATTTAAATAAAGAAAATGTAAAATCACTGGCTCCAATAAAAGAAACGAGAAAAACTAAAAAATCAAAAGCTAGTGCAAAATCAAGGTTTAAATCCCAGAAAGCTACAGTTACATCTAATAAAAAACCCATTTCGAAAGAACGTTTGAATGGAAGCTCTAAAAAAAGTTCAAATAAAAGTTCAAAAAGAAATTCTAAAGAAGAAGAAGTCAAATTTTCCAAATCACAAAATTCTAAAAAAAGTTTAAAAAGAAACTCCAAAGAAACTTATGAACAAGACGACGCAGGCAAAACTTCAAAACCACAAAGTAAGAAAACAGGTTCAAAAAGAAGCTCCAGGCGAAGTTCTAAACCCAATTCAAGAGATACATCTAAACATGAAACAACCAAAATCCCAAAATCACAAGGAAAGAAAATCGAAAAGCCGGAAAACGGTGGTCCCAACGATTCAACAGATATCAACGCAAATGAAAGAGGGTCAGTAAGAAAAACACGATCAAAAGGTAGATCTCTGCCAATATCTAATATTATTAAAATGGAAGTTGGAAAAAAGTATTCACTTCAAATACCTATGAAGAGTAACAAACAAGTAATGGGAAACAATCAAAATGTAGTGACTGGTTCGGTAAAAGAATTTGGAACGTCAAGAAAAATTTCACCCCTTGCTGAAAATATTGAAACTTCAAATTTTGCGAAAGAAATTATAAATAATGACTCGCATATTAAGGACCACTTGTCTTTAAAAGATAAATCTCAATCGCAAGTAGAACAAGAAAATTATGAAAAAAATAAACTTTCTTCAGATTATCAATCTCAACAACACGTGATAGCAAACGAAAACGAATATACACCAGCTAGCAAACAAAATAGCAAAGACAAAGCAGATCTAACGCTAAGAGTATCAAATGCTTCCAAGAGGATATCAATCAGATCCAATCCCTCAAGATACTTACCAACGCCTGATCATGTCGATAGTGTTAAATCAAACCCGGATATTTCAGCATCTGAAAAGAAAGTTGAAGAAACTACAAATTCCTTACCTGAGTTGCCAGTACCGTTCCCACCAACCTTGGCGCCGTCGGAAGCTCCAGAAATGAAAACTGCAGAAGAAAAGCTTCCATACAAGGAGATGGACGATGAAGAAATGATGAAGTCGCCAACCAGATCTGATAGAATGGTCGAAACGGAAGATGGAAATACAAACGACAATGCTGTGCTTATAGAAAACGATAAAGAGTTAGAGAATGGAGGACACCTATATGACCGATCATCACACACTAGCGAAACAAGTTACAACACAAATGCACACAACTTAGCAGAGAAGAGCAGTGAGAAACACAATTGTGAAGATGAAAATGAAGACAGTAGTGAAGTTAGTTCGCAAAACTTGGACGACGATCGTGAATGCGGTTCGGATGATAACATTAATGATGATGACATGAAGAAATCATTAGACAGTGAATGTGACGAAAGTAGTGCCTCTGATGACAGCAGCAGTTCATCATCCGAATCCAGCGAGCAATCCAGAAACTCGTCCGAAAAAAACAAATGACTCCAGGTTATGAATTGGTAAAATGTAGGGTACGCCTCGGTATTAAACACAAAAAATTTAAATAGTTTGAAAATAAAGTTGAATACATTTTTTAAATCTCTAGTTTTTTTCAAACGCACATAAAAGTTGGAAATATTTTCTACGAATTTTTTTAGTTAAGTTTAAAGATAGATATTTTAACGGCAAGTAGTTACTTGTTCACAATTAAAATAAACTGAGTTAGCGATTAGAAGTAAGATTTTAAAATAACTTTTAAAATTACTAGTATTAACTTCGTTGTTTAATTTTTTTATAAACGGACAAATTTGTATTACTGTACCAATCGTCCTAGTCCCAAAAATTACATTGGTCCAAACAAGAATTGTATAAAAAGTAATATGTTTAATGATAAAACATTTGCATATTTGAAAAAAAAATCATGTAAGTGTATGTGCGTGAAAAAAAAGAAATATATTAAAATAAATTAATATACAAACAAAAACTAACTAAATAAAAAGAATTTAGACATCTAAAATTTAAAAAATGTTTTCATGTTTTATAGCTTTTGTGATTTGTGAAATCAAAAAATATAAAATAAGTAAAATTTAGAGCAAAATTAAAAAGCGTAGAAGTTAAATAAACTGAAACGATTAAAACCGAGTCATTTACAAACTTCTGCTGTCCTCTCTTCCACATCTATATATCTCTCTTGAACATGAAGAGCTGATGAAAATTGTTAGTTATAATTGGCGCTATATAAATTTCAATAATAATAATAATAATAATCTCACTTATCTGTAAAATAATTTGTCATGATGGTGTCATCTCTCCCCCTCTCAGTATATATATATATATATATATATATATATATATATATATATATATATATATATATATATATATATATATAGAGAGAGAGAGAGAGAGAGAGAGAGAGAGAGAGAGAAAGAGAGAGAGACAGAGATATTTTATGAAACCCATATAAACCAGTAAGCCAGACAGACATACAGACATATATATTTTTATTACAAACTTTTTCTCAATATTTGAATGGTATGATGCAACTGAATCAGAAATAATAGAACATAAACGCAAAAAAGATTAATCATCAATAATAAAAACAATTATTTATAATTGTTTTATTAATATAATTATATAATTACGAAAGTATGTGTGAATGTTTAATAATATATAATAATTATAATTAATTAGCGTAACAAAAATATGTGTATAAAGATAATGTCGCATTAGTAATAATACCAGATATAAATGTAGTAAAGATAGTATCAAAAGATAATTAGTAATGATACTCAGCGGCGGATTTAACAGTAAATTAAAAACAACGTTAATATTAGAGATGCAAACAGAAAATGGCTAGAATATGATTGGTTGAGTAATTAAATGTCTGGTTGAGCCATAAAATGGCTAGCAATGTAATTGGTTAAGTCACATAATGGCTACAATATAACTGGTTGGGTCAAAATGGCTAGCTTGTGATTGGTTGAGTCGTGTTGTACATAAATAACATACAAAATCATTCCTGATTGGTTTCATTATGCTAGATAATTCTATTAAAGATAAAAACATGGAATTTAAAAATTGAAAAAAGTTGGTTTGCGTATATTAAAAAATTAAACTAGCAATAATAATAATAATATTATTATTATTGTTAAATAAGAATTCTATTAGTAAAAGATTGGTTTATACGACTTTTATTTATATTTACTAGTTAAGAAAACAGCCAATAATTGATCATTTAATTGATTGATAAACCAATTAATCATTTAATTTAGTCAATCACTTAATTGATTAATTAATAATATAGTTGTCCAATTATTAAATTAAATTAAAATTGATAATGAATATAAAATAAAAGTAAATTTTTATAACGTAGCGTAATATAACAAATTTTCATGAAAAATTGCTAGAAATGTAAGTACATTATAACAGTTTATTTAGAATAATAATAATATTAATAATAATAATAATAACAATGGATACCCTTATGATTTACATGTCGTTCCTTCTAAATTTTTTATTTTAGCTGCTATCCCGACAGCCAATTTTAAATAACATGTATAGCAAATGAGCGTCGTTCAATAAAATTCAATGAAATTCATCGTTGTTTGATTGCAGATTAATTATTACATACATTTACACATTAGTTGTGTTTGGTTGTTGTTGTTGCAACAATTGTTGTTGTTGTTGTTGCTGTTGGTGTTGCCGTTGTGAATCTTCTTGTATTTGTTGTAACTGTTGCTGAGTAATATGATGTTGCGAATGCTGTTGCGATTGTTGCTGAGTATTATGTTGTCGTTGTTGTTGCAAATGCAGTGATTGTAAATGTCGATGGAAACGTTGTTGCTGCAACTGTTGACGTATCTCGAGTCGCGATCGAGACTCTTCTTGCCGTTCGTGGTAGTTCTCTCTTTCAGCTGGCTTCATCTTGCTTTTTCCATTGCATTCGAGAGCCAAACGTCTGCTGATGCTACCTGTTTGCAATAATTATCATAATATTATACCCAATTATCTTAATATTATACCTAATTATCATCAATCAACATAATTACAACAACGAGTGTATAAGCACACAAAACAATAATCTAATGCACCATAACAAACTGACCATTGGAAACGAGGGTGCTTGCAAAAGCGAAAGCTGATTGGTCAGGCAATGCATAAGATTCGTCAACATGGGGGAGTCTTACGAGGACTGAAACTATTGCCGATTTCTGATTGGCTAACGGTTCTATCGCAACCGGAGTTAACTTCTCCTAAAAAGTAAAACAAAATCAAAATAAAATAGAAACAAAAACTAAAAGAATAAAATGAAATCATGAGACGGTTGGATAGGCAAACACGAAGAACCATAATAATCTGATCAAATAAATAAAAACTAAATACAAAAAGAAAAATCACAGAGACAATCTTTTTATGTTTGGCATCTGTTTTGGAGTTGCTGCTCGCCTGGGCGGAAATGAGCGAAACATTCTCCGACTGATCCACCTCCCCATCTTCATCGACAAGGACGGTGCACATAGCAAACGGACGCTTAGCCATCTCCAACATCTCCATCTTGTTCCTCTGCAGTTGCAGGTGGTGAGGCAAAAGTGGTATAAGTGGCAAAGGTCAAAGTGGTATAAAAAGAAATAAAATAACCGTAAATGTGATTATTGCAGTAAAATAAAAAACCGTAAATGTGATTATTGCAGTAAAATAAAAAACCGTAAATGTGATTATTGCAGTAGTGATATTCAATGCGGTGATGTTAGTAACAGCAAGCAAAAAAGAGAAAAAATAATTATTATTATTAACGCAACATAAATGTATTAACAAATGGGCAAAAACCAAAAAGTCACTGTGCCTATATCAAATATAAATTGACTCCAATGGTCCTAAGTTAACCGTGTAAAAATATTAAAAATACCAAAAAATTGAAACGAACCGAATAAAAATTAATATTATCATGATATTATTATTATTATTATCGTTATTATTATCATCAGATTATTTGTATAGCGCCTTTTTTTATATGCTGACCCGACTCCGCCTGTGTGTGTCGATCATCTGCTTGATCTTCCAGACTCCAAAGGACACCAACAACAACACGAAGAAGCAGCTTTTCCATTGGTTGGTTGATTGGTTGGTTGATTGGTTGGTTGATTGGTTGGTTGATTGGTTGGTTAGTTGGATGGTTGGTTGATTGGTTGGATGATAATAATGGCAATTAATTTAATTTTAAATAAGTAGAATAAAAATAAAAATTATCATAATATATACTGGAGACCAATAAATAAATAGAAGAGTGAAAAATGAATGAATGAATAAGCGAAGTAATTAATTAATTAATTAATTGAATATAAAAATTAAAAAAATATATAACTACCTGAAGAATGTAACGAAAAATTTAAGCAAATTCAATGGCTCGGAAAGAAAAATGCTGATCTGATGATAAGAATGATGATGGTGATGATGACGCAATGATGATGATGATGATGATGATGATTATAAGATAAGCATTGGTGATGATGTATAACAATGATTATGATGATGATGTATAACAATGATTATGATTATGGCGATAATAGCAAAAAAAGATGGTAACGGTGCTACGATCATTGTTGGTGACCAAAAAATAAAGTTGAGAAAAATATTGGTCGGTTAGGTGTTCACTAGACTAGATTCACCCACTAGAAACAAAAAAAACCCACACACACACACACACACACACACACACACACGCACACACGCACATACACACACACGCACGCACACACACACGCCCCACATAAACGTACGGTCAATCGAAGTGGGGTGGTAAAGTTGTAGAGGTGGAGGAATGCAGTGACGTTGGAAGGTTGGTCCACCGACCAATCATGATGTTGCAGGAAGTCATTCTGCAGCAGGGAAGTGCTGCTTCGCTGGCTGTAGCCGTGGTGATGGATCTGGATGATGTCGTCACCTTGGTGGCGAAGATGGTGATGAGGATGGTGATGAGGATGAGAATGGTGATAAGGATGAAGATGAGGATGAAGATGGATATGAGGATGAAGATGAGGATGAAGATATTGATAGAAAAGATAATTTTGATGTTTTGGTGAGAAATTAATGATGGATGGAAAAAATATTTCAGTAAATTGTCTAAAAAAGATTATTTGAATGATGATAGATAGCAATAACGATGCTAATTAATGAAGTACAAACATTTACTCGCCCTTCTTTTCCTATCTCCAAACCATACACAACAAAACAAACATCATCAAAAACCTAGAAATCGGCGTCACCTACAAAGATGCCATTATCTATCATCATCATCGTCGTCATCATCATCTCACCTTTCTTGACAAGAACAGTTAGATTGCAACCAGGGTTACAGGTAACTTCTATTTCAATATCTTTGCTCTTGTTCTGTATGTATGAGTGTACAAATGAGTGTTTGTATGAGTGTACGTACGAGTGTATGTATGAGTGTACGTATGAGTGTATGAATGCGTGTATGTATGCATATAATGTATGTGTATGTGCACGCACAAGTGTACGTATGTGCGCGTATGTTAACAATACTTAATGTTTGTATTGTATTGGTAATGAAAAAAATCCTGAATAATAAATGACTGACAAAAAGTGGATCGAAGTAGAAGTTGGCCAGGCGGAAGTACCTGCTGTCTTCCTCCGTCATGTTCAATTCAACCACTTTGTAGCCCATCATTATTATGTGCTCTGATGGTGGTAATGGTGGTGATGGTGATGGTAGTGGTGACTGTGATATTGATTGTGATGATGGTGATGACGATAAGGATGATAACGATGATGGCGATGATGAAAAATGTTGACGAAGTTGAGAGAGAAAAAGACAGGTTCCTCACCATAGCAGGAGTTTCCAATCTTGTCAAACGGATGTTTGACAAGATTGGAAACTTGCATTTCGCATCTGTGTTACAAAAAATAATTCATCATAATTACATTATATTAATATGTAATAAATAATTAAATTAACAACAACGCTACGTTAACATTTACTGCAACTATAATTTTAATTTCAGTAAAATCATCAACACCCCCATCATCATCATTTTCATCATCCTCATCATCATCGTCACATCTGCTATTATCACATTGCTATCACCATCATATTCCAACAGCTACTGCTATATGCATATCAATAACATTATCATATTCATCATCATCATCATGACTGTCATCACCATCGTCATCATCAACCCACTCATCACCACCATGACTATCATCATTAGGTTCAGTGGGTGTGGTTTTGTGTGCGTGAGTATGTTGTTGTTTTGTTATGTGTGAGTGTGTGTCTAATGTCTGATTATCTAAACTTTTGAACATCATCGTCACCAACTCACCCATCACAGTACTTTCCGAAAGCCCCCCTCGTCTTACAATGGCAGTCCCCATCCAACTGATGGCAACTGTCTGCAGTGCCGTTGCAAGAACATACTGATGGTGGCGATCATCAAAGTAACTATTAAATGAAACACTTCTGACTTTACTACTACTAAATTACAACTAATCTTTCTACAATTACTACACAGCAACTACTGAAATGCTGCTAATCTTTCTACAATTACTACACAGTAATAGTAACTACTAAATCAATTTAGCACCACAACTGACATTCACATGGCTCTCCGTTGAAAGCGTTCCCCCAGAATCCTTCCATACAAAACTCGCAGTTGGGACCTGGCGATGACGAAAAATTTTCACCAATATTAAACATATCATCATCCTCTTTCGTATCACTATCAGGATTAACATCATCATCGTCATCATCATCATCACCACCATCATCATCAACATCATCATTAACATCATCATCATCACTACCTGTTGTATTGTCTTGACATGATATGCACTTGTCTGTGCCGGGAAAGCACTTACTGTGACCATGACATTGACAAACTGTTCGATGATGATGATGACGATGATAAAGAAAAATGATGGCGATGATGTTGGTGATGATGATGATGGACAAACACCATCTTCACTGCCGTTCGTCACCGTCAGCATCATAATAATCATTAAAAAAAATCATCAGTATACTTGGACATTCTGTAAAATGCCAGCTCTTTTCGCCAGTACCATTATTGTTCCCACCAGCAACAACACCTGTACTACCGCTACCACTACCACAGGTGGCAAGGGTGTGATTGGCTGGTCCCTGGAGACCCCCTTCCACGCACCTCCCCAAGCCGGTCCCACTACCATCATCACAGAAACCACACATCGGATTGTCCAGACACTCGGTGCAGGTTCTTACGTAATCACAGGTAGAAGCTGTTATGATGACGTCATTTGATGTCACGTGATGTGACAAAGTTGATAACGATGTTAGAAATGATAATGGTGATAATGATGTAAGTTATGACAGCAGCGTTTAACACAGCCACCAACAGTCGTTAAAGTCACATCATCACCAACCGGAACATCGCTTGGGCTTCTCATTGACCCAGCTGATGCAGGAGCCATAGAGGTTGAGGGGCACGTAGCCGAGAGCCTGCAGGCAGCTGCGAGTGCCGCTGCACCACATGCAAGCCGCTACAGCTATGCAATCTTCGCAGCTGTTGAACCGCGGACAGCTAATCATCGGACATGTCCGGTTGCTTGTGTTATTTGGGTTGATTATGTAGTTGCTAACAAAGCGATTTATGGTGATGATGGCTGTGCTTAAGTCATCGTTGCTGCTACTGCTGCTACTGTTCTTATTTGGCAGCATTTTCGTGGCTTGTGAAGCTGGATAGCCAAAAAATTTTTAATTCATGATAATGAATGTACATAATGTCGGTATCACGATCAGTGCTGATAAGTTGTTATCCGCGTGTGATCATGTACCAAAGTGTACACCTATTACATCATAATTCACCACATGCACAGAGCAACGTTGATGGTTCATAAATAAAACAAACATTATATCAACCTTATTTTTATATTAAAAATTATGCGACATACAATTTTTAAATTATGTATTATCAACAACTAGAACAACATACAAACAACAAACTGACCGAAATACAAACAACAAACTGACCAGCATACAAACAACAAACTGATCAGCATACAAACAACAAACTGACCGACATACAAACAGTGTCCTCTGGAACTCCAAAAACATCTCTGATCGTTCATGCAGACCTCACAGTTGGGCAGTAGTGAACAGTAAAACGAGTCGTTAACATTCACCAAATAGCATAGACTCATCTCAGATATCTGATGTTTTGTTATTTTGTATAATGTTTTGTTTCCAAATGACAGTTTTTATTTCAAACTGCACCTGATTCCTCTTCGGTCATATACTTACTTTACAACGTCATCTTTGTTTTTCTAACGAAACAGTTTCATTACTGTCTATCTAAACAATGGAATGTCTCGGCTCGGTCGGAAAACAAAACACACACACACACACACAGACACACACACACAAACATGAACAGACAAAGAAAATCAAACACACAAAAAGCCACACACAAACACACACGCAGACACACACACGCACAAAAGAGAGAATCGCCAACCTGGACTTCGTGACACACAACTGATTTAGACTGGCACCTATCACCGCACCAAAAACAGCCACGCTCCAGGCATAAGTCGCAAGAACGTGATCGTCGGCAGACAGCTGTGGAATGGGGATTTCAAGTGAGAAAAAGAATTAAAAAATGAGGTGGATGAATGATGAAGGAATAAAAAATCAGATTAACAAATGAATGAATGAATGAACGAATGAATGAACGAATGAATAAATGAATTAATTAATGAATGAATGAATGAATTAATTAATTAATTAATTAATGGACAATTGAATACAAAATAAATAGAGAATATATATATACAAAAATGAGATATCGTCAGTATGTCAATTGGTTCATATTGCTGTGAATAAGCGAATCATGTACTGAATGAATCATCCTCTCAATCATTTAACCATTTAACCAAACAACCAACCAACCAAACAACCAGCCAATCAACCAACCAAACAACCAACCAATCAACCAACCAAACAACCAACCAATCAACCAACCAAACAACCAACCAATCAACCAACCAATCAACCAACCAACCAACCAATCAACCAACCAACCAACCAACCAGCCAACTAACAATTATCGTCATTGCCGCCATCGACGTCTCTCTTTGGACAATTCAGCTTCTCCACCGTCCTCACCTTCTTCAACATCTCCATTTTTCTGGCTTCAGTTACCTCCGTGCAGTACGCTCCATCAATCCAGGCGCACTTTATTCCTTTATTTCGTTCACTCAAACAACTTTCACGAGTCAAATTGGAGCAAGAAGCTGTTTAAGCGAATAGAATAAAGAGCAAGCATGATCCATCTCAACTTATCTTCCATTCAAAATTGTTTCTCAAATTTGTATGGTAGAATGAAACCCGTACGATGATAATATCAACAAAAACGCAACGAAATCTAAGGGAGCAGAAAAGGAAAAAATACCAGGCGTATATAGGATGAGATCGTTAAGGAGATGCCCACTGTAGCCGCCGTATGTGTACGCGCGTTCACCGTTCACGTTCGAGGAGTGGCCGGAACGAGATGTGGCGAGTTGGAAGCGAGGGGCGGGCAACGTCGTCCAAACGTTGCAATCTGTTTTTAAAACATCGTAAGGTATGCTTGCCATTTTCAGGTCATATCTATGCAGCCTGACACCGTTATTGCTAATAGAAATTAATTGACGCTTTATTGGATGTTATATATTGCTACATCAGCCTTTCCATACCGCCATCAACATCATCGCCCCACTCGCCACCATTCTCGAATGATGTACAAATAACAACCAACCGAAATCGTAAACCATGAAATCGTTAATTTCGTCGTCATCAGCATCGCGATGAAGAGTGTTGTTGTAGTTGGTGATGCCAGAGTACACGTGCATGTGGCCGTGCAGTACGAATGAAGTGTGCATGAATCGCTGTACGCCGCTGCTTCGAAGTTCCGTCCTAGTGGTGTTTGTTTGCTTGCTTGTTTGTTTGCTTGCTTGCTTGTTTGTACGCTGCATTGTTAACCGAAGTTGCGCTAACATTTTTGATTATACGAATTAAAGAAATGATCAGATTGTTGACATAACGACGAAAATTTTAACATTTTAAACCATAAATACACACACGCGCACAAATCACAAATACGCAGACAATATGTACACACACACGCGCGCGCAAACATATACACACACACGCAAACATACACACGCGCGCACACACAAACACACACACACAGACATACCAGGTGTTATCAGTGAGATCGTAAAGAAAAAGTTGATCGGACGACTTGCCAGTGCTTTTTCTGGACGGATAGAAGCCACCGTGGATGTACAATTTCAAACCCGACGACGATGATGATGGCGATGGTGACGACGACGATGAAGATGATGCGTCGTAAAGAACACTAGAATGACCAAAGAGACCACTTATTATGACGATTGGAGAGGTGAAAGATGGCCGAATGATTGACCATTGCCTGGTGGCTGAAATAATGATGGTGATAAGTGAGTCGGTGCGTAGTGATAGCGATGAAGATCAAGTCACTGTAACCATAAAGGTGATAAAATCGATGTGACATTATGAAAATTCTCGGACAACAACAACAATTCATAGTGATGACGATGAAAATGACTAATAGTAACAATGAAGAAGATGTTAATGAAATTATAATCAACAATCAAAAACTTCAATTTCTATCTAGTTACATCAGACAAACATAGTCGACAACCCCGGCAAACATACCCAAATCAAACTTCTGTACAAAGTTCAGATACCCAACATCAGGGTTATACCCAAAGAAGAGGTACAGTAGGCCATCAATTGCATGCATGGTATGTCCAGATACCGACAACATTTCAGAGCCGTCAGAGGAATTCATCAACCTCCACGTACAAACATCTTCGCACTCCAAAGACCACAATTCGTTTGTAGTCATGATGCTACTACTGCTACTACAACTACTTCTGCTGCTGTTACTACTACCATTAATACTTTTAGTAATATCAGGACCGTCACTACTACCACTGCCGCTGCCGTTGGTGGAGGCTGGATGTTGTACGACTCCCCCTGAGACGTAAATGACATTCTGGTGTGGTGTGTAGTGGTGATGATCACCGGCAAGATGATGATGATGCGAATGATGATAGACTGTTATAATGACACTAATGGTGATGATGATTGTGACAACAATAATGATGATGGTGGTGATGATGAGGATGGTTGTTAAGACTGTAATGAGATAGCGATGATTATGACGAAAATAATAACGATGACACAGATGATGATGATAACGACAACGATAATTAATAAACATTAAACATCATCAGTGATGAATAGACATAAGAGCTTCAGTTTATGTAGTAGTAACGATATGATTATTCCTAGCAGTAATTTATGAATAATTTCGTAGTAATCAATTATGCCCAGGCGTTTTCAATCGATACGCCCTACATTGCATTGCTTAATTTAATTAGATGTATTCTTTTAAATTTCATTGAATGCCTCGACATCAACATAATTTTCGTTCTGCTTTTTTATAAAAGTATTGACGCTTTTTTACGTCTTACGTTTATTTTGTCTAGTTTTAAAACTTTTAACAGAAATTGTAATAGACTGAAATTATAAATAGATACTGAACAAACAAAAGTATGACATATCAACCAACCAACCAGCCAGTCGTCTAATTAGACAGCCAGCCAGACAACCAACCAACCAGCCAGTCGTCTAATTAGACAGCCAGCCAACCAACCAGCCAAATAACCAGCCAGCCATCTAACTAGACAGCCGGCCAACCGACCGACCAATCAAACAGTCAACCAACTAACCAACCTCGTAAATATCGACAGCATGGTTGTACCTTGATGACGGAGAGTTGACCTGCTTCAATGGTGGAAGAGAACTTGATGGGTCCTTCAGATAAATCCTACGGTGATGGCGATGATAATGGTGACTATAATGATGACGACCGCAATGGTGGTAGGTGCGATGATGGTGGCGACGAAAGATAATGGCGCGATGATAGGAACGATAATGATAACAATGATGGTGATGATGAAGATGAGGTGATGACAACGACGATGATGAAAATATTAAGAGAAATAAACTTTGTGTGAAATAATGGCTAGAATGACAAATTTTTTTTTATTATTATTCTTTAAAAATCAGGATCTGACAGACGCAGAAACTGTAACAACATGCAAGGCAGTAAAACAAAATTAAACAAATAAGTGAGAAAATAAATACAAAAAATGACATCGGCAGTATTTGGCAAAATTTATAATGAAAACGACAATGATTAAAAATTTTAATATGTGAATAAATCGTTTTAAAACTAGTCCTCGCAATCATTCTCATTCCCTACATTCTACTTTCTATATCATTCTAATCATCAAAAACATCATCCCGCTCTCCTTTCTTTATCACTCTCTAACCATCAACATTATCCTCAACATCACAATCATCACCATTGTCGTCATCGTCAACATCCTCCCTCCAAAACTAACATGTGTAGATGGATGGAATGATGACGTTGTGTGAAATGATAACCACCGATGATGAGTAAATAGTGATCGTTGATGATGACGGACTTGTGTGAAGTCACACCAGATGACGACGATGGTGGAAGAATTGGTGACGCCATAAATGGTGGTGGTGATGGCCTCAATGATGAAGATGGTACAGATGACGACGGTTGTGATGGTGTCGTCATTATTTGTATTTCCTCCCAATACCCTGACTGCCTATCGATACTGCAGTCACTACCTTCAAGTTATTGGAAAGGAAACTTGTATCAGGCTGCTGCAACGCTAATTATATCATGACATCAATCATCATTTAGTTCATCATACAATTAATCACTTCGCTATTATCTTCATATTAAAAACATTATTTTTTTTACAAAGCACTTAGGCCTGTCTTCATAAATAGCTCACAATCATCGTCGTCATCCCATTTCCAGTCATCATCTCCTCCTCCTCCTCTACACATCCAAACGAACCTGTATATTTAGCGGCACAGTCACAAGCCCCGTCCTGACCACAGAGCCCGTTAGGATGGGAGCACATGTTGACGCAGGTTGGTTGGGAGCATGACTGACCGATCCACCCACTTTTGCACCTACACACCCCTGAACTTTCGTCACAATGGCCGTTCCGTGTGCACTGCATCGAGCAGTTGGACTGCCTGCTTGCAAGAATGTCGGTAATTTGTAGCTGTTTAATTTTCTTCTTAACCATAGAACAAAAAACGTGTATTACGGATTTTGGATGAGAAAAAGGTTTTCCTAGTGAAATAATTATAATTTAAATCTTTCTCTATCATAATCTGTTCCTAAGCAACATCAGCGCCAAAATCGTCATAACTCTTACATCGTTGAATCATCATTAAAATCACGTCACTAACACCATCACCTTCATCCCCAATTGCAATTATCATCACCCAAATAAAATCATCCTCTCTCAAAATCTCCATCACATCATCACCATACTTCCACCACCATTATTCCCATCATCGAGAGCACAAGGCAACACCAGCCTGCCCACCCACCTATAATAGAACACGAATCCATCGGAATTGAACGCGGAATCGGTGATCAGGTAGATGTAGGCATAACCCGATGTCAAACGAAGTTCAGGCCATCTGGCAACCGTAGAATTTCTCACCACACCACTATCAAATAAAACGCGTGATAGATCTATAATAGCCCATATATCAAATATTACGTACGATAGATTTATATAAATACCCATTATGAGGAAATATATGTGTGTAAATATGAGCGAAGTTTAGCGCACAAAACCAATCTGTGTGATTTGTTTGAGCGTGTGTTTGATTCAATGATAGACAAGCATTTTATTTGTATCATTTGTATTTTCTGAGTTATCATTATTTTAATATTAATTCTCTCTTAATTAATTTTCACGGGTATTGTATCGTATTGTTTCACCACCATATACCATCCGCATTGTATTGTTTCACAACCATATACCATCCGCATTCAGCTTATCCCCTTTCTTTGTATCAACAAAAAAATTGCATAAAATCGTAAATATGTTAGAATATCCACGAATCACACACATTACATGTAGTGTGTGTGTGTGTGTGTGCGCGTGTGTGGTTCTTCATTCATCAAACTTCCTTGTTGGCATGATTTAATTTTTAAATGAAATTTCAAGTTAAGATCATGGCTTATTATTATTAATGTTAATGTAAATATCATGTATTACAATGAATATTAGAAGTTTAGCACTTGGAAAACTTTGAACCACCATAGTAATATATATAGTAATATATATATTATTATTGTAAGTAGCTAACTGAAGTGCCCATATAATAATAAAATCTTTTCCATACCATCATTTTCATAACCACAATCCCAACAAATTAATGTAAAAACAATATTATTATTATTATTATTATTATTATTATTACTATATTGTTATAATTATCCTAATTAATATTACAATTATTAGCAGCATGATGTAGTGACCTGATAGCTGCAACCATTGGTTCCCAAGCAGATGAACCATCGTGCACGTACAGGTAGTCCCAGTTTGATTCAGTGGCAAACTGTTCAAACTGGATATAAATGGGAGTTCGCACATCCCCAGACCCCAACAACCAGGTACATCTCTGATTGTCAGAGTAGTTGCTCAATCCATCAGCTATCGAGTCATTCCTTGATGCTATCCTTTAGATTTCCAAATTGGAATGAAAAAATGAATTATAGATGTTGACATTATATTGTATGGTATTTTATTTTTAATTAAATGTTAAATTTTTTTTATTATTCAACAGGTTTCTTAATACTTCCCATGTTCACATAATGTTTTTAAATTCATGTTTCATTGAAATGGAACATACTATTGAACATAGGCAATTCATTTAAAAATATATTTTCATATTCAACTGAGATATTAGTACTTTGCATTTTAAAATAATTAATGACTATTCTCATTCAAGACACTTACCATTGTCTGCCCGAGCACTTATTGGAAGCACAGGTTGGTCCATACCACCCTTCATGACATTTACAATAGTAAACATTAAGATTAAGGACATCACTAACTTTGCTCATAATATTGAGATTTGTGTCAACAGATGTCTCATTATTTTTTGCACCACTACTAATACTAATATCAGTATAAGAAGCAATAATAGAGCTGTTAGTATTTGAAACACTGTCCCTGGTTGTCGTGGAAATAATACTTGCATCAATCTCATCGCTGAGCGTTTGCACAATTGGAACATTGTTGTTATCTTGTTCACCGACGCAATGACCATGGAGTCCACAAATGGATGATGAACATTCATTAATGGTGAACAGGGAGTGAACAAGCACATCGTTATGACGGCTTGTTGAGGTTATGAGTAATAATATGCTGACGATATATCTGATTGAAAACGAAATGATGTCGCCACAAAATGCAGCAACACAAGCAATGCAAGTTTTTTTAGTGTTTTCACAGATCAAGATCATAATATAACTTATTTATGCATTTTTACTTGCAATCTATATTTTATAACAAATAATAATAATAATAACAAATAAAAAATATGTTTATTTAAAGACGTTACATGTTTCATTAAAAACTACAGGTTCAAAATTTAAAATTAAAGACCAGTTAACATAAGTAAATTTAAATAGGAAGTCATTCAAACCACTGCATCCTATCATTATTATTTACAAATACGTTACGTTAGAAAAGTCGATTACGTAATTTGATAAAATTTCCTTTCGTTGTTTCTGTATTAAGCATGCTAATGGAGTAGCGCACTACTTTTTCCCTTTACTTTTGTTTTGTTCGAGTAGGACGCCTTGGATGTAATCAGCTCTTTTGACCGCGGCATCTCGTTCTTTCTTCAAGTCATTTTCTATCCTTACACGTTTCTCTATTATTTCCTTTACCCTGTGATCGAAACATTAATATGAACCCAGCACGTATTTGTAACTAAAATGTATTTGAACTAAATTTTTTTTATAAGAAAGATATAAACATTGTTCCACCTTTTATGAACTTCTTCAACTTCATCTTCTTTCAATTTAAGTTGTTGTTTTGCATTAGACTGTATGTTTTCCACGTCTACTTTAAACTTTGCTTTCAAGTTGCAAATCTCTTGTTTAAACTTCAAATTTTCAGATTCAAATGATGCCATTTTGTCGGCAACTTCCTGCCTTACAATATCAGTCAGTTTGCTTTTTTCTTCATTTCTTTTGCAAATAGCCTTCAATAATTTTAGTTATAACAAAAATATTTTCTAGTCTAAACAATGCAAATTACCTCGTTTAATTCTTTGATAATGTTTTCGGCTTGAGATAGCTGTGAAAGCAAAGTTTTATTCTCGCTTTCTTTCGCAAACAAATATCTCTGAACAAAAATTTAAAATGTAATTTACTGCGGCTGATATATTCATGGATATATTTTAAACAAAATTTATTCATTTGGATTTCTAATGTACATACCTTTATTTCGTTATAACTATTGTATATATGTTTTTCTGAAGTTTCAATGTTTGCTAACTCCTGTTTATGTTTTTCTTTCAATTTTCTATTAAAAAGTTAAAATTAAATCAAAATATGTAAAAATAATAATCTGGAAACAAATAGGTTTTCATACTTTATCTGATTATTCATGTCTATTTTATTTTGCCGAATTTCTTTTTCCCGTTCATCCACCATATTCTGCAAAACTAAATCTATATCTCTATCTCTTTCCGTTTTTAATTTATTCTTCAGTTCTTTTTCTTTCTCTTCAAACTCGGTTTGATGTTTTTTAAAAAATTCCTTACCCCATTCCTCCTTTTCAGCATCATACTGTTTAGCCAAATTGTTCATCAAAACCTTGAGGAATATTATTTAGCAGGTTTTTAACATTAAATAACACCTAATACTTCATTGTCTCCAGTAAAAAATTTCCTTAAAAATTTCCTACCTCATGTCTTTTCTCCTGCTCATTCCTAGCTGTTTCAAATTCCCTTTTTAAGACGCTGATGGCGGATGTGTGTACTTTGTTCAAATTGCTCTGCATCTTTTTGAATTCTTCCTCTTGCTTTATCAACCGCTTCTCCATATAGCGTCTTTCCCTCTCTAAATCAGAATTTAAATTTTCTTTCTCTTTGTTCATTGCTTCAATTTCTTCAGATAACCTTCTTTCGAACCTTGTTTAAAAATGTTATGTATTATAATTAGAACCTTTTTACGTGATTATTGCGATTCGAAAATGTATATTAACTCTTTTTCCAACACTTCTCTTTCTTCTTTTCTTGCAAACGCAATTTCTTTTAAACTTTCTTTTCTTAACTCTTCAACTTTTTTATTGTATTTTGCGAGTTCATCTTCTTGACAAATTTTCATCTCCTCTTTGTGCAGATTTTTTAATTTTGAAATTTCAGTTCTGTGCTGAGCTATAAGCTTTTGTAAAGCTGGTTCAAATCCTTTAGCCGTCAACTCCTGGCAAAATTTTTTTAATACGCCATTTTTACATAATTAATGTCAATTATTTTCAACTGTATATCATCAATGAACCGTTAATTTAAAATCCTACTTTGATTCTGTTGGCCTCTGTTTTGATCCACTGTTCTCGTTTTATTTGCTCAGCCGCTGCATGCACATCTTTCAATTTCTTCAACTCTACCGCATGCCTATGAGAAATTCAACAGAAAACTTTATGAATGAAAAAATTAAGCCTCCAAAAGTAGCTGAAAAATTGTCAGCACTGAAAGCAAAAATAAAACAAACCTGCCCTCTCTGGCTTCCAGTTCTTTTTGAAATTTTTCTGTCATATCTTGAATGTGGTCTTGAAATCTCTTTAATTCTTCTGTTAAACCTTTCTTATCATTAATCAACTAGAAAAATTAAAATGTTGTCTTTAGATTTTCAAAAAACAAATGTTTATTTGATTTGGTGAAAACCTGATCAATGAATGCTAAATGTCTTGAAATTGTTTCTTCATACTGCTTCTTCATTGACTTTTTCTGTTCTTTTGAACTTTTATTATTTGATTCATTCATTTCACTTTCTCTTGGTAAAGTTTGCTAAAGTGTGTACAAATAAAAAAGTAATTCAATTATTTTTCAACTGAAACTGCCAAACCTTATTGTCAGATTTTAAGCCATCCTGTAGGTTTGAAGAGACACCTGTCTGAGAACTTTTTTTCCAAGATTTTGAGGAAATCAAAGAATTTTTCTGTTACAAAAATTAAATAAAATAATAAATTTTTATTAGTTATCTGAAAATCTTCTTACGAAACTACCTCTACGTTATACGTTGAACCCATGCTTTTGACTCCTTTTAGATAGGTTATAACATTTCCCAACTTTTCTTCCGATAAGTATTTGCTTGTTAATGCTATTTCACTATGCTTCTTTGACAGCAAGTTTTTTGATTGTCCACCTACATTAACATCCGAATTTGAACTTGACGTCTTGTCTGACTGCATTGAAATCTTTTCCAACTCATCCACTAAATTTGGTAAATATTAAAATGAATTTAATTTATAATTTAAACATTTCTAGAAAATGAAGAAAAAAAATTAAATAGTACACCAATCATATTTTTTAAATCCTGTGGAATGACCATCTCTGAATGTTTTGTTGCTGTCCTTATTATCGTAGAGTAAGTTAACTTCATTGCTACTCTTTCTCTCCTTATTAACTGTTTGAGAGATTGAGTTAGATGTGAGAGGAAATTGTTCTTTTATTTTATTAGCTGCAAATAGCTCTTCAATTCTCTTGAGAAAAAAAAACAAACAAACTTATTAGTCAAAATAATGTTGAATGATTTTAAAATATTTCAAATTTTACTTTAGATCCCAAACTGAAAGATGGTGAAATGGGCATGGAAAATTTTTCATTTCTAATATCAATAAATGATCCATTGATTTTCAATTGCTTATCTATATTTTTTTTATGAGACAAAGTTCTGAACCAGTTTTGAATTTTTAATGCAGCATCATTTTTATCTTTCATCATTTTGTCTTCATTAGATTTAGCCATTTCATTGAGACTATCATCATCACTGAAGTTCTCTTCATTAAATTTGGCTGACACAACATCATCATCACCATCATCACTAGATACTATACTTTTCTTAAGCTTGAATATAGAATGAAATGATGATTCCTGTTGAAAATATTGAAAATGAGAATTTCATTTGGTAAAAAACAGCTCTGGATGATATTTCAAAAACAAACATCTTAGTTTTAACCTGTACTTTGGTCTTTGGTCGTCTGTAAAGAGAGTTATTGTTCAAACTACATTTTATAGTTTTGATAAAGAAAACACAACAATTTATATATATATGTATAAAATAAATAAATAAATATATATATATATATATATATATATATATATATATATATATATATGTTAGTAATAGACCATAATTTTTACAATATTCTATAAATTCTACCGAATGTGTGGCATTAATATGTGTGTAGTAGTAAAACGAACTACAAACATATTAACACCAAACATTCGGTAGAATTTATAGAATATTGTAAATATATATATATATATATATATATATATATATATATATATATATATATATATATAAGTATCCTAGTATCAACAAATTAAATTAAATTAAAACTAAAATAAATTAATATTTTTTCATACTTGTTAAACTCTCCCATTTTTAAATTGCTGGAACAAACTAGCCTAGCTGCAGAAGAGGATTTAAAAACACCTGTTGTTTTTTATTTAAATAAATTGTATTCTAAAAAGTTGACTAAAATCAGAAAAAGAGTAAAAATCCACTTTTGTGACAACCTTGCTTTTTATAATAAAATGCGTTCTTACTACTTAGTCTTAAAGTTTAGCAATTATTGTGGTCAAGATTTAAAACTAAATAATTCAAACAACAACCATAGTCACTTTTTGATGAAAATTTTGAAGAGGCACTCATTTCATTTGCAGCTCCCTTCGATGGTCGTAATGATGAAAAATTGTTGGACGTTTTTTTATTCATTTAAAATATAATTCGTCAAATTCGTTTTGACAAAGTTTTAATCGAGATATGAAAATCTAAATTATAATTAAATGAAATATATTTCTTTTATCAATTTTAAAATGCCTAAACATCGGTCGCCATGGTTTCTACTTGCAATATAGCAAGCACTGGTTAAAACGATTTTAGTATGATATGCACGAAATCACTATAAAATTAACTCACAGCTAAAATAAATATAGTGCAGATTTAACAGAATATAGTAAAGCCATGGAATTTTAAACTGGAGTTGCTCCATTGTACGCTCTTAGATATTGTTGTCCATTAGTAGTTGCAACTTGCGTAACGTCGTAATTTTTGGTCGATTTCAACATAATGAACACATTGCCAAAATACTAGTTGGAAATTATAACTACTGCTGAAACACACATAATTTTTATTCGCTGACATAAGTTCACGACAAAAGGAAAACGTTTGCAGTATTTAAGAGACACGACATGTATTTGAGAGATACGACACATATCTGGGAGATACTATAGATGGCAATTCCAGTTTAAAATTCCATGGCAGTATCTTTCTCCGACTGTTATATTATAAGTTTGAAATCAACACATTTTGCACAATCCAACATTGCAAAAATAATTGTTGCCTTAACGAATCGACGAGCGGCAGTGACGTCACACGCGACGGACGAATGATCTATCCGTCGAACTGAAGGTGGCATCAAGGTTAGTCGTGATGGTACAAAGGAATGGCTTATGCACCTCTTTTTCAGCAACCCGGAATCAAGAAATTTCGAAGATTGCTCACAAATAGCACCCTACAAATCTTCGACACGATGCGATTATAAATAATGCAGAGATATTGTATATAGCAGTTTAGTTTTTGGTGGTCGGAGAAAGCTAACAAAATTAATATAATGGCACGATCGCTTTCTTTCAATTCTTGTGTTATTCGGCGGGAAAGAATACGATAGACTAATACAATTATAAAGTACTATGTCTTGTACATTTTTGTTGAACGTTTTTCAAAAACCACCACTTCGTAAAAACTCGATCTGTGATTGGTTGGTTCCACGTTGGATTTTATGTACGCGATAAAAATTATTATTTTACTTTCTATTTATAGTTGCCTTGTATTATTCTAGGCAAGGTCTGTGCCTTGCATTCATTATTTTATTGCACTTGCTTTGCCAAAAACCGCCAGACAGAAAGCTTTAAATTGACGTTTAAGACGTTTATTTTATATTTTATAGCTAGTGAAATATTTTAATTGTATTTGACCGAAATCAAAATGCCACCAAATTTGTTGAGGTCACGGTTGAAGAATGAGTTGGCGAGCTTTAATTCTAATCCTCCTCCTGGACTTTCACTGTCAGTTCCTTGTGAATATGAGATGCGACGTCTTGAAGCCAGTACGCAATTTTATTTTTAATTAAATCATTATTGAATTCTAGTTAAATTTTAAACTTTTTTGAACAAAATTAATTTTTATTTATATAGGTTACAATTCTTTATCTCAAAATATTTGTTACAAATATTTTTTTTGGGACAGTTGATTGACTTTATTTTAATTTAAGTTGTAGTTTATTTTATTCAATTTTAATATTTTAATTATATTATGATTATGGAAAAATATAATTTAGTATAAATAACATTATTATTGTGGTTCAGAGATTGTAGTCTTGGATGAAAATAGCCCATACAAAGGAGGTATCTTTAAACTTGCTGTTAGCATTCCATATAGGTAAGTTCAGTTGCTTGATTGAAAGTATTAATTTATTAATCTAGAATAAAATTGGATTTTAAAAGTTTTTAAATTTTAAGATTTAAGATTACTCTGTCTTTTTATCTTCTGATTATAATCTTACTGATTATACACAGTAAGATGTAATGTAACAATTAGCAATAACAACCACAACACTGCCCAATCTAGATATCCATTTGATCCGCCACAAGTGAAATTCAACACTCCAATATACCACCCAAATATTGATTCGCAGGGTCGGATATGTCTGAACTTATTAAGTAAAGGGACAGGTCCTGATGGGTGGTCATGCTCACTGACCATTGAAAAAGTTCTCCTTAGCATTCAGGCCCTTATATCTAATCCAAACCCTGATGACCCACTCGACCCAGATATTGTTGGTTTCGTTTATTAGATTTATTCTTTTCTTGACAGTTTTTAAATAACCTTGATAATAGAATATCTTTTAATTTTTAAAATATTTTTTTTTAAATAAATTTTTGTTTACAAAAACTAACAGGCTCTTGAGTTTAAAAACAACCGACAATTATTTGATGAAAAAGCTAAGGAACTAACAAAAAAATGTGCTTCACAAAATCCTAAGGTTATAAAAGTTAACATTGTGTAATCTTTTTTACATGATTGTTAAAATTATTTTATGGAGAACAATGTTTTTAATTTAAGCTTTTACCTAAATAACTAAATATTTAATTGCAGGCTGGCAATAATGATGATGAATATAATAGTGATGATGATTACAAGGTTCTTGAGGAGGATGGCTTTAGTCTGTGGACAAGTTGACTACAGAAGAAAGTTCTCAACACTTAATAAAAATTCAATGACATTAATTGACATTTTTGTATTTCCATATACATTTTCACTTGGAACTATGTTTAAAATATCTGTTTTTATGAAAATTTCATTAAAGCTAACTTAAAATTGAAATCACATTAATAAAAATATAATCTATAAAACGTACAAAATAATGTTATGATAAAAATAAATAATAGAGACTATACATACATTTGAGTAGCACTGGTCAAGTACGCGCAAGAATGATTTTAAATTTCATTTATTTAAATATTGAGAGGTTCAATTTATTAAGCTGTTCGACCGTTTAGCTGTTTGACCATTTAGCTAGCCACCTAACTTGTTCATTCAAAGAACTGTTAGTCAACTGTCTGTTTTATTATTTTAGCATTCAGTGACATCTTGTCCACTTATGTTTTTTCCTTCTTGTGCAGTGGGGTCTAGAGTGAGATGGTGATGAAGTGAAGTAATCAGACGGCAGGGAGAAGTCTCTGAAATGTTAACGAATGATGAGATGAGACTTTAAATTAAACAAGTAAGTAAATTTAAGCTTTATTTTAATTTTTGTTCTAAAGTATATGTGTTTTAAAGGATTGTCTGTAGAAGCTAATCCGTAAATGTGTAGTAGAATGTATAAACACAATTTAATAAAGATTGAACTTACTCTTCTTTAGCTTCCGGAAGCACGGAACCAAATATGCACCTTGGCTCATTTTCTGTAATCTCTACGAATCTAACTGCATTATAAGATACAAAAAGGTCAATTACAAAATAACAGATTAATAATGTTGGAAATTATTTATATTTGAATAACCAAATAAAAAAAAATTGAAAAATCTTTTTACCAATAAAATTAAAAAAGAATGGAAAAAATCTGCAACTGAGTACTTACTTGTATTTTTAGGGGTTGTTTGTTCCTTGTTACAGCTGCTGATGTTTAATTTGTTGTTGCTATTTAATTTGTTCAACTTTTCCAAATCTTCTAAGCACCTTTCATCTCTTTTCTTTCTTTTCCTTTCTGATGATTCGTGCTTTGAATGCCTATCTGTGTACACATTGTCACTGAGATCCTATTATTAATGTCAACAAGCAGATCAAACAATTGGCTAATCAGTCTTGACATTACACATTTTAAAATTTATTAATAATGTGTAATGTAGATCAGCTGTTTAACAATTTTTAAGCTTGATTATATCAACTTAATTTAGAAATAAAAAATGCATGCACCAGCATCAGTGATTAATTCATGATAAAATAATGTAGAGTAAAACTTCAATGCCAACCTCTGTTCCTTCGATCACATACTTCCCTGTGAAAGACTGAATTCTCCAGTGAGGGACTTTAATTTAAAATAAAAACGATTTTTGAAATATGACTTGATGGTTTCAAAATGATGATGATTTGTTATTGATAATTCTCTCTCAATTAATTCTCAAAGCCATTAACAATAAACATGCACAAATCTGAGCATCAGACACGTGGCATGTGATGGGAGTAAATCTCGACATTTTAATCACGCTACTGACTGCAACAGCAGCAAGACCAGGCACCTTAACCATTACAAAATCTTGCTGATAACATAGTTTAAAACATACTTTAAAACATCACATAAACCAAAATGCTAAACTATACTATTTCTACCATTAGGAAGAAAAGAGATGGAAGAAGATATATTTTTCTAGTGATAAAATAACACTATTAAACGTTCATTTGCCAAGCACTTCCTTCAAAACTGTAATTGAAAAAATTTCTAACAAATTTATTAAACCTGGTACTAATTCGTTGTCAAGTTCATCATCAAACAGAAGCTCTGTACTCGATAAAACAGCCCCAAATACTTTTCTCTTTTCAATTTTCTCTGGCTTAACATGTGATGAGATGTTTGTCTTCAGCTTTGTGTCGCTACTACACAAGCTGTTGTCAGTCACTTTATTATCAACATTGTTCGCACCACTATCAGTGGCATTATTATCATTATTAACATTGTTATTGATGTTGTCAGTTTTATTATTGCTATTTTTAATAATTTTTGAACTACACCTTTTAGCATTATTGACATTTTTATTACTACTGCTATTATTATTATTATTATAATAAATATTGTGACTAATGTCCAAGCCATTGCTACTAGCGACACAATTACTATTCTTGATCTCAAATTTCAAATTTTCAGCTTTTTTTAGTTGCAAGTTAATTTTAACATTTTGTCTGGTACATCTTGATGGGAAATCTTCAACAATGTCAGTTGCTATCAAGGGTTTTTCTTTATAATCATCAGTTGTTGATTCTCTTGTAATCTGACCATAGGTTCTTCTATCTGGTCTGCTGCATTTTGAAGCATTCCCCGAGCTGTAGTCATGAAGTAATTCACTGAAAAGTATTGAAAGAAAAAATATTTTCATGCTGTTCTACAATAAAAAATCTCTGTGGATTTTGAAATTAGAGGAATGATGACAAAAAAAAAACTAATAACTAAATTATTCATGTTTAAATCGGCAACAACATCTACCTATGCACAGCCACTAAAAGATAACTAAAATAAATATAATGGTTTCAATTACACTACATTGATGATCGACTAGCTTTTGTGGAGCTGCTGACACTACTATCTAGCAGTGTTTCAGACTTTCTCCTGCTGTAGTGATGAGATCTTGGGAATCTTTCCAGCCAGTTGCTTCTGTTCCTATCAAACTTTTCATATGCAAACTGGTACAATGGTTAATTATAAAAAATATGAAAAAGAAAGAGTAATTAAATGATGATCAAACATTTTATTGCAACAAAATAGCATCAGTTATTTACCTAAAGAAATCACAGATAGTGATTAAATCAATTATCAGTTACTTCAGTTATTTACCTAAAGAAATCACAGATAGTGATTAAATCAAACACTAACTCATTTACTTACAATTACGTGCATAAGAAATTAATTAACTAATAATTAATAATATAAATATATAAATAAGGGATGGGGGGTGGGGCATATATAATTATTTTATATTATCATGCTACAATAAGCAAAACAATCCCATAAAAAACAAATCTAAATAAATTATTTTGAACTCTAAGTCATAGTTACTAAAAAAATTTAATAAAATTTAATTTTATAATAATAATTTATAATTATAAAAATTCCACTCCAGTCCAACCTCACTAGTGGGCCAGGAACTAGTGTTGCAATAAGCAGACGTGTTCACAGCAATCTGGGTCATCACTCTCGTCATTGGCAATAAAATTCATCAAAATATTTCTTCATACACTTAGTCACTACAATTCAATGAAATTTCAAAACTTTTTTATGGAAAATCAGAAATTGTGTTTGTGTGCAAATTAAAACCATTAACTACCTAAAATCAAAAATGTAATGAACCATTTATTTTGAATATTTATTTTAGTAAATTATTCACTAAACAAAAAAACATCTAAAATGAATATTTTAATCATTTTTTAAAATATATTATTAAAACAACAGATCTGCTCGAAATAAAAAAAATATGTAAACAACATGTTACCAAAAAGCTTAAATAAGTTATTTATAATTTAGTCAGCAGGATAAGAGCCTTATAATTGTAAAACCATGGATACAAGGATGAATCTCTCGATCGATGAGATTTGTACTAAATAATAAATAACAGAGTGAAGCATAATCTCTCATGACCGCTCAACTAATGAAGTATTAAAACAGGTAAACAAGTAACCATCTTATAACATTTTTTTGCATTTTTATTTGAGATTTCTGAGAAACTATAAAAATAGCCATAGCATCGCTAGTTATGAACAAGTTATGGCAACGAAATTTGGCAATTTTGCTCATAAAACTAAATTTGAACAGTGATTTCTAATCTTATCAAGCCATTAACAACAATTTTAGTCATTAAAATTTGTAACAAAATTTTATTTTTTTTTAAATTGTTATTTAATGTGATAGATAATTACTTTTATTTTGTATAAATTTAAAAAAATAAAATTGACATTATCGAAAATAATTATAAGTTGAAAAAGTTGAGGTTCTTTGAATATCCCTGCTTCAACCCATAAGAAAGTGTTGCATGATGGTAAATAAGCTCCCCTTGTTCTTGAACAAATAATTGCTTATAGTTCGTGAGGCAGAAGAGCTTCTTTTCCATAAAAATATAAAATCTTTAATCTCTACTTTGGTCTCTTTTTCAACGAAAATTGTTGTCCTTAGCAAAACCATCTTCTTTTTATTCTGCAAACAAATTTCTGTTAGACGCAGAGAATGTAAAAATATGCAAAGTATGAAATGTAAAAGGATGACTTTCTAGTCTTTTTAAAGCGGCAAACAGCTTAGATTTCTCAAGTTCGATGTTCCTGTCTTTAATAAAATACATTTATAAAAATTTCAATTTTAACTCACGCTAATTGTTATTTGATGAGATTATAAAACGGTTGGTTAACTTTTTATAAGTCTCGTCAATTTTTCAAACGTCTTTAAAAATTTTTTGTCTATAATAAATTTTTTTATTTTCACAATTTTTTTTTTCTTGGCTAGTTTACTTCAATGGCATGAATAAAGTTATTAAATTTTTGCTTGAATAAGTTCAACAGTTTGTATGACACTTAAACTATTTTTTAAAAGTTTAATCAAAAAATTTTTGAAAAAAGCGTATGATCGCATTCAATTGTCATGTTAAAATATTTGAAAAATTTACAAAACCTAATTACAAGATGAAAATATTCAAGAATTAACAATGTAAGGACAAAATAAAAGTTCCAAAGTATTTTTCAAATTCAATTAAAAATTTCAAAAAATAAAATTTTTTTTTTTCAAAACAAACGATAATGAAAATTGGTTTGAAAAATTCACACACAATAACCTGGATTACATTTTTTTAAATTATTATCATTCGTCTTTAAACTTTTAAGTTAGTGAAATTGTTTTAATAAAACATTTAAAATATTAATTAAAATGTTCACAGTCAAAAGGCACAATCACTCAAAAAAATAATAAATGTTAAAAGTTGATAAAATAAAATACTTCACAATTCACATTCAAACTTGTTAAATCAAAAGAATTTTGTTTTTTATTATAAACGTCAAAATATCGTTTAAATCTAAAATTTGAAAAATTAGAAACACATTCACACATTCACAAATGGCACAAAAGATTAACAAGGCAGTGTGCATTTTGCAAAAAAAGTTGTTACATTTCGGACACATTAAAGAAATTCGATTACAATATAAATTTAGATCCCACGCTGCAAATATAATTGAAGCAAATTTCAGATAATGATTGCAAACTGCTTCATTCAGTTGTATGGATGGATTGGCTGACAGGCACATTATCGGCTGACATCAACAGTTGAGCAGCAACTATCATCGGAGTATGCATTGATGTTGTGTTTGATGTCACATCTGCTTTGCTGGCTGCTGTTGCTGCTGTGATTGCTGTTATCGTTAATGTAGAAACTGCTGCTGTTGCTGTTGACATGATAATTGTTGTCATAGCAACCAAAGTCGTTGTTATTTTCGTCGACTAAATGTTCATTGTTCAGATTAATGTTTTGATCAATGTCATTCATGCCACTGCTGTTGGTGTTGTTAGAATTCGACGCGAGCACATTGGCGGCGGCGGAAAACTTGAAGAGTCTTCTATCATGAGTCCTCCTGAGCGATGGACAATCGGGATGGTTGTCCTTCAGATGTTTATAGTGAACTTCCGGTTGGTCGCTTGTGTGGCCGCATTCCTCGCAGACGTATGTTTTGTGGCGGCGCTCCTTGTAAGCGTAGGGAATTTCAAGTCCGTGCAGTTTGCGTTCGTGCGACTCCAGACTGCACCGCTGCGTGAATGCTTTGTCGCAGTGACTGCATTTGTACGGACGCACTCCTGTTGTTCAAGTTGTTTGATTGACTAAATGATTGTTCAGTTAAGTTTTTTTTATTAATGAATTAATTAATTGATTGCTCATTAATACTGAATTCCAATTGTTTGAATCATATCACACATTCAAATAGAGAAAACATTTCAATAACTCGATCAATCAAATGTTTTTTGCGATTTCTTTCTTAATTACAGCTGGGATCGTTGTCATCCAAACACACATTGAATCAACAAACCAATTAAATCTGCCAACCAATCAGTCAGTCAATCGTTCCGAAAACCAACCTGTATGCGTCCTGGTATGCCTCTTGAGATCAAAGGTATCATTGAAACCCTTGCCACAGAGAGTGCACAGGTATCGTTTGATGTCGCTGTGACACTTCATGTGGCGGTTCAGGATGCGTTGCTTCGGGAATATCTTGTGGCAGATCAGGCAGACGTGCTTGTCGTCTGCCGTCGTCTCCATTTTGTCTGGAGAGAAAGATTAATGAGTGAATAAATATATTAACTAATTAATAAACTGATGAATGAATGAATGAATGAATGAATGAATGAATGAATGAATGAATGAATGAATGAATGAATGAATGAATGAATTTAAACTTACCAATTGGGATATCAGTAAATCCTTTCTTATCGGCGAATGGATTCTTCATCCCCTTTCCAGAATTCACCAGTTCAATTTTGGGATAATTTATTGCATCAATGTTGAAAGATAGAGGTTTGTTGTTGTTGATGATGTTGTTAGTGTTGTCTGTGGTGACGTTGTTTTTGTCGATGTTGTTGTTAATGTTATTGTTGTGGTGATTAACAATGTTGCTGCTGCTACTGACGCGGTTGTCGCCATTGCTGCTGTTGTTGTTGCTGTTGACGGTTTGAGGCAAACTCAAAATCGGTGAATATTTTGTTGGCGTTGATGATTTCAAATTTAATGGATGAAATTGTTGCGATTTGAGATGATTTTGTAGTTGCTGCTGCTGGTTTTGTTGTAAATATGGCTCCGGATGTTGTTGAGAATGTTGCTGCAACATTGGAGGAGACGTCACAAGATCTTTCAAGGTTGGGTATTCTCTTTTGGTGGGTGAGCAAAAGGACATGGAGCGGTGATTGTTGGTGATGGCGGTGTTGGAAATGTTTACTTGGCTAGCGCTGAAATAATTGCTGTTGTTTCGAATATTGCAAATGTTGTTGTTTGTACTGACGTTGCTTCTGATACTCTTCGGATCAGCATCGTTGTGGTGGACGACTTGTTCTCTCTCTCCGATACTACTCACGGAGCAGCCTTGAAATCCAACAAAGTCGTTATTGACGGTAATGTTGACGTTGGATTTGAAATTGTTGAAATTTGGCTGTGGATGGAATAGCAACATGGGCCCGATCGGATTGTTGACAGAACGGTGGATATCTCTGTAACCATTCGTGACGTCACTCTTCTCCCTGGACGCTGGCTGGGCCAACAACTCCACTGATCTGAATATCGAATTTTTAACCGTATGTAGGTTATCTGACACAACAGCCACTTCGACAGAATTTGCGGTCTTTGGTTCGGTATTTTTAACAAGTGATTCTATCGATTTATATATAGACTGTCTTGTTTTCCCGCTATTTTCTTTTTCAATCACTACATTTCCTTGAGCGGGAGAAAAATTCGATTGATGATGTTGCTGATGCTGCTGATGTTGTTGATGGTGGTAGTGCAATGGATGGTGATGATGAAGATGAAGAGGACGATGGGGAGATGTAGGAATGTGGTGGATCGGATTCCAAACGATTGCAGCCGCTGGCACTCCTGTTGAAAAGAAACATTTGTTTCGTTCGTTATGCGAAAACTTTAACTTTAAAATTATTCAAATGTATTAAGTTGAATTAAAGCATTAATTATTCATACATTGGTTAATTAAATAAAGAAGTTAATTAAATAATTAATTAAATTTACTTAATTAATTGAATTAATTTGATTGAATGGTGGTTTTAATTACTTTCAGATCGACCGCAACGAATCATATTAAATTAAATTTTAATTAGGTAAAGAAATAAACTGTGTGAAATAATTAATTAATTAATTAATTTTAATTATAAGTTAAAATTTAATAAAATTAAATATTCGTCACATATGTTAAGCTAAAAGTCTTTGAATTAATTTTATATCGGGAAGATAGGTGATAAAAATATTTTATTGGAGTGCTATCTTCAGCGTCTTATCTTAATGTCATTAAAAATCACATCATCTGTAACGATATTTGTAACTTTTGAAAAATTTGCAATTATATATATATATATATATATATATATATATATATATACACACACACAACACATACACACACACAAGCACACTCTTCGCGTCATAAAACAAAATATTTTTTAAAATCAATGAATGAAAAAATATTAAATGAAAAAATTATATCATACAATAGTCGGTATTTTATCTAAAATATTTTATTCGACTCGAATCGGATAGAATACCTGAGGAGAACTATCGGATAGTTCATGTTTAACCGGCTGTGAAGTGGAACATCACTGTTTAACTTTTTTTTGTCAGTCAATGGTACGTGCAATCAATGATTTATTACTGTTATTGTTTGTTATGTGTTGTGATTGTGGATTTGTAGTAATAGTTGTTGTTATTGTTGTGTTGTTGTTGCTGATGCCACTGCGAGTTGCTCATACACAATGCAGAAAAATGTGCTTAATAATGAAGCAAAATTGAGCAACGTAAATACAATATTAATGCAATAAGTGAACAGTGCAAGCACACGCGCATACAAATCTAACTCACATATGACCATTGCATACGGAAACTTTATCCAATCAGACAGATACACAAGCACACATATAGCAGCACAAACACATGCACAATGACACACCAGGATTGTCAGAAAATGTAGCCAGTCAGTCATGCGTTGTTAAAAGCTTCAAATTTATAATTTTTTTAGGCGGCGACATAAAGTCACAGACGATCGCACGCACGCACGCACAATGTAACAAAAATTTAAACGCAAGCACTACTTACTTTCACTCACACACACACAAACACACACACAAACAAACACACACACACACACACGTATACGATCAGATGAACGCATACAATTATACGTACAAAGAATTACTCATATGTCAACTTTTTTGACTGTCATTCACACAAAAACACACATACACGTACACACACACACACACACACACACACACACACACACTAATATGGAGGCAAATATATGCTTTAACATGTTTCAAACAACAACAATGATGATGACAAAAATTTGGGAATGTAACAACGAATGATGTCACTGAACAGAACATGTCAATCTATTACAAATAAAACATAATGATCGAATGATAAGTAGATAGAACGTCACCGATTCAAATTTACGATTTGTTTTTAAAAAATTCCTGAAATAATATAAGGCAGCTGACAACTTGTGTGTGTGTGTGTGTGTGTGTGTTTGTCTGTGTGAGTGTGTGTGTTTGTCTGTGTGTGCAGCAACTATTTGACAGTGACTTAGACGCTTGCAAATAATTTATTGACTGTATTATTTAATAGGACCATTGTTAATGTGGTGGCAGGCCTTATTAGCAATAATATAATGATGTAATGGTTGGTGGGGAGAATGTTTAACGTATCATATTAATATAATTAATAATTAACTATTAGTAGTAATAATAATAATAATAATAATGAAAGTTGTCATAAGTTATTAAAAAATAATTATTGTCATAAAATAGTCCAATCATGTTGTTAACTTACTAATTGAAAATAATATTGTAGGCCTAGAACTTTTCAAAAATATTAATCTAAATAAGAGTGAGATGTGCATTATTCAGAAATAAAAATGAATACAAATACAAAAAATAATGTATTGAAAAAACGACTTAATGGAGGTTGAATATTCGTTATTGAAATGTTGACTGACGCTCATTCTTCAATTTTTTACTTGAAATGGCTTTACCAAATTTTTATAAAAAAAATTATCAGACAGGTAAGTTTTTTTCTTCTGTTTGCCACTACCTTAATAATAATAACGACAAAACTATCAAACAACATAATTATAAAAGAACAAAAAAGCAATAAGCATTTCAGTGACAAATCTTAAATTACCGGTTACCCATTACCGTCGTGCGCTGTGGTGCGGCGTGGTGTGGTGTGTCTAGTATTCAGGCTTTTTTGCAGATCAAAAGTTCAAAGAAGTTTACCTACCCATGAAACATTAGACGTACGTACTTGTGCGTGAGTAAATGAGTGAGTGTTTGCGCATGCTTTTGCTCATGCGTGTGCGTGTGTGCGCGTGTATCTAACGTATTCAAAAACATACATACATACACACGCACGCACAATCACGCATACAGACACACACAGACAGACAGACAGTGAATGAAAAAGAAGATGATGAAGAAAGTGGGGATGAGAGCACACAAGTGTGACTAAAAGAACGTTATTGTCGTGAAACCATTCAAACTGGTTCAGCAGACCCAATCGGAGATTTTTTACCATGCTTCAGTGGATAGATGGATGGATAAGTGGATGAATGAGTGAATGAACGAAAGAATGAATGAATGAATGAGTGAATGAATGAATGAGCAAATAAATAAACAAATGAATGAGCAAATGAATGAACGAATGAACAAAAAAACGAATAAATGAATAAGTCTGCGGATTCGTGGGGGAACTTAAAAGGTGAATGAATAAATAGACTGATTTTTTAAAAATGGTGGATTGATTTATTGATGGATGAATAGATAAATCTAAAAAATTAAATCTAAAAGTTAAATAAAAAACGAATGGCTGAATGGATGAATGACTGAGTGAATGAATGAATGATTGAATAAATGAATAAATAAATGATTGAATGAATGAATGAATGAATGATTGAATAAATGAATGAATAAAGGAATGAATAAATAGATGAAGAAATGAATAACTTTGATGTGTACAATGGGTGGTCACCCAGTGGCACGCATGTATTGTATTAACAAGCGTTGGTACTGGTATTATATAACGTCTGGTATTGCAGGTATAGTTGGGTATTCAGCTTATAATTGGCCTTTCTGTCCATTGTTATTAAAATACTCCTAACTGCTGCCCTTCCGCCTGAAAGTTGTTCCCAAGAAACCCACTCATCGCAGTATTTATACGGCGTCTTTAAAGGGGACTTCTCAAACACACAGAGATAAACACACACACGCAGACAAACACAAAAATAGTAAAAGACTTAATTAAAACTTACATACAGAAACATACACGTACAAACGCACAAAAAGCAGCACACGTACACACACACACAAAACATGTTTCAAAAGCATCATAATAAAAATGTTGGAGCTCGTATTGTGTTATAAATTTGCTTCAGTGCATCAAATGTAAATGGTTGCGTAATGCTTATAAGATGTTACTCTACTACTACTACTACTACTGCTGCTGCTGCTACTGCTGCTACTACTACTATAACTTTTTTATTTCTACTATTA